GGTGGGACGTTTAGTTGGTACAATCAGTAATAACTTGAGGGTGGTAGCATGGTATGTTCGAGGATAAAGAGTGACAAGAGCACTCTAAAAATGTGAATGTTAGATCATTGATTAATAACTAAATTCAGTTGAAGTTTTTGGGTTTAAGGGTTAGAGAAATAACTAGGGAACTCTTGCGAGAATCCCTATCTTCGCATCAAAATTGCAAGGACAAAGGGAGGGATGAAGAATACTTTCTCATTCGTGTCCTGCCCTATGTCAACCCCTATGTACATGAGTAATATAAAGTGAATTAAAGGGTGAGTAGGGAGAGAGACWTTTTTTTTTATACAACTAACATGTCGATGTGAATATTCTATCTCAGAATCTTTTAATTGGAGATAGGTGTAATAACCCATTGAGTTAAACTTAATTGGTAGGAGGGCATAGTTGTACCCGACTAATTATATAATTTAGAAGACCTGGGACGCAAACAACAAAGATAGTGTCTACTGTCTACTCCACCCTATTGACACGTCTACAAATACCATATCGCACTCTTTTCTCGTCATATTGATACCTACGTTAAGCTGTCACTAATAGACACGTTGTCTTTTTTAGACGATCCTAACAAAGTTATAATTTTTATTTATTTAGTTATTATTTTTCCATRGAGGCACATTGAAATTTTTAAAAAGGGTTATAATCGGAATAATTGAGAGTRCAAAGCTGTCAATTTTGACTGTTTCCTTATGCGAATATATTCTCAAAATCTCCTCTTCCATGCAATTGCCTGCCTCTTTGGATCATCACTCTTTTATAATTCCATTCACACTGCTAGCTTTATTAAGATAAAATAAAATTCAATACTCCAAAATTTTAAATTTTATCTTGGATGATTTTAAAATATTTTTGTTGGTATCGGATTTCATGAAAGTGATTAAATTAAAAATGTTATCTCACGTAGGAAGGAAAATATATCTTTAGTTGTTATGCTCGAGCACTAATAATCTTTTTTTTTAATTGTGATTTAATTATCTTTTAAAAATATAAAGATTGAATCAATCTTTGGTATTATTGTAATTGAGTTGTACGAATGAACATCTTTTTTTGTGCTTGAGTTGTTTTTAATGAGTTAATTGTTATATTCTTGAAAATTGTTACATGATGAAAATATTATAAGAACTAATATATTTAATCACGAGAATGGATCAATAATATTTTAGATTAAAATAAAATAATTTTGTCTGATAGTCCAATTGGGCAGTGCATATAAAGCCAAATTTGTCTCAAAATAATGCTTATATAGTAAGTTTTGTAAAAATCTTCTTTTGAACTCATGTCCAATTTTATAATTTGAAAAGACGATTTCTAATTTTCTTTTTTATTTAAAAAAAAAACTTTCTTAAAATGGTGGGGTTATTTTCACCCTCATATATCTATTATTTATCGATATAAAATAAGACAATAATTAAAAAAAAAAAACATGTATAAAGATAGAAAATTGTATTATATAATGCAACTCCAATTAACCTCAACTTGCCTTATTGCCACAATAACAAATCTCCATCCAATTTTAAAATTGGAGCCTTGAAATTTTTCACTAAAGAAGTAATCAAAATTAAACTATTTAAAAATATTCTCCACAAAAAACTATTTAAATCCAGTTTCATATGTCCCACAAAGTGCTAAATTATTTGATCAAATTTTCAACAAAAGAAAATATTCCTTTGACTCTCTTTTTGGTCATTGCATTGTAGATGTGTGATGCATTCTCTCTCAATATCAATATCAACTCATAATCTCTTCATCACTTTTTTAAAAATGTGTCACATATTGCACTTTTTTATTAAATTATATATCTTTTATATTTATATTAGTAGCGTTTAAAAATATCCTTACTTTTTTTTCAATAAATATAAAATAAAAAATCGAATCTTCAACTTTAAAAAGGTTATTGATCTTGTTGAGTTTGAGTGGAGATTCGATCATATGATTTATGATTTTTTTTTCATGTATATGAGTGTCTAGGTTAGTTTACAAACACATCGACTAATCTTTCAATTTGACAATCAAGAAAACTCATATGATATTAAAATTATTATAGGTGGGTGATGACCATAATTTGAACTCATTTCATCTAATCCTTTAATCGAGGTTATAATGAAATATTTTCAGATTGACTTCGAGTTGTTACTTGTAAATAATAATTTGGATAAGCTCTATATTAAAAGCAATTTCAAAGCTACACAAAATACCCTTCTTTCGTGAGATTCCTTTTCTGAGCTTTGTAAACAAATTGCCATAGCTTCAAGAACTTCAATTGCAACCAACCTTCAAGATACCCTTCCTTTTTCTTTTCCTTTTTTTTTTTTTTGGTTAGAAAAGGAAGGCTTTTCCTCTTGTGTAATGCATTTATGATATTTGTCATTTTGCCTAAAAGAAAGTAAATTTTATTTTCTAGTATTCAATAAATGTAACGACTTTTCATATGTGTTAATTCATGCTGCCATAAACACTAACTCTTTTCACGTAATAACGATTTTGGTAAAAGTGATTTATATATAATTGAGTTTCCAAAATCACCGTACCTTAACAATCAATTTTAAATGATTTTAAGCTTCCCTAAAATCAATTTTTTAATTTTCTATACATGATCAATAAAAAAAAATGAAAATGATTTGGTAAAATGCTAAAATCACTCTCAAACACACCCTTACTCTCAAGTCATCAAATCTAACACTTTTCTTTGTCATTATTACTCATTAAGACAAGTTAAAACGAGTAAAATGAATTATTGACGAAATGCTAGCATGACATTGCATTTTTTAAGATTTAGGCGAAGACGCATAGTTTGATTATTAAATTAAAAAATTAAAAATAAGGGGAGCAGAATTAAAATTTGAGAGATTGATTTAGGTACGTAAATTTATAAAACAAGATTGGTAATGGGTGGTTTGTAGATCAAAATGAAGGATATTTTTATCTTCACTAATAAGAAATTACGGTTCAAAGATGATTAAGGTTCCGCCTTCAATTAACTAATATTATAGCTAGAGGTTAAAGATAAATGTAATTTAAATTTCACAAAAAAAAAAAAAGAAATAATTTTAAAGTTAAAAAACGCATTTGGTCCCTAAACTTTCATGAAAGTAACGATTTTTAGTCCCTGAACTTTCAAAAGTAAAAATAATATTAATTATTAGAACGGAACATGGTCTCCTCATGTTTCACGGCTTATCACCCCACGTTCCACGTCATCTCATTTTTGACCGCCTTCGTAGCTCCAAGGAGCTCGAGCAACAGTCCGTCGACAAATTGGTGCACAAAATCTACACGCCAATTCTCCTCCGTGAACGCAAACTTAGTAATTATGACATTCGCTTTCGCAATATCCGTCGACTTGTAATCAGCTTAGGAATGGTGCTAATCAAGCTATCGTACGACATGCCAAGGAAGGCAAAGACGAACTCCGGATTGTTCTTCGTTCCGTGTGTGAATCAATCTATCTCTAATGAGTTTAAATCTTTACCTTTAAATACACTTAAAAAAATGTTTTCAGCAACTAAAATTTACGATTTAAATCATTGCGTACTAAAATTTAATGATAATTGGACTATCATCCTAACAATTTTTTGGATAAAAAATCCATGGAGTGGGCACCCACTGTGCCATTAACGTGTCTCTTCCAATCAAAGAGCCCGAAATTGCAAAATCATGCGACTACGATCTCTATCTCTTTCTCTCCTCGTTGTCCAAAGACTGCGTTTCCTTTCGAAGTCTCTCGCGGCGCCATTGTTTGTTTCTTCCTCTCTCTCTCTCTCTTTCTCTTCTCTGTAAATTTATAGAATTCGAGACTACAGAGAGTAATTGGGTGAAAGGGAGACTGAGAAACAAAAAAGAGAGAAGCGAATTGAAAAATGCATTCGTTTGGGTACAGAGCCAACGCTTTGCTGACCTTCGCGGCCACTATACTTGCCGTCGTTTGTGCCATGGCCTCCTTCTCTGATACCCTCAATTCGCCTTCACCCACAGCACAAGTGCAGGTCTCTTCTTCTTTTCCCTCTAGATCTTGGATCGTTTTGGGTTGGATTTTGAGACCCATTTATGATTTGATTTTGTGTTTCTTGTTTTTGGGTCTTAGGTTTTGAGCATCAATTGGTTTCAAAATCAACCCCATGGAAATGATGAGGTATGATCTCGTGGGCTTTCTTTAGAAAGTGATGGAATGGCTTATATGTCAGGTTATACCTGTTTTTCTCTTCAATTTGTGAAAATTTATGTGGAAAAGTGGGATTTTCAGGTTAATTATGTAGTGCATTTCAGTCCCATGAGGTGTTGAGCTTTATTTCTGGCTTTTTTTTAATCTTTTTTAAGACAATGGCTTTTTTTAATCTTTTTTAAGACATGGGTTGTTTTTTGGATGTGATGAATTGGGTCATTTATGTATTTGAAAACTATGGAAAATGGCTGGGCGAAGGATCAAACAGATTTGTTGGAGACAGGGTGGGGCATGTAGCTTAGATGATTAGAGCATGTGGTTACTAACCATGGTGTTGGGTGTTTGGATCCCCATTCCCCCACGACTGGTCAAAAAGGTAAGGACTTTTCCCGACTTCATAAATGGGAAGACATATTTGAGCTTTCGTATTGATTAGGACAAATTTAAGTTTTTGTAGAGTGATCTAGTTCTTGTTTTTCTCTCTAGCAAGAGACATTTTGCTGGTTTTCTAATCACATGCTGTTTCTTGTTATCTAGATTAGGGGTCTTCTAATTTCATTAAGCGATTCACTTTAACTCGTAGCCATTGGAGATCTATGCTAGATTAGTTACTTGACGCATCTTTAGATAGATCAATCATGCATTTCGAAGTACATGAAGGGTAAGTTTTTAGATACATTAAGTATATGCAAGCATACATCTGTGTTTATTCTTGTGTCTTTTTTAATGTCTCATGGAATGGTACAATGAAGGGGGTCTTTTTCACTCATTTGTTTGTAATCAAGGAAGTAAAGAAAATCATAGTTTATTTTCTTTGGATGTGTGAGATTTAGGATGAATACGGCTTTTCATCTCTTTTCATCGAAAATTTTTTAGTTCCAACTAAATCTCACCTTAGCCTAGACTTCCATGGCTCCAAGCCTCCAACTTTCCTTTATCTTCATGAACATGCCATTTCTCGATGATTTTGATGAATATGCATGCAATTTTATCTCGTACCTTGATAATACCAAGTAATTACTTTTTTATATTTGATCAAATCTCCAAAAATCATTTTTGTGTGAGAGTGATTGATGGGTTTATTGTCATGAAACATTTCAATCCCTTTTTCTTGAGGATACTTTAGTTCTTGCAGCACTTTTCTCAACCAAAATGCTTGTAAACTAGTGGTAAACAAAGAAAAGTATTAACTTTTTCTTGTTGATAAGGGTATAGTAGATTCGTTGCTAGAGCGATTAATGAGCGTATTATCACAAAACAATGCAATCACTTTTTCTTGATTATTTGAAAGAGTGGGCCTTCTTTTTGCAGGTTAGCCTGACTTTAAACATATCAGCAGACTTGCAGTCATTATTTACATGGAATACGAAGCAGGTTCGGTAGCAACCTATTCTCCTCTTTTGTTTTTTCTCATAGTCCTTCGTGTAGAGTCTAATTTTGAATAATAAGCTGATAGAACTCGATTGTTTATTCACACTAAGAGGTACATAGTCGATGGAGAATTTGAGAGCTTCCTATCCCTCCTGAACACTAGCTAAGATTTTACCCGAAATGTACTCTCTCTATCATAATCTTACGTGCTAAATACTTTCTTTAGGTAGGTCCCACTTCTTACATTCACACTAAATGCTCAGGTCGTTCTCCCCTTGCTTTCTTACTACTATACACTTTTAACTATCAGGGTCTATTACAAGCCTTGTACGGTTTTCATTATGCCTGAAGTTAATAGCGTCTCGAATCCACATCCATTTGGCATAGGATGTTCGCTCATGATTTCTTGCTTCTATTCCGTGAACTATGTTGTTCAAGTTAATAATCGTGTTGGGAATCACATCGGCTTTATCAGATTAAATTTATATCTCAGTAAACTAAGATTAAACCTTTCTCATTTCGATATGTGCTACAGGTTTTTGTGTTTCTTGCTGCTGAATATGAAACCCCAAAGAACTCCTTGAACCAGGTAAGTTTTTGTTTCTCTTTCTTGTTGGATACATCTCCCCATTACGATATTTCACAAGACCCCATGTTAAGTTCTTGTCTCTTTCAACCACTCGACTGGCCTTAAATTTCTGCGAAATCACAGAAGGTTCGCATATTTCATCACATGGGGCTTCTTTTCTTCATTTACTTGAATTTAATCCCATTTCAGATCTCACTCTGGGACGGTATCATACCCTCCAAAGAGGATGCGAAGTTTCAAATCCATACTTCGAACAAGTACCGTTTCGTTGATCAGGTTTGTCACCTTCAGTATTTTTCATGTTAAGGTCCTTATCGAAGACGGAGAGTGACATTTCTGTATTTCTCGTGTACGTGTGTATGTAGGGAAGTAATCTGAGGGGTAAAGAATTCAACTTGACACTGCACTGGCATGTGATGCCAAAGACAGGCAAAATGTTTGCAAACAAATTAGCGATGTCTGGATACCGCTTGCCAGAAGATTACAGATAGAGGAAATTTCTCCATTCATTTTGTAACTTCTGAACTTCACTCAGTTTATATAGGCTTTAGCACCACCTTAATCTCAACTTCTCATGGAGGGAATAGGAACACAGAGGATTTTAGTTGTATGCCATTTTCCAAGCCATTAATTCTAAGGCTTAATGAATTCATATGCCACAACTGGTCTGCTCTATCTCTCTCTTTTCTTTGATCTAATGCATCAGTGGTTTACATGTTGAAAATGCTTGTTAATTATTACATCTACTCCAAGTTCTTACCTGCAATGTAATTAGATTACCACTCCATAGCTCATGTACTAAACAATCTCGTTTTATTAGGAGTTGAAGTTAAAATTTAAAAAATTGATACAACCAGACTGAGTTACTTCAGATGGTTTGGACCATACTTATCAAGTGGTGGTTTAATTTTCTAAAGAATTTTGTTCAGTTCGGTCGGTTTTCTAGACAAAAAGTTCGAATTTTGACATTGGTTTTGTACTTCTTAAATTGATGTATTGGTTTTGAGGAGCACACACTTTCAGAGTTTTTTCAAACAAGTGTGGGTGCTGATCATATTTTAGGAAGTTAAAATGTTCATTGTCGCTCATTATGCAATAACATTGAGAGTAAAGTGAAAAGTTATACAATTTACTTTTTCTAATTATACCTTCTATTGCTAATATAAATTTAGTTCAGCGGTAATTGACACTTGTCTCCGACCAAAAGATCATGAATTTGAATCTCCTATCCCACTTGTTGTACTTAAAAAAAAAAAAAATTGTACCTTTAATTTTAAATGCTTCAAATCTTAAATAAATAAATAAATAATGCATTCAAACAAATCTTAAAACTCCATATCATCTTCTGTGCAAAACTGCAAACGTATTCATATTTGCTCATTATCTAATCTCAACAAATTCTAAACAAAGAAAAGGATTATGCTACGTGTTCTACATTCTGAACCTATTCTTATTATCTATAGAATCATCAAGGCATGGGGTGAAATTGCTGATACTCTCATGACTGTAAACCTTTCATCACAACTCCTTCAAGAATCCCATCAATGTCAAAGTTAGCTAAGAATTGTTGAGGGTCAACTGGGCCAGGCAGTTGAAATGAGAGTGAGAACTCTCCTGGTGGGCACAGGTTGTTGGTTAGCATTTCAAACACTTGGGACTGCTTTTTCACTCTTCTCTCACCTGTTGATGTAGCTCCCTCTATCACCACTCTCCCATCCTTCTCAACTTCACACCTAAATCCCCCTGATCAATCAATCAAAAAGTCTTATCAGTTTATGACAGCAAAGCACCGAAACAAATAATAATGATGAGTTAATTATAAAATTTAGTGTCCCTAAATTCAAGGATAATGTCCTATTTAGTCTCTAAAATGACTTGTCTATTAGATAAAATGTTTCCTAATTTAGTATGATATGGTAGATAAATGGAAGGAAAAAAGTTGACAGTTAGACGGACTAGGTGATCGATCCATCAACCAAGAAAGAAATGTTGTTTCTATCATTTATCTTTCATATCATGTCAAATCACCCACACATTTATCTAATAGGTGTGTCATTTTAGCATTTCATTAACAATCTTAACAATAAGAGCTAAAACAAATTATAATTCAAAATTAAGAAACATAATTGAGACTTTTTAAACTTCAAGGACTAAAGATAGATGCTAAATTTATAATGAATGAACCTAATTGAAGCAATGGAGTGATATAACCAATATCATCATGGCTAGACTATATGTATAATGTTGTTACTAAGATCCTTTATGCCCTAAGAAGTTGTGATCCCTCCGGGAAGAAAGTAAATTTTACCAAGGTAGATTCATATGTAGAAAGGAAGAAATAGATAATGGATCCATTTCCCCAATTATTACTAAAATCTTTTTTTTCCCCTCCTAAGATGTGAAAATTAACCTTATCCTCTCCCACCTCTCTCTTCTTTCTTTCTCCCTCTTCTTAGAGGAAGAGGCATGTGGGTGCATGATGGGTCAGATGATTTGGGTATTAGTTCTTTGTGTAACTTTAAATTAAAGAAAAGAGAGGTGAGAGCCTGTGTGAAAACTGTCTAGAAGCTATTTTATGATTTTCAAAATATAAAATTGTTTTCTAACTCAATATACTATTTGAAAGGATAGTTTTCCTAAAACAATTAAAATAACAGAAAACAGAAAGAATGTTATTGTTTCATGAGTCATCGTGTCTTCACAAAAATAATTGATCATTCACAATCGCTAACCATTTCTTTCTCACGTACAGGCTGGTTTAAATGTCATATATTTTAATTAATATGAATTGAAAGTAATAAAATAAGAAAATGTCTTCTCATACAGTCTTTTAAATCAAATTAGTGAAAACAGTCTTTGAAAAAACTACTCTAAGAATCAACTTTTGAAACTGATTTTCAGAAGATATGCTCAGATAGCCCCTAAAACTTTTGGATGGGTGAATATGGAGACTCTTTTTTTCCAACCAGTTCTAAAATTTTGTTCAACCTAACCCTAGGGTTACGCTTAGGATAATCCTGTGCAGTTGCAGTAAAAATGTAAGATTCAGAGCATTGAAATACTTAAACATAAGCAACTTACTTCCATCTCTATTAACGCCAGGAAGAGACACACGAAACAAGTACGAATCTTCACATTCCCCAATGTCCATTAGTCCAATTATTGGTCCAACGTGCCCCATTGCTGCAGTTCCAGTCAATGCAAATCCTCTATTTGTAGCAGCCAGAATATTCGCCCAATCCTCTTCACATGGTTGTCGAGGAAGATATACCATTGCTGGACCGAATTTGTGCTCCACAGAATCAGAGTCAGATTTGGTTTGTGGAGGTGTCATATTACCATTATATGGAACACTACGAACTGGTGCAGTTACAGAGTCATGTTGCGAATAATCTTCTGCATTGAGGGAATCGCCTACCAACTTTGATCTCTGCAAATTCTTATCATCCTTAAGTGGAGACGACTCTTTATTTGATGTATTATCTGTAGCTTCGACATTAAGTGAAATTTTACGATCTGACAAATTGTGTGACCTTGCTGCATCTCTATCCAAAAGGAGGTCATCTAGCCCTGTTAGCCTCTTAAACCTTTCAAGATCCTTAGAGTTGAGGTAGGAGACTTCTGGGTTGTTGATAAATGAAATATTCTCAATGAACCTATACCGGTTCTTGGACCGTGAATGGGGATGGAATTCAGTTGGAAAGAGATCAGGAAACTGAGGAGAACTAATATCTCGTCCTTGGGCAGGAAAGTTGCCTTGGAAGAACTGGTGCAATAAAGACATTTTCATGACAAGAGATTCATCAGCCTTCCTCAAGACATAATAAAAAATGCGCTCTACTTCCACCATCTTCATGTGAGATCCAGCAAGCTGATCAGACGTATAGGGAGGCAATTCCTCAGTAAGCCTCTGCAGCACTGATTTCAGTGGCCTTTCACCTTTGAGGTCAGGCCCAAAGTAGATACCAGTTATGAAGTACAAGAGAAAATGTTGGTCGCCATCTGGTATTTTAGTTGGCATAACATCTGATTTCAACTCAACAGCAATAGGAGAATTTGAATCCTGGAATAAGCCACTATCCATTGCAGTAGCAGATGCCAAGTAGAACCTACAAGCAAGAAAAAGTTGCTACTTTAAGTAACAGGTAAAAAGTCTGGTTTAAATAAATGCTAGCAAAATAAATTACAATCATCTAGGTACCCCTTTCATGTCCCTCCCTTGCCATACTCACATGCATTGATTCATACTTATATGAGGTAAATGCTAACTAAAAATCCACGTACTGTTTGTTTCTTTTAACCTAGAACATAAATTTGCTTCTAGATGACAAAAAGACAAGGTGAAAGATAACTTCAACCAAATTAACATGCACTAGCTCTGTAACAACTTTTAGAAAATTATAAGGAGGAAAAACCTTTATACGGTAATGGATATCTAAAATAATAATTGAGAAATCAAGTAGTATATCACTTGAAGCGAATATATGGATTTCACTGGCAGAAGTAAGCAGCTACCCAATAATTTGCCACGAACTAGAAACATCAGGAGAAAACACCATCATGGCAATGGTCGTTTTACAATTATATATTTAACCACAAAGGTCATAAGAAAAATACTGTCTTTACATAATTGACCCAGCCACTTGTTTAGGGGCTTTACAGCCTGCATGCCCCTTTATAAATTGCAATCAATTTTTTTTTCTCCCTCTTGCTATCTCCACAATCATAGCAGGTACACCAATTCTGAAATTGCAACCTATACCAAGCTAGTATCAGCATTCATCCATATCAACGGCTTTCTTCCTTTTTTTGAAGAAGAAAGGCCTTCTTACTTCCAAAAAGGAAGAAAGGGCAAAAAAGGCTATCTGCTAAATTTTAGAACAGCTTTAGCTGGCCTACGGAGGTAAACTACAAAGTACAACTTAATAGCGTTACCTAATTGGCTTCAGAGAAATGTTTTCCAATTTCCAATGCAGAAAATTAATCAAACTTTGGACAAATTTAAACTAATCTTGGCCCTAATATTACGTTTACAAGAAAAACTAAAAAATAACACACACTTTTTCTTTTCTAAAACGCAACATATGAATGCTTGCTTTGTTAACAACTCTAAAATGCAAATTGCCACAAAATAATCCACAATTTCTAACGATATCGGGAGACATATAAAAATCATCTCATCTCACCCACAAATCTAACCTATACCTCATAACAATAGGCAGTGTCATAATTTACCTGATTGGAAGGAATCAAGACATGAGAAGACTGAAGCAGGCACTTCGCGGTCAACAGAACAAGTGTCAGATCATACAAATCTCAAGAAACTCGGAATTCCCTGGCGAAACTCAAGAACTGAGCCATCCGTATCGAAACCTACGGAGAAATGTGACTGAGCTCGCATCAAAATCAGGTCCACGATCAAACAGTAGATTATCGAAAATCGAACTTACAGACGGAAAGTAGAAGAACAAATCAAGAAGAATCCACCAGTAAGGAATCTTTCGATTTTCGGATATTAATTTTTGGGTGTAATTAGTTAAAACGGAATCTCGCCTTACATATATGAATTAGTCTACTGGCTCCCCACTGGTTTTGGTATTTTTTTTCATTTTTTTTTCAACTTTTGGCTAAATTATAAAAAATAATCCTTAACTTTATTCTTTGTTCTTTCTTTCAAAAATATCTCAATCCTTTCAAGATTTGAACATTACCGTTACCGTTCATAAGTGTTATAGAAATATATCATAAATTAATATTTTAAACAAAATGTGTTCACGTATGTATAACAATTAAATTTGTTTTTAAAATGAAAAAGAAAAATCAAATTGTATCGTTTCAAATATTTTAGTCCATCATTGATATCAATAGAGTTATGTTCAAGTTCACAATAAATCTTGAAGTACTTGTATTTGCAACTTAATAATCTAAGTAGTAAATTTTATTTAAACTTAATCAGAGTTGAATATTTAAAGCACGAAGATTCTTCCATAAAATTGAAGATTTACTTTTTCACTCTCATATTTTTGGAACTAAAAAAAAATAAAGTCAAACGCAAGTATAAGTCTCCAATCACCTCTTTACTTCAACTAAAATTAGAAACAACAATTTAATGATTAATATATATACATACAACACAAGAACAAATATTATAGATTTTCGTATAAGAGAGAAGTAATCAAACCTCTCATCGGGCCAAACCGAGCATAGCTCAATAGGTTAAAGCATTAATCAAAAGATCATGAGTTCGAACCTCCATCCCCACATGTTGTATTAAAAAAAAAACCTCTCACCAGAATTCGTAAAAATATTATGAATATGACAATTCTCTTTTTTCCTAACCTAAAACCTTTAAATATATAGAAATCAACTATGCTGATATCTACGTATTCAATCAATTAATAAATGAAAGATACGCTTAGGAACAGTTACTAAAACCTCTCTTATTCAAATAGTTAAATAAACTAATTAAAGATGTAAAGTTAAGACACAAGAATTAAATATTGAATTTAACGTATTTTTCATCTTTTTTAACTTAAAATTAAATCGTGTAAGGTCCGAAGATTCTCCCAACTCTCGTATAGTTGATATAAAAGCAAGTGATGAAAATTAATGGTATTTTCTAAATGAAGCCAAAAAAAAAAAAAACACACGTGACTACGGTGTGAAGGCGCACGTGACCGTATTCATTTCAATTTTCAGCCCTATGCTAACAAGTAGAATTCTTCTCCGGCATTGTCGCTGGATACGTTGACGAAATCTGAACTTCCTCTACTGTCTGCTAATAGGATACTACCTTCTCAACTTTCCGGCGACTCTCCGATGACTTCGCCGGCTAGGTATGTTCTTCTTTTGATGTTCGATGGGGTCTCCGTCTCTGTATCTGTCTGTTCTGTTTTCAATCATCGGTTAATGCAGCAGAGGGGGGGCTTTTCCCTTCTCAAATTATTATCATGCTTGCCTTGGTACAGTAATGTTCTATTTATGAAGAAGATGGGTATTCGAGTGAAGGGTTTTGGGTTTTGGGCATAATGAGAACTGAACTTTAGCTTCGGTTTTCGCAAGAAGTGGTGGAAATTTTGCCTTCTATTTGTTTGCAATTGAATGTGCGTATATATGATGATTATTTTTAAATGTTCGTGGGCAAAGCATCAAGGAACTCTTATCCAAAAAAAGGAAAAAAAAATAAAACATCAAGGAACATGTTGCAAGATGTGGGGCTCTAACTCTTGATACTGAAAAAAGAAAGGAAAAGAAAAGTTGAGGTACTTGGAAATGAGAGTTTGTGGATGAGCCATAAATGTTCTCATCTGTGGTCTTGTTTTGTTTGTATTTTGAGACGAGGTTTGTTCTTTGGTTTGTAGGAACTCGAATAGATCTTAGGATCTTATTCCTTACATTTCTCGGTGCTGAACTGATTGGATATTCTTATGTACTTCACTGTTTCATGAGTTTTTTAAACTTTAAAGTTTAAAGTACCTATTTTAAAAAGATTAAGCTAGAGGAACAAAAGTTGTAATTTATCATATTATTGTTCAACCATGAACGTTTTGCCGAGTATCATAGAAGCATTCACCTGGTATGTTATACTGCTTCTACCACGTGTTTTCGGAAATTTATAATCCTTTTGAGATGTATTCTAATTTGATTGGTTCATGTCAATCTTTTTTATTTCTTAGTCTTAATCTAAGTAGCCAATATTACCATTTTTCTTTTACTTTTTAAACCATAACAACACTCTTTCTCTGTACTTTTGATACTTAAATTACAAGTTTCATGTATTCTGAAACACAATATAAAATAAAAAAAAGTGCTGTTTGTTTGAAGTTGGTTGTGATACAAGGAAATTGCATGTTTACATTCCTCCTAATGGAACCTGTGTTCTGTTTCTGAGGAAATCTGTTAAATATTTATTTAAATGACAAAATATTTTTATAGAACCAAACTAACCACATCGATTGAAACTGACAACATCGACCACCAACTGACTATAACCGAACCAAAATTGATTGAATCCAACGTATTACATCCAAAATGAACTGGTTGACAAAGAAATTTCAAATCAACCGAACTGATTCTGTTCGATTTGGTTGAATTGGTATTTGGTTTTGTTGGTCTTCTCTCTCTATCTCTCTCTTTTCTTCAACTCATTTTTTCTGTCTCAGCTTGCATCTCTAGTATGTACACTTTTGGGCACGTTAGTTCCCTAGTGTCACACCCACCCTGTTTATGGATTTCTACATTTTGCTGTTTTGTTCTCTCTCTTACTCATGTAAACTCACCCGGATGCCGAAATTCAAAAAATATCCTATTCCCAGCATAGGACCAGGCGTTACAGTATTAATAGCCCAAGGAACTCGTGGCATTTTTTTAGGCATGTGGCACACCCTTCTGCACATCTTCCTGTAGCTTACACCCCAGGCATTCATCTTTGTCTCCGTATGTTACTTGTTACTTGTTAATAACATGAATCCTATCTGTGTTTTTTTCTTCTTTTTTAGCAGACATCATATACTTTCATTTATCAAGTTTTTTAACTGGAAACTTGAATCCAAGATTTTAAAGAACGTCTGGCACCCCAATGTCAATTTCAGGGGACATTTTTTTAAAATTAAGCTTTCCATTTAAAAGTTCGAATGGAAGATCTTGTTGAACATCCTCTCAAATATTCCAAATCTTTAAAACTGTAAACAAATGTTCACTCTCATATCTGCATTGGATCTTCTTCAAAACAGCGAATAAATGTTCATAGATCATCTTTTGAAATTTTGTCTTTCTCTGACTGCTAGCTCATTGAGTACATGGTTAGGCAATAGTAAACGTAAGTGGTTATAAATGTGTCACTCAGTACCATTTTGAAAATAATCTGAGAGAAACTCGTAGTTCTTTGCTGTAGAGTACAATTTTCTTCTATCTTTATCCCATGGAGTCATAGGCATTGGTATCAACCTCATGAAAGCGCACTGCAGCTTTTTGGAAGTTTTGATTATTCTCAAAGCTAAAGATGTTGATCAAGATGAGTGTGATGGCTATATGGAGAAAATACTGAATTTTTTGTGATTGGATCAGTCGCTTACAAGACAAACTTAACCTCCTCAACCACCATCTTAAGCAATTTAGGTTTGAAGCCTTTATGAGACTTTGTATCTATTTTTTGTTTGGTTGTCAGCATTTTATGTAGTTTTTGTTTAGTCCTTTGCAATCTACTAAATATTATATGATTATTTTAAACAGTATTAGAAAAGTGGTTCAATTCTCAGTCTAATTGCTTCACTTTTTGTAGCTTCCTGATCTTTCTTTCTTTCTTTTATCATTTTCCCCCTAACACGTTTCAATGTTTATTTTTTATACGCATTGTAGTTAATCAATCTTGTTGACAAGCCATTACTACTTTAATTTTACTATTTTTTTGGTCTTTGCTACTGTAGTTAATACGCATTGAGAAAAATTTGTTTGCTCTTGGGAGGTGTTTGAGTAAAAATTTTTCGAGGTGGCTGTCATAATCTGCTCTTGTACTTTCACAGCCCTTCTTCATCTGCTGTTTCAACAACATCAAGTGCATCTCAGTGAAGAAAGAAAATATTTAAGGCTAAAATATCCATTTTTTTCCATTATTTTTTTTCTTGAAAATAAATGTGTGCATTAGAGTAATTTGACCTAATAAAAGTTTATGCCTAATCATGTTATGTTATCATACTCTCCAATCCTTCATTTTCCATATATAAATTCTACTTTTATTCATTATAAACCACGTGTCTCATTTCATTTTGGGGACGTCTTTTATGCGCTTCTCTTGCACCAACTAAGATGCGCTCGTTGCTATTCTATATGTATCTTGCATTTTTGAAACACTATATCACATGCATACAAGACAATAGAAGTTTCTTACGCAATTTTTGCCTTTAGCAAGGCAACCACTGTATCTTGATCTTAGACCTTTTATATTGAGATTGTAGTAGATAGATGTCTCTGTCTTCCTCCTCAGATGGCCATTAAAACACTTCCAAGACAATCTTTTACTTATTTTTTTTATTCTCTAAGGAAAATATGTTCTCATTTAACTTGAGTGGAGACTGAACATACCGGTGGACTGCTGATATTATTGGTTTGAGTTGGAAATGTGTGTAATTTTTATTGTACCAAAGAGTTTGAAGTCCCCCGTCCCCTTGGTGGCCTCGGTGGTAAGGACTTGGATGTCTAGAATTATCATCCATTTAAATCCCTAGCGGGAAAGCTTAGTAGTTTAATTTCTGTTTCTCTCAAAGCTAGTCTTGGGTGGGTGAAGCCACCTGAAGATTAGCAGGTGAGCCATCGGCATGATGCAAAGCATGAGGCTTTTGATATCTTTGTTATTGGAAAAAAAGGGTTCCTTAATAGTTAGTAATGTCTGTTTAATGATGGTACGATAGAGGGCCATCAGATGGTTATGTTTGTGATCATATTACTCCTGGTCTTGCAGGGTTGAGGAAACAAGAAGAAATGAGGCAGAGCCATTAAACCCTCGACATCGCATTCTCGATGTGGCTCCCATTAATAGCATGCCATATATTGGTCCACCTCTTCCACACAGCTACGTTCCTTCTTCTCCACGAGTAGAAGATCCCGAGGCTCTGGTGAAGGTTGGGCCAGCCATGGTATATTGTCCTCTCACAACCAATCAAGAGTGGGCTGGTATTGTATCCGCCGCCAAAACTGGGATTGCCCTCACTGGGACTGCAGCCATGGGAAAAGTTGGACCAGTTATTGGACGTGTGGACATTGGCGAGAATGAGAATTCATACTTCTTCCGCGTCTCTCTTCCTGGGGTGGCCAGAGATCAAAGTGAGTGTTTGTTGAAACTGATCATTCCTCTCTCTCGTTCAATTTGCTCATAATGTGCTGCTGTAATGTTATCCTAACGATAAGAGCACAAGATTAATTCTCTTATCTGTATTTGTATTGTCGCAATACATATGAAAACTATCCAACTGACCAAACTATCGTTTCATGGCAGCAGACAGTTTCAGTTGTGACATGGAGACGGATGGAAAAGTGAAAATAAGAGGAGTGACAACAACAGGAGAGAACATAGTATGTAAGAATTCACAGGTATTTCGGATGCAAACAAAGAATCTATGTCCACCAGGTCACTTCTCGATCACTTTCCAGCTACCCGGTCCGGTCAATAACCTGCACTTTTCAGGTGCTTTTGGTGCAGATGGGATTTTAGAAGGTACTGTAGCTAAAGGGTGATTAACAAGCTTAAACGGGGGGTGGGACGGGGTGTTAATTAAGATTGCAGGGTCATTTTGGTATTATGTTGTTAGGAAAAGGCCTTTTCTGTGGAAAACACTGTTCATAAGGATAGAAGTTATTCATTTTTTCCCCTCTCACAGGTGATGCTTTTGAAAGCAGCATCTTAATTTTCTCAACCAAAGCTCTCCAGAATATCACATCGCTGTGGAAATTGTAATTTTGGTAAAGATCTATTGTATAGAAAACAAGTAGTCAGTTTACCTTACCATGAAGTTCTATGATATCTCTGTCTAGAATTTTGCACTCTAGTAATATGGAACTACACTTGTACAATACTAGCATTAGCTATGAAGTCAGCAATTTTATTTCAACAAAACTGTGTCCAAGAGTTTTTCCAATTCTTCTATGCTTCAACATTTCTCTAGCCAGCTTCACTTCCTGCCATTTACAGGCTCTGGCATAAATATTTGACAAAAGTACATAAACACCACTACCAGAATTCTTCAGTTCTGCTATGTGGCTTTTCACTCTGTTAGCCAGACCCACATTTCCATACATTTCACAGCCATTCAGAACAGAACTCCAGATTGTTGCATTGGGTTGCATTGGTATTTTCCTCAGAAACTCCTCCGCCTCTTCGAAGTGGCCTGCACGACTCAAAAGATCGATCATGCAGCCATAATGCTCCATGGTTGGCTCAATTCTGTGAGCCTCGGTCATGGAGGTGAACTGTTTCTGACCTTCTTCGACCAGCCCAAGATGGCTGCATGCCCATAGAACTCCTATGTAGGTGATTCGGTCAGGAGCAACTGCAGCTTCTGCTTCCATTCTTCTGAACATATGCAGTGCTTCTTCACCTTTGCCATGTATTGCTAAGCCTAATATCATCGTCGTCCAGGCCATTACGTCCTTCTTCTGCAACTTACTGAAGATCTTTAGTGCAGTATCTGCATCTCCAGCTTTGGCATACATGTCCATAAGAGCTGTTCCAATGGCAACATCTTCACCAAATCTTGTTTTCAACATGCGAGCATGAAGACTTCGCCCCGTCGACCGAAACCCCAGATGGGTGCAAGCACCTATCACACTAAAAAATGTAGCTTTATCCGGAACAAACCTAGCCACTCCCATGTCAATGAAAAGGCTTAGTGCCTCCGCTCCTCGACCATATTGACTATAACCACTGATCATGGAATTCCAAGCAACCAAGTTCCTTTGAGGCATTTTGTCAAACAGGTTTCGCGCGGTTACCAACTTGCCGCATTTTGCATACATGTCTATGATCGCAGTTGCAAGTATTACATTGAAGCTTGACGTCGAATCAAATGGATCACAACCAAGTTTGCAGAGACGATTGTGAACCGATTTCCCAGTATTTATATCCCTGCAATGAGCGGATGCAGCCAAGACAGTGGCCATGGTGATTTCATTAGGCTCCACACCTTCATTCTCCATATCCTCGAACAATTTTAAAGCTTCTCTGGCCCGATTATTGTTAACAAACCCAGAAATTAGTGAAGTCCAAGCGACCACATTCCACTTGGGAATAATCTCAAACACCTTCAACCCCGAACTCAAATCTCCACAAGAAACGTACATATTGAGCAAACAAGAAGAAGTATACGCATCTAATTCAAACCCAGTTTTCAGAATTCGATTGTGAACGCTTTGCCCATATTCAAAAAGACCGATTACGGTGCACACTTTCAGAACAAAAGGGAAGGTGAAATGATCCGGAGAGAAGCCTTTCCTCTGCATTTCTTCATACATAAACAGAGCTTCAAATTTGTCGCCGCCATTGCAGTACCCTTTGATCATCGAGTTCCAGATGTAGACACTGGGCTGATCGATTCGATCGAAAACTGATCTCGCATAGTCGATGTCACCCAGCTCGGAATCTGCACAGAAATCAATGATTCTGCTGCAGGGGATAATTTTCTTGATGATTGAAGTGACAATCATCAGTCCATGTACTTGTTTTAACTCCTTCATTGTTCCGCATTTTTCTAAGAAGCTTATAATAGTGCGATACTTCTGCTTCATTATCTGCGTTCTCGATCAGATGCGCTACATTGAAGATCATAGAAATCGATCCTCGAGCGAAAATGATTTTTTATTTTTTTTTTAAAGATGAATGGGAAACTCTATGGTTTTATCTCTCGCTATAATCTAATTTAAGGAAGAAAGGCCTCTCTCAGAAAACTTTTTTACCTTTAATTTTTCTTCTCAAACTCTTCATCTTCGGACTGTAAATCCCTAATTTTCCAACCCATTTTTGCACCTCGGATCTTCTCAATCCCAAGGCAATCAAAATGCCGAAAAGTAAAAACCCCAAACTTTTCTGCCACAATTGAATCAATGCAACACTGAATAGGGCAAAACCAAGAATTCCACAAACCGCGTCGATCTCTAATTCGGTAAAAAACAACAAAGCCAGACCACAAACAATCAAAAACCCAATCAACAATGCCGTCTTCTTCCTTTTACCTCTCCATCCATCATAGCCACCTCCGCCGAATCCCCTCCACAACCCCGCACCACCTCCACTTCCATCTCCGCCGCTCAATTCCGCGACGACCAAATCCAGCGGCGGCGGTAAGATCTTGAGGTTGGAGGCTAAAAGGGACGCCAATTCAAGCACCAATTTGGTTGATCTTTGAAAGCCCGCACGTCTCTTCTTCTTCCTCGCGTAAACGATCAACGTTTGCGGCTGCAGTCCATTGGAAATTGCTACAAGGCTGGAGAAAATTGGGGATTTTTGTGGTACTGTGGGATTTGAAATTGTGAAATTGAGAAGTGGGTTGAAGAAAATGGAGGCATGCGAGCCTGAGGAAGGACGTATGGGCGTGAATGGAGGTGTGGTCTGCATTTTAGAGCTCTGATGCTTTGCTTTTCAGGCGGAGGATAGAGGAGACGAAGATGAATGGGAATGACCGTTGGGATCCACACACTTGCACTTCCTTCACACAAATTTTGAAATTTTTTTGTTCAAATACTATTTTCGTGCCAATATTATTATTATTATTATTATTACTAATATATATTTTGGTACCTCTCTTCTAAAAATGTCTATCTTAAATCTTTGCCTATTTAAAAAGTTTGTTATAGTCTGTAAGATAGATATTTAATACCATCGACACATCAATATGTCAATCGAAAAACTAACCCTACAACATGGATGATAGAAATGCTAACCAAGTGACATCCTTCCTTATATACTAATAAAGGAGAAATGTCATGGATCATGAAAGAGGTTGACCCATCTCCCCTCACCTATCAATTAATAATAATCAAAGGGCTTCTTTATAAACTCAACACTGAAGGGATTTGACGAGACAGTGGTTCGGGTCGTTTAACCCTGCAGTCCCATTTAGTGCAGAAAAATCGATAAATTATGAAAAATATATTTTCTTACCTAACAAATAAAATATAAAAAATATCGACAAAATATTTATAGTACATACATGTTATTAATATTAATTATTTTTAACTTATTTAGTACCGTTAATTTAAATATTTATTATAATTTTATAATTTCTGAGAAATATCTATCAACGACATTTCACCAATACTTCCGTTCATAATTTCACGAAACTGAGATTTAAAACCTTGATTAGCGGTGGTAAATTGTATAAATTTCGAGCCGACGTGTCGTTTACGTCAAAAGTTGGGGATGACGTTTGAAATCGAGTGGTCGTTCTCCTTGTAAACGCATGTCGGAAAGCGCCATGGAATTGCAGAGCACTGCGCAAAAGGAGATGGAGACGGCCAGTTCTTCTTACGACGATACGAACCCCTGCCCGATCTGTCTCGGATCCATAATTCGACCTTCTTACCTCGACAAATGCTTCCGTACTTCTCTATCTCTCTCAATCTCATCATTCTCTTGTTTTTCTTGAATTTTCCGGTAATCCAACAGATAACTATTTTGAAATATTGTTCATTTGTACGAATTAGGGTTTTTTAATCATATAGTTACCTACTTGGAAATGACCCTTTATGTGTTACTGCCACTTTATTGTCCTTTTAGGGGATTTCAGCTCCTAGCTCTTTCTCATATTTGCTGGACGAAATTGTTCGATCACTATAGTATGTTGTAAGATAGAATTAAGGGGTTTCATTTGGGATAAATTAGCTAATTCTTTACTTTGAGTGGACATAAAATTCTTCTACAGATGCTCAATTTTATTCAGGCAAGCCGTTTCTTCTTCAAGGAAAATAGAAACAACAGTAAGTTTGCTATGGTGGCTTTGGTACGTTGAGTGTACTCATTGATGGACTCTGTTACCTTCTTTGAGATGAATTTGATCATATATATATATATATATATATCCATGAGGGTCTAGACTAGCTTACGCGGATCTCAACTAAGCTTACGGGACAACCGCCTGACCCTACTATATTTGGTTGATTGTCGAGGAAATATGTAGGACATTAAATTCTAGGTTGGTGGCCACCATGGGGTTTGAGCCTTCCTTATAAGTGGACTTGAATATTGATTTTAGTTACGTTGAAAAATGCATGGAACAATGATATTGTGTTGATCACTAGTAATTCTAAAGTTTGAGCTTTAAAGTTTGAGTGAATTTGGTGATTGAATTTACTCTTAAAAAAGTTATCCATCCGTTCATTCATGTTAAGTACAATTTACTATTAGGGAATGTCAATATAGTTTTCCAGTTCGAATGCTTTTAATTCTATTTCTTGTCTTGCAGATAAGTTTTGTTACAATTGCATTGTGCAATGGACCAAAGTGGTTTCTGGCAAGCGCTCCTGCATTCTTTCGCCCATTAAGTGTCCTTTATGCAAGGTTATATCTTCCGTCCCCTGTTGTATAAGTATTGTTTTATATTAGCATTCCATACTTTTTGTATTGAATTTCTTATCATATTGAATCACCAGACAGAAAGTTCTTCTATAATACATGGATTAGATGGACATTGTTTCCAAAGGCATTACGTTAATCAGGATTTTCAGGATAGGTATCTCCCTGTTGACACTTTTCCTTAGATTTCCTATTCTTATTTTCTCTGCATTAATTGACTATGTTTTTATCACTGATGCTATTTGCAGCTTTATCTTATCAAAAGCCCACAAGTATAGATTACAGTGCTATTATACTGAACCAGGTTCATGTTCTGCTAGTCATTATACTCATTATGTGGATGTTTGATGCTCCGACATTTACTTCATGATTACTCAAAGTTATGTATTTCCCCTAATTGTCTACGTGTAGGTTTCTTGGAGGACATATTCAATGTACAAAGATACTGGAAATTACGAAAGTATCTCCAAGCAAACCAATGGCTTGAAGTTTGGTTGAAAAGGGAACTTCAAGCTTTGATTCAGGTTCCTGACTTAGTTTCCTACATTGCATTTATACTTGTATGGAATACTGCTTCCTTAATTCGGTCCTTTTTGGTTTTGGAGAATGTTTAATGCCCAACATCAAACATAATTCTCACGACAAAAGAGGCAATTGGAAAGGGGAGCAATTTCTGCACCCCATTGCCAATTCTCCTGTGGTTGGATTCTCTAGAACCACAAGAATCTTATCACTACACCTTAATTAATGAGTTTTTAAAATCCAAAATGCCATCGGTATAAAAGATGCAACATGGGGAGATAAAAGGAAAAAGGGGATGGGATTTCACTCGCTTTGGGCATAGTCTCCCTGGAGGGTTTATTTGTTGAATGAGAATTTGAGAACTCTGTTTTCGTTTAATGGGTTATAAGAACTATGTGTATTCTGGATATGTAGCTGTTGTGGGAATTAAGTAGTCAAGATGAAGTAAAAATGTGCCTGTAGTCCTCCCTTTGCTTTAACTTTGTGGATAGTACATTGGTCAATCACACAATTTAGTAGGCAAAGCTTTCCTGTAGACATTTAAAAGTTCCATTTCTGATACGATGTTCTCTATAAGAACCAACAATGTTAGTACAAAATGACCCCGTTTCTGTGTCATAGTTTATTGATTTATCCATTCTATTTCTATGTACTCCAGTTCCTTGTGTGTGTGATGACTGATAGTATCTATTATCCTTTTACAGGAAGAAGATGTTGACATAATTATGCACCACCTACTTGGCTTAATCAATCCATTTTTTAGTAGGTAATAACTTTCAGTTGTTGCTTTCTAGATTTTGATCAAATAAAAATTTGGTCACCACAAACCTATCAGTTCTTTTATAACTATGGTGTCAAGACCCACGCTATGTATTATGCTCCTTACACACCCCACTAATCTCTAGGAGGCTTCTCTCACCCTAAGGCTAAAGACTATAAAGGTGCTAAATTATTAATTTTTCAACCTAAATTTGAACCGAGGAACTTGGATAATATCTTCCAAACACCCCAAGAGCTTATCACCACACACTTATCATTACAATCTCCTTTTTCTTTTAAGCCTTTTGTTGTGGAATAAAAATGTTTGAGCTTATCACCACAGTTGAGAATATTTACTTTCATTCCTCTCTAACTATGACTTTTCCACCTGAACGTAAATATGCACGACTTGATTACTGATTACACTCTGAAACCTGATTCTTCTTTGATTTTTCTTGAAGAAATGAACAAAAGTATCAAACAGAATCTCCTGAAGTGAAGCAGGAAAAGTTCAGCAGCATCGTCCACGATGCAGCAAAGCCGTTTCTGTCTGCAAGAGCAGACCGATTTGTGCATGAGCTGGAACTGTTTCTTGCTTCAGGTTTGAACATCGAAGCCTACGATTCGGTTTACTTGCAACGGTTGGGCTGGAGTGAGCCAGTGGTGCCTAGTGTGGCTATCAAAGAAGATCTTGGACTCAAACCTGTAACTCCATACTTGTACATCTTTGACTATGACCCTGATGATGGTGAATAAAAAAGTTCTTCCTCTTCCAGTTTGAGTTGAATGAAAAGTTGTTGGAATTTGATTGTATATTTTCATTCGAGTCTGGATAGCTATTTAACCTGTCAAGTTGTTTGCTGTAACTTTTGGTTATTGAATTTGTCATCTTTTATCTACCTATTAATATTTGTCCCATTGAGATAGGTTGCTTACCACTCTGCCTCCACAGATAAAGGGAATGGTCGGTTCGGGTCTAGTTTTGGTCAAAATCGACGCTGATGCAATAGGTCGATTTAAGGAAAAGATGTATATATATATCAAATGGCTCACACGATGAAGATTGATCGAATAAGGTGAAACATATCAAATCATAATTACGATCTATATTTCATTAAAAATAAATGGTATATGACTTCAAATTATAATTCAAATCATATTTTTAAATGTTAGTTAAAACATATGAGATCATAATTATGTTCTACAGACTCTGAATTGTAATTCGAATCATATATGTTGATGCTGAAATCTGCCTAAGTTCCGAGGGACGATCTCTGAGGTCGATTCGTGCCATTTGAACGAGCTCCTCTAGAGGTACCTGCAAGAATAGGTGAGCCACTCTGATGTCCAAATTAGTTCAGGATCCGAGTTTAGACAAATCAGCTTCAGACAGATTCTCATATCTAGATTGGTGGATGGGAGCCGAGAGGTGTATCCATAGTAGTTAAAGGGGTAGCTACCTATCTCATCGAGGTATTTCTGTGCTCGGACTGGGTTCATCTCATGGACCAATGGTCCATGTGTGTTATCCGGATCCTTCCCTGCTTCAAGAGGGGTATTCTAGACGTCTCCAAGAGTATCAACGACCAATCTGTCAGGTCGACCTTATTCGTTGCCAATCGAAGCCTTAAAAAGTTTGTCTCTCAACAATATAATTTTAAATGTCAACTTTAGCATAGTTCAAGTAATAAAGATAATCAATCCGAATATATCTCTCTCTGATAAAAAAGAGAGAAGAATAATTAGAAACATGTGTTTAAGTTGTAGATTTGAATATTCTCTCCTCTTCTATATATAGATTGAGATAAATGATGGAAAAATTAATGTACAGTAACTTGATTGGATAATTATTTTGTTTTTGAAAATTAAGTTTACAACCACTCCACTTCGACTGAATTGTTTTTCACGGAAACAAAAAATATTTTTTTAACGTATAAAATAATTTGGTTGTGGACAGATGCAATCAGCAGTTTATTGGGAAACAAAAAGAGAAGTTTTCGAAGTCCTAATAATTGAAGTTCCTCGTGTTGGGCATGGAAGTCACATGTTACACGAGAAGAAATATTGAAAGCAAATGAACAATGAATCAATCAGAATCAGCGCCAGTTTTTCAATTCAATCGCTTTCTTCGCTCGGAGCAGAGGCATCCAGGAAAGGCTTTGAAGCTTCTTCTTCTGAAATTCATTAGAAAATAATGGAAGTCAAAGCCAGAGCTCCTGGGAAAATCATACTCTCCGGTGAACACGCCGTCGTCCATGGATCTACCGCCGTTGCCGCTTCCGTGGATCTCTACACTTCAGTATCCGTTCGATTGCCAAGTTCTTCTGGTGCTCTCTCTCTCTCTCTCTCACTGGGGTTTGACTTTTTTTGTTGGTTGGTTGGTCCTGAACTGAATAATTTGGATGGTGAATTTGCGGATTATTAGTTTATTTCATGTGGGTGATCTACTTTCTTGATGCCCATTTTGAAATTGATGATATTTCTGTGCTTTTTTAATTCGATGAACCCTCCCCATTTTATTTTATGGGTTATTAATACTTGCTTTTGTATAAACTACATTTTCTGGGAGTGTAATCTATCTACTTAGACATTTTGTATGCAGTTTTCTGGTGTTTTTTTCTTGTTCATGTTGTATCCATTTTCACATTTGAGTGTTGCTTGATTTGTAAATCTGAAACTTGATTGAACTCTTCTTCTTGCTATTCAAGAAAAAAGAGAGGGATAAATGAACTTAGTTGTCAGGATTTCTCTGCAAATGTGATTCTACATCTATTTTCCGTCATTCCAGATCACAGATTACTTTTCTTATAATTGGAGAATCTTTTTACATCTCATTCACTCCAGTCCTTGTACTCACTTTTCCTCATCAAATTGCATGCATTGTTATCAGACAAGGATGATACTGTGAAACTCCAACTGAAGGACCTGGCACTTGAGTTTTCATGGCCAATTAGTAGAATTAAGGAAGCTTTGGGTGAATATGTCGGTCCTGTCTCGACTCCCGCGTCGTGCTCTGCAGAGTGTTTGAAATCAATTGCATCTCTGGTTGAGGATCAAAACATTCCCGAGGCAAAAATTGGACTTGCCTCTGGAGTGTCTGCATTTCTTTGGCTTTATTCTTCAATCCGAGGGTATGCATTTCATCATAGGTTTGATATATATTCCCCTGTTCACACTCCATTTCACTTTCTCTTGTCTTGTCCCATATGTTTCAGATTTGTGCCCGGTAACGTGGTGATCTCTTCTGAGCTTCCTCTTGGATCTGGCTTGGGGTCATCGGCTGCATTTTGTGTCGCAGTTTCAGCCGCCCTGCTTCCCTTATCAGGTTCTGTCAATGTCGATCGGGAGCACCGGGGATGGAAGGTATATGAACAAGATGAACTTGAGTTGTTGAACAAATGGGCCTTTGAGGGTGAAAAGATAATCCATGGAAAACCCTCTGGAATTGACAATACAGTGAGCACATATGGTATGCAAAATCCATTTTTCTTCTTACCATAATCTTTCCACCTTCTGTTCAACTGTTTATTTGCTAGATTGCTTGCATTCTATTTGTTACTGCATGTTTTACTAATACACCTAGTTTTCAAGAGAAGTAAAGGCAATTATAATGTGAATTCTTGGCTTCTGCAATGCAAACTCTAGACTGGTCATTATAGACTTCTTGCTCAAGAACTTACTCCATATCACTTTCACAGCAGACTAATTTTTATAGATTTAGTGATTCATTTTTCAAGAGCCAAGGTATTGGAATATCAAAAAGTAAAATTCGTTTGTGTCACAGATTTTTTCCGATTGGAAACACATCATGCTATTCTAATGAAAAACTTCAAAGAGGATAAATATGATATTCTGATTAATATGTTTCAGTCGTCGCTAGGGTTAACTTGGACCGTCTAATTGAATAGCACCAGTTTTTAATGTGTGTTTTCATGTGTGCATGTGGTAATTTCATTACTTGAACTCGGTTTCAAACCACGATTCATATTGGATTTATATGTTACTAATTGGTTGGTTCGTTCAAGTTCTTAAGTAAAAGATTTTTTAGTCTCTCTCTCATCTGAAAATCTTATGTATCAGGCAGCATGATCAAGTTCAGGTCAGGCAGTTTGACCCTCATCAAATCAAACATGCCATTGAAAATGCTTATAACAAACACTAAAGTTGGAAGAAACACAAAGGCTTTAGTTGCAGGTGTTTCAGAAAGGACCATTAGACATCCCGATGCAATGAGCTCAGTGTTTAACGCTGTCGATTCTATCAGCAAGGAGTTATCTATCCTTATTCAGTCACCTGTTCATGATGACTTGTCCCTAATTGAGAAGGAAGAGAAGCTAGCGGAGTTGATGGAAATGAATCAAGGTTTACTCCAGTGTATGGGGGTAAGCCATGCATCTATCGAAACTGTCCTCCGAACGACGTTGAAGTACAAACTAGTTTCCAAATTGACAGGAGCTGGAGGAGGTGGCTGTGTTCTTACGCTGTTGCCTAACTGTATCCTTTTTCTGTTATGAGACCTTATGGCATGATTCTTCATTTGCTCTCATTTCAATCTCTTTATTTTTCTCTGGTGAATGTTGATGTTCTTATAGTTTATAGGTAGGAGGACCTGGTAAATCGTATAGTTTGCTTTTTGTTTCATATGATTTTAAAAGTTTCATTTTGTCTAGCATCCAGCTACAGTAAAACAACGAAAAATACAACTTCATCTATGATCTAATATTCTTTCATGTGTTTTCTTAACCATGTGAAACAGTACTTTCAGGAACAGTTGTTGATAATGTAATTGCAGAGCTCGAGTCCTGTGGATTCGAATGCTTCATTGCTGGGATTGGAGGGAAAGGAGTCGAGATCTTGTTTGGTGATTCATCTTGAATTCCCAAGCTGTTTTTTGAATGAAATAAACTCTTTTCTTGTTCTTTTCTTGAATCTAGTTAGCTCGTTACTTCTTGCATATTACTTGAAGAACATTTCTCGAAATCATCGGTATGTCTACTTCACATGCCCGACCCCCAATAAGAGAGAGAGAAAATAAATTTTGTTCTTCCAGTTTGTTAGTTCATCAACCAGGAACTGATTCTTAGATACATCTTTGTTCTTTGAATGGAACTGATTCTTAGATACATCTGAAGATGTGTTAGTTTCTCTTTTTCCTTTCTGTTACTGCTGGTTTAATATTGAGGTCAGTTTCAGGCACCAAATGTTCGACAGTAGAAACTTGGTAGAATAATATCGCATTTTTCATTTGGGGCTGTTCATTTTAATCATTTACATGCTAAAGTGTGCCTAGCTCAACGATAATTGGCATATATCTCCGATCGAGTTTGATTCCCCACTCTCACATGTTATACTAATATAACATTCACATTGCATATCATGTTGTGAAGAAATTCTTAACCTCTTTAACACTTTCCAGACAGTTCTACTTTTTTTTCTCCATTTCTCCTTTCAACTTTAATAGTGTCTACACTTCCTTAAATTGTTTTTCGATCAACCAAATAATATAATATATATATATATAGTAATTATACTGACCAATCAATATCTATCTTTTACTTATCATTATTAAAATATTATTAAAATTTTAATAAATAGGAGAGAAAATGTAGAAATAGAAATATTTTTTCTTTTTTTCAAATAAATGAAGGATTGTCAAATATTTAATGATAGTCAACCACGAGAATGATGTTGATTAATCAACATTTAAATATTTTTCAATTACAGTCCTGGTAAAAAGAACTTTTTTTTTTCTTTTAAGAGTATAACATTACAGATGTGAGAACAAAAATTTAAACAATTCAACATGTGGTTTTAACCGATTAAATTATACTCCAATCAGCACATTTGCAGTATACCTTCTAACTTATTAGTTTTCTTACCAACCATCTAAAAAAAGTAATTTAACATGTAAAAATATAACAAATTTGAAAACTAAAAAAACATCTCTAAATTGCCATAAATTAGAGAGAACATAATTTCATGAACTTAATAGTTTGTATTAATCCAAGTTATAATATCTGAATACCAAAACTTGCAACCCAAAAAAGGGACAAAATTGGTGTAATTTGAAAAGTTGAAAATTGATATGAACAGCCTATATAGCATTTGGTTCACTTGGAGCCATTGCTTTATCAAATAACCAGGAACATATGCTTCAACCGGCAAGTCCAGCTCTTCTTTTTTCTTTCTTTCTTTTTTTGGTGTGCTTCACAAGATATGCTTTGATCTTAGCTTTACTAAAGCTACTTGCCATTTTTTGGGACATCCCAGTTCCATTCGACATTTTTGCTTCAAATATAAGAATAAAAATTCGCTCGACATGTCAGACATTTCAGCAAAGACATCAAACCATCAACTCGGAAAATACGTTGAAGAAGAATAAAGAAAATTCTTTCTTTCAATCAAAGAAACATTGGACAGATGCAACGCAGATGAAGTTTTCAAGCATCAGTTATCTCAAGAAAAATTGAGGGAAAAAAGGAAATGAATGGTCTGAGATGATTATAATGAACTATTTGATTGGACACAAAGAAGAATGTTGGTTAATCTATTCGATTGATAACTCAATGACAAAATTTAATTAATTTAACCGGTAGAAGATTCAAAATTCTACCTTTATAGCTTTGAATAGTATGAGGATGGGCAATTTCTGCTTCTTTCTTCTTCTTTTTCCTTTTCTTTAATCTTTCTGCTTGGTTCCAATGGCAGCAGCATGTTTCACATGTTTGCAGTAGGGAGTGGAATTTTGTAACCTTCACTGCCAAGGCAAAAAAACACACACAAATGAAGTCATAAAAATGAAAGCGGAGCTTAGGCAACAATACAAGTAAAAAGATTGATTCTCTTTTTTTTATTTTTAATGACAAATATTTGTACTTCCAATGTTGATTCTGAAACTGCCATGGCTTTCCTGAAACATTTCCTCAGCCTCTGTGCTCTTCTACTCTGCTTGCTTTCTCTGTTACATTTGGTGCACGGTGATGGTTAGCCTTCTCTCTCTCTCTCTTTCTAAGATTTGTCAAATTCATTCAACTTCACAGAAAACAACATATGCTTATACAACAGGAACTTGAAGTTCCCAACTTTTTACATGAGGTTGTACAAAAAATATTAATTTTTCCCCAAACCCTTTTCTCCACATTTTCAAACTAAGTGATCTTTCAGTCATCTTTCTTGGCACATTCATCAAAGAAATATACAGTATAAATATGGTCAGTCAAACTTACAGCTGTTTTCAGACGATGAATCGCCTTCTTTGTTTTGTATCTTCATAAAACTGATGGTGAAGCTTCATATCTACACCTGCAGTTGATTTAGAGGAGCTCTTTAATGGCTTTAACATCTACAGAAACTCAAAAGACCAGCCGGCTCTGATCGAGAGCTTCAAAGCAAAGTGTATAGCACATCAAATTGCAAAGAACTGGTATAACAAACTGCCTTGCAGTCAAGCCTCAAACGGCGACGCCCTTTTGCCAGCGAACCAGAGCCAACTTCCTCCGTTCACTCGATACTCGAGAAAGTGCAAAGTTCACATCAATGATACAGTAGATGGGGTTATTTTGCCAGTGTATGTGCCTAAGTTACCAGAGAAACTTATGCTTGCCAATTGCACTCATTCTCACGCCCCAAAGTATTTGGGTAATGCAACTTTCACAAGAGTAGGTCTTGCTACTCATGAAGATTGTTTGGTGATTGCTTTGGGTACAAATACAGTTGGTGGAAGCTATTCTCCTGGTGTCTCTCTGGTTCCAAATATTGGTTGGGTTTATCGGTTGGCATTGTTGTTTCTGGGGTCATTCCTTTGTTCTGGTGAGGGCCAAAAGCTCTTGTTTTCTTTCATTCTTTAAAATGGTGTTCCTCTGAAAAATTTAGGGTCCATGATTTTCTGAAGGAGTTATGTAATGCAGTTCATCTTCATCTTCATTTTATACAAATTGGAACAGCATATATAAAGGATATTTTGAAGGAGCAAAGAAGTTTCTTTTTTTTTTCCTTTGTTTTCTACTACCGCTGGTCTTCAGGCCAACTTACACAAGCTCTTGACTAATCACAAGAGACAACTATTCCATACTATAATATTTGATATTGAAAAGCCTCTTCAGATATTTTATATTTTAGTTAGGTGACCACTGGGATTTATAAATAGTTTCTTGATTGAAACCAATTTAATGAAGAAAAGAAAATTTGAATGCAAAAGCATAATAGAATTTGCTTTAAATCCCAAGAAGAATATGTTCTCATTAAAAGCAGGTAGAAAGTTGAACCAGTGCCCATATCAGAAACAAAAGAAGAAACCCCAACTTCAGAAAAGAATCTACAGGAGCAGCCAGGGGGGGATTTAAAAATATATATTTGAAAAAAGGAAAGAAAAAGCCTGGAGAATTCTCTGAAAGAATCAACTTTTGTCCAAAGAAAACTCTCAACAATAGTGATACCTTGGGATGCTATAAATGACTTGCACCTTTTAAAATGAAAGCCACTGATATCTTCAGAGTTAAAATCATAAAACAATACTATAATGGAGTTTAAAACCGTGGGGAACCTTGAAAATATGGTTAATAGGTCATTAAACCAAAGGCATAATCAGAAAGAGCAAAATGTTCAAGGGTAATGAAGTCCAAAGCTAAAATATGAATGTCTATGAACTGATAGAAACTACAACACCTTCAACTTCCTTGTGCATTGTGCATCACCTCAACTGTTTTGGAATATATGCACAAAATATGAAACTGAAACACGTTGAGAAAAAGAATTCCAACACTCTTCCCTGATCAAATGAGCAAGAATATATCCCCAGCAGGTGCATAATTTACAGTTCATACACACCTGTAGAGAAAAATTCAGAAAGGTATTTGCAGTTTCAATTCTGAAGAAAGATACGATTTTAGACCTGAGGTTGGTGCGATTGTATATGCCTTTACAGGCAAAATGATCAAGCAAATCATAGTTGTCCCTTGAGCACCTTTGATTCCATTTACAGATGTAGTAATGAACACACGAAGTGGAACATAGGAACCTTATACCCTTCATGTATAAAGCAATATTTACCAGAACAAGCAAATTATAGATTCATAGAGAGATCACAAAGGCAGGAGGGAAAAAAAGACATGCAAGAACCTCATATACTAATTACTTCTGTTCAGCTCTTTTCTGTCCAAGCAAATCTGATCCCTCCTCCTTGACCCTGCAGCTGCATAATGGCCTTGGCCTCCCACAAACTTGGCCTCTTCCTCTGCAGTCTTGCTCATGGCTTGCTGCTATTGTCGCGCTTGGGCCATTGTGATGGTTCTCTCTCTCTCTCTCTCTCTCTCTCTCTCTCTCTCTCTCTCTCTCTCTCTAAACACAAACACAAACACACACACACAGGCTTTACATAGTTCCATGTCTTTGCTGGGTTCTTTTGTGCACTGTGATGGCTCTCTCTCTATACACATAACACACAAATGTCAATACTTCCAAACCTTTGCTGGGTTCTTTTATGCTGCGTCAATGATAATTCCCCATCACCCATAGACGTCGTCTCCTTGTTACTGCCTCACAAAAACTCACGCCCAAATCCCCATCATTTGCAGAGAACAAAGACGCACTTTTCAAAGCCATGAACAGCTACAGAAGCTTCAACAAACTCTCCACCATGACTAAGAACTCCAACGCAGAATGCCTAGTCCAGCAAATCGCTTGGGACTTCGACGACGAGTCACCCCTCAGCACCTTCACCAGCGGCTCCACCATCGCTCCAAGCAATTTCTCCCAACTCCCGAATCTCCCCGACTATCTATCCCAGTGTAAAATCGAGCTCAACCACACCAAAAATGGCGCGATTGTGCCCCTCTACGTCCCCAAATTGGCGTTGAATCTTGTTCTCTCCGAATGTACCCATTCCCAAATGGTCGAGTACTTGCGAAAACCTGAATACACGTCGGTCGGAATTGGGTATTATGAACAATGGGCGGTGCTTGCTTTCGGCACCAATTCGACCGCCGGAAGCTTTTCTTCTTCTGCAAATTTGTCTGATATAGGACTTCGCTATTTTTTCTTGGTGTCGTCCTTGCTGCTGGGGTTGTTTATTTTCATCTGAAACGACGTGTCGGCACAGTTTGAGAAATTTCAAGGCATGATAACCAGGCCATGGCACAATAATCATCCTTCCTTGTTCTTCTAATCATATAAGTTAATGAAATCTATTGGCTCATAGAATTAAATCTCCATTCTAAAGAAGGGCTTGATTTGGGGTGCATTTAAGAATTTCCAAGACCTTAATCGGTCTTATTTGTCCCAATGCGAAGAAAGTTAATCTCATAGGTCATGGATTTGAACTCATTTCCTCTTAATTAAACCTAGTCTTTTTTTATCAATGAACCATCATGATAGTTCTGAAAAAGAGTATATTAGACTATATTAAATCGTATAAAATTATTGAAACTTATTAAATGATAGGGACTCATTTGAGGAGGAAAAGAAAATTCAAATGATAAAAGACTAAGATAGATATTTAAGGATCTGTTCGGTTAGAAACTCGAATTCTGTTTTTTGTTTTCAAATTCACTGAATCAAATGGATTCAGCGAATACGCGTTTGTCTCTAATCCTGACAAACGCGTATGTAACGTTGTCGGTGGTTTAGATGAAGGCGGAAGAGAACAACATTTTATATATTATTAATTTCTTTTTTTAAAGGAAACAAATACTTAGATCGAATGAAATATTAAAACCTACGAATCTGAGAGTTATAAAAAAGACTCACCAATTTAACCTATGAAGAATTAAAAAAAGGAATCAATAGGATTAAAGTGAGCATAAAGTTACCAAACTATATTCCAATTAAGTGCTTCTTACTAACAAATTTTACATCTTATCCTTTAATAAATTTAATATTAAATTCATATATCTAGTATCTTTCTAACACAATCAAATTCTTTCTCTTATTCTTTTCAAATTGAGCACAAGTATTTTCTCTAATCATACCCTATTTTTATTTTTTTTAAATATAATTTATTGCAACGTTTATTTCTCTTAATATACCACAAATAGTTTGGGGCAAACGTGAATTTAAATAAAAATTGAAATCCTATAAAATTTTAAATAATTATCTTTAAAAAGTTTATAAATTGCCAACAATGATACAACTTGCATTTTCATAATTAAAATTAAAAATTTTCAAATACTAATTTGAGTTTTTTTTTAAGTGTGGACAACAATTATTTTAAAAATAGTGTTGTTTGGATATAATTTAGTTTGTGTGGAATATAATTGCATGCATGGAATAGAGGGCAGGTGGAAGGGGGAAGAAGAGGACACGTGTCTGTTTTGGGTGTCAAAATTGCAGTTCCATGGGAGGCCACCTGGACAAGAATCGGAGACAAAACCGTATCCATCCCCCACTCTGAACAAGTCTTTCCCTATTTTGTTCAAAATCTGCCCTTTCTTTATAAACTAACTCACACAGAAAAACCAAACCGACAAACAAAAACTACACTGTAATCCATCTAATCAAATCCAATATCTATCCATCCATTTGAATGGCAATGGCAATGGCAATGGCTTCCTCCTCTTTCTTCGCCTTCTCCTCGCTTATCGCCATCGCATTTCTCCTCTTCTCCGCTCCAGTTCTCTCCAAAGGTATCTCTCTTTTCTCTCTTTCTCTTTGATGGTTTTGGGTTTTTGTTTTCAAGTACAATGAATTGTGTGCTTTTTTTGGGTAGTTTGCTAAGGACCCCTCGTTCAATTTCTTGGTTCTAGTTTCCAATTTTTTTGAGCAATTTAAGCCTTTCGGTTCCAATTTTCTTGAGCAATTTAAGCATTTTGTAACTAACTTCCTTTTTTCTTTCTAAAAGGAAGAAACAGGAACGTCAAGGCCTTGAGCAATTATTCAAGTATCTTGTAACTAACTTTGTTTCTCGTTCCTAAAATAAGAAACAGGCACAAGGAACATTACCAAATGGGTCCTATCGTTTTCGTTTTTGTTTTATTTGAGAAACTCAACTGTTTATGTTTCCAAAAATTGAAGAACAAGAACAACTTTATTAAGAGAAACGAGAAACAAAAATTGAAGTACAAGAGGAACTTTATTAAAAGAAAAGAGGAAAATAAGAAAGCTGGATTATACCCTTGGGTTCGACATCGAGAGAGGTTTTGTTACTTCCAGTATAGAGGGATTTAGGGGGAGACTACCTTCTTTGTAGGTTTTCTTTTTAGAAGATTTTACACACCAAGATAATGGATTATTTTGAAGGAAAACAATAGAATAGGACTTCTTATTTAGATTTCTTTACAATCCTACATTACAATTACAAATAATACGTGATTCTTTGAAGATTGTGAGGAGATAGCGATGTTTTAAGCATCAAAATATTGTCCGATCAGACCACCATTAAATTTTTACCCTAACAAGGAGGGTAAAGGGTAACTTTTTTTTTATATCCGTGAGAGACGCCTTCTAACATTGAAGTTGTTAAGGAACTTTGTAAGATATAAAATTCGAAGTCTGAAGTTTTTTTTACTGGACCATGAATTTAACCAGGAGATAAATTTTGAGTATGCATCTCGACCGATCAGACCACCATTAAATTTAACGAGGGTAAATTTTTGAGAGACGGCCCACTAACATTTAATGAACTTTATTAAATTCGAAGTGGAAGCTTTTTACTGGACCATGAATTTAACAAAGAGATAAATTTTGAGTATGCATCTGAAAAGGACCTTTCTTTTTATGGCAATCTTCTTTGTTTAGTTTATCCATTTCGGGGTGGGATCAAACCATCCATGAATAGATGTCTTGTTCATGCATATTTTAAGTATTTTGGGTCCACACCTTTATTTTATTTTTAACAAATTTATTATGAGAACAGCATTTGGAGACAAATTATATTATGGACTGAAATAGTTGTTTTTTTATTTTAATATTATAATTTAGACTAGACATTTTACTAGGATTAAGGTCAAATGTAAAAGTTTACGAGGCAGACTAATATTATGGACTGAAATATTATATACTTTCTAAATTTAAGGGGTAAAGATAGACATTTTTTATTTTAGCAGTTAAATAATACGTACAAATTCTGCGAGAAAATTACCTTGGCCTGATTTCGATTTGCAGATGAAGAAGACAACCTTCTGCAAGGCCTAAACAGCTACCGTCAGGCGCAGAACCTCCCGCCGCTGACGAAGAACGCGAAAGCCGATTGCATCGCGAACGAGATCGCGGACGACGCCAAAGACCAGCCCTGCTCCGTCACCACCGCCAAATCCAACGTCGTCGCGAGCCGCCCCTCGCAGCTCACCAAGTTCCAGGACTACGCCGAGAAATGCAAGGTCGACGTGAACTCCACCGCCGACGCCGTCGCGATGCCGGTCTGCGTCCCTAAGCTGGTCCAGACTCTGCTGCTCGCGAACTACACGCACTCGCAGTACGCCAGGTATTTGAACGATTCGAGGTTCGTCGGCGCCGGGCTCGGGAAGGAGGACGACTGGATGGTGGTGGTTCTGACCACCGGAGGGCCCGGCGGGAGCTTTGCCGGCTCGGGGGCGGTCTCGATTGGAGGATCGGTGGGGACGATGATGGTTTTGTTAGGGCTTTTGATTGGGATTTTTGTGAGTTTGTAGAAAGTACTGATCTTACCGGCGGTTTTACTCTGTTCGATAGGTTTTTGGGTTTGGAGTCTTTGGACTTTGATTGGTGTGTGTAAACGTCGTCGTATTATTCTAATGGACAGGTTTCAGTTTTAGTTTTCCAGCTGCTGAATTTGGGATTTTAAAAATTAGGATTGTGTTTAGGGTTGGAATTTTTAATATTTAGTTATCACTTAAATAATAATAATAATAATAATAATGACATAACATATAATTTCTCAAGAAAAAAATAATAATAATAACATAACATATAAATTTTACCTATTTTTCGAGGAGGAGGATGATGATATGGAAGAGTTCATTTATCATTTGTTGTCATGTGTCTAGTTTGGTAAGTTTGCAATGAAGAGCATTGAGTTATGTATAGGTCAAGGAAAGAGGTCATATTGAGTTATATATAGGTCATTTATCATCTGTCATGTGTTTTAGTTCGGTAAGTTTGGTGAGGTCATCTGTCACGTGTCTAGTTTGGCAAGTGGTGGTCGATTCTGTCTAGTTTGGTAAGTTTGGTAAGTAGCAATCGAGTCTGGCAAGTGGTGGTCGATTCTGTCTAGTTTGGTAAGTGGCAATCGAGTTTGGTAAGTTTGGTAAGTGGCAATCGAGTCAATCGACCTGTGAGAGAGAGCAAGAGTATTGAGTTATATATAGGTCAATTTTCAATACATATAAGTCAATCTTCAATACTCTCCATATACATCTGTTACGTGGCAATTAAGTCGAGTTGACCTTCGATGGAGAGCATCGAGTTACATATAGGTCAATCTTCTAATGCTTGATGCATAGGTAATCGAGCATTGAGTTACGTATAGGACAACCTTCCTTCAATGGAGTAACTCAATGCTCTCCAAAGGTAATGGAGATATTTTTTTTGACAACGTGTCGCATTTTTTGTGATATCAGAGAGTTGTTAGGGAACAAACTACACAAGTTCACACGAAATTGTTCTCTAGAACTATTTATTGAGTAAAGTGACAGAATAGTAATAAATTGAATTGTGTATGGATTAAAGTGACGGGGTGTTACCTTTATTTCGTAGGTACTTCGAGTTTCAATACACCTCATATGAGTCTAGTGGAGGAGTCTGGTCGGTTCGTTCATCCGAGTCTGGTGAATGAGTCTGGTCGATGTCACGATCAGTATATAAGTCTAATGGAAGAGTATGGTCGGTTCATTCGAGTTTGGTGGATGAGTCTAGTCGATTTCACGATCAATAAATTTAAAAGATAATGACATGAATATTAATATATGAAAATATGTTAAATTATAAAGTTTCAGATCCATCTATGCTACGGGCATATTGAGATTAAATAAACATAATGTATGACAAAAACAAAAAAATTAATGTAACGGGTCCAAAGAAGGAAAGAATAGAGTCTGACCTGTATATTGCGGCTAAATAAAATGCGCGCATCCGTAGAGCATCAAATCCCTGAATCTCTGAATCTCAATCCAACGGACGGCGACGGTGGGAACCGGCGACAGAAGACCGAAGACCGAACAGCGAACCAGAGGGGAGGGTCGTCGCTATCGCCATGGTAGAGGACGACGATGAGGAGAATTTCGGCCATTTCAATTTCGTTATGAATCCCAATCACACCAGCAACCGGACTTCCTCCACAACCCTCGATGAAGACGATTGGGGCGATTTCGTCGACCATTCTGCTCAGATCACCGTCGGTGTCGATCTCTCCGGCGGCCTCTCCCCTGCCCACCCTTCCCCCAATTCGCTCGGGACTTCAAATCCCTCCGTCCAGTCCCCCAAGATCCAGTGGGCGAAGCCTCAGGGGGCTATTCCGCTCTCCATTTTTGGTTTGGAGGAAGACGAGGAGGAGGAGTTGGGATCCGGCGTAGTCGATTCTGGTCGCGGATTTGGTGAAATTTCGTTTGCCGGGAGAGAGAGCGGTTCGGCAAGGAATTCCGGTGTTGGGGTTGAGATTAATGATCTCATCATAGCGAATTTGTATAGTCCGAACCAGCAGATCAAAGGCGGAACTGGAAGTCCGTTGAAATCGAACATGGAGTTCGATCCTCTGAACTTCAACAATTCCTTGAATTTGAAATCCAATGGCTCCGATTTGAATGTTAATGGTGTACATTCTTATTCGAACCGAACAAATTTTGATGGTGATTCTTTAAATTTTGAAGTTAATGGAGTGAAGCCAAATGGGTTCCATTCCGACCTGACAAACGTGGCAGAGAGCATTGAGGATGATGGTGAGGAGGTGGACGATTTTGATGGATGGGAATTTAAGGCTGCAGAGTCAGTAATGCCGACGGGTGATGATCAGAAATCTAAGGTAATGATTATCTGGTTTTCTAACAAGATTTAAGGCTTTTGTCATTGGCTTGCTAACGAACAGAGGAAGTTGAAACTAAACTCCAGAAATTGGTTTTATTTTCCAATTTCTTAGAGCTCCAATGTATTGGGAGTACGGGTTTTTAGGTGTTCCATATTTAAAATAGAAGTTAGTAGAATACAGTTCGAAAATTAGACAGGAACTTGGAATTCAGAGTTTTGATACTGTTCACTTAATTATTGTAAAAAATAACAGTAGGAGCTACTCATTTTCGTAACTATACCAGGAAGAACTGGTTTTTGAACCATTTGATTTGAAGATGGAGCCCATAATGCAGATTTAAGGTGAATTCAGGCCTGTATTACTTTATTTACTTTTTAGTTGCCGACATTTTAATGTTCAAAGTTGCTGGAAAATTATAGTTCTTTTTTTTTTTTTTTTTGCTGCTTTTAGGTACTAGTATGTGCATTACTTTTAAATTACAGCTGGAGACTCCTGTTGTTGTACCTGGTTGTTTTTTAGAGCCTTATAAAATAATGTCTATGAACTGCTATGCTAATTTCAGTTGATACTTTAAGATTGACATTCTGTAATCTGAAGGTTGACGGGAAAGGCCAAGAAGGTTTCAATGGAGTAGCACAGGCATTTGAATTCGTAATCAATGGACATAACCATGGAGGTTCAACTGTTCAATCAAATGGAGCTGTTAACAACATAGATAAATGGGACTTTGGTTTTAGTCTTGATCCAAGTCCTGTGGCTCAACATGGCACCTTATCAAATGCACAAAATAAAAATGGTCAGAATGATCCAGATAATGGTTTTAACCTTTCTCCTATTGATCGGAATGCCAATACTGACGAACATGTATGGGATTTCAAGGATGCTTTTTCTGATGCATCGGACTATAAGTTGGTGAGTTGGTATGATTATTTTTAGCATTCTATCGAGAATGTCAAGATATTTAATAAGTTCAGTCATTCTATATTTTTATTTTCAACGTAGGAAGAGTCGAAGCCTGTCACCGTTCCTCCTAATGGTGTAGTGGCACTTGTTTTGAATGGAAGTGTGGATATCTCTTTGTTTGCTGCTGATGGGATTTCTCACAAATCTAGTGAACAACAAAATTTCAACTTAAATTTCAAGCCAAATTGGGGGCAAGAAGACAGGAAGCTTGGAAACCAGGACAGTAACTTCCATGATACCGGGAAAGATTTAAAGACTTCCCCTGTAAATGAGAATGATGATTTCAATGAGAATACTTGGGATTTCAAGTCTGCAGTTACAGATTCTGGGTCAAACAATGAGGTCTTTGGGTTTGTCACGTTCTGGATATCCGAGTTCTATTTTCTGTCTCTGTTTGATATTGATGTTCCGTGTCTTATTTTGGTTGTAGGGAGAGCCAGGGGAATCTGTGGCTGGTTTTGAAGCACCTGCTTTTAGTTTTAGCAGTAATCAGGTGGTTGCTCATATCTCGTGCTGTATGGCAAATTACTGTGGACTTGTTTTGTTCCTTGGTACATCGGAAATTTTTGAGTCATAGAAGAGGATGATAATGCTTCATAGTGCATTAAAATTAGAACAGAGAAGTTGTCCATGTTAGCAATAGTTCTTGTATTGAAGGATTCCTGTGCTCTAGCCCAGATTCTTAGAAAGCAATTACTCATCGTGTCACGGCCAAATACATAGCACGCACAAGAACTAATGTGTGTATATATATAATATATTTATGTATTATCTATATTCATCCTCAATAGTATAACTTCAAATTCTGAATCTTTAAACCATATTCTTCTTTTCACCTCTGTATGATAGATGGAAAAGTTTCTTGTAGTTATCTTTAAATTTGAGGATCTTTCATCCTCCTATTATTATACATGTTCTTTTTCATATATTATTAGGAAAACTTTAATTTATAGTTGTCCTAGTATATTTTCGTTAGGGTCAACTCAAGAGCTTGTTATTTTAAACACTTTGAATATGGATGACATTAATATTCTTGTTCTATTTCCTGCATTTTACCTTCTATGTGTATATAATGTCCATTTCCACATCCAAAATCTCACTCCACATTCTACCTTCAATGTTTTATATCTTGTCAAACTTGAGTTTCTATGTTTCTTTGTTTCTGTAGACATATTGTGCTTCCGGTGATAATGTCAATTCTTTTCTTTTCTTTCCAGAAGAATTTGGAATCATGGTCCAATCACCAAAAAGCCTTGCCCTTGTCCATTTTTGGAGATGAGGAGCTGGAAACTAATGATGATTTCTCGATAAATCAAGATCCTTCTACCTGTATATCTGTCACTCATGAAGGACATTATAGCAAGAATCCCAGTTCTAATGTATCTATCAATGATTTGATATCAAGTCTATATAGCCAAGCTGAGAAGAATGGTTCTATCAATTATTCACCAGAAGAAAATGATAATGGGATCAATTCATCATCAAGGATGTCCCGTTCTGATTTAGGCAATGATGATGATGATGATTCCTGGGAATTTAAGGATGCATCACCGGATATTAATGTGCCAGATCAAATTTACGTTACTGTTCTTGGAGATTTACCTAAGCAGTCATCTACTGGACTACAGTTTGATTGTTACATGGATTTCTATTACAAATTAAATCTTGCTTTGAACCCTGTTGTTCATGGCCTTCTTGAGAATTTAAAGGTTGGCAATCTCATGAATATGAATTTCCATGATATATGTTTTTTAACGTTGTTTAATTATTGAATTATATTCCTTGATAGAAAGCTCAAAGTATTGCCTCTCTTTCTGGTGAAGATGCAAAATCAAAAGCCATTTATGAAGAAATTCAGGTTGGTGTTACTGGTTATTTATTTATTTATTTATTATTATTACCTCTTCAATTTTAAGCCATGATAAATCTTTTTAACTAAACTATCTCTGAGATGTATACTTTCATTTGGTTATGTGCATGTTTACTCATCGTATAGACTTGTTCTTTTGCCTTTTGCATTTGCAACTCTTTTCATAATCATTATAAAATAAATTTCTGTGAACATGCTCCATGTTTTTTGTTGAATGTGTGGTATTTTCATCCGAACTTCTGAACAACATTTTCTTATTTCTTCTTGCAGAATTTCAGCGCCGAACTGTCGCAAGAGAACTTGATAGCTGAGAACGTCTCATCTGAGTTTCTCCTTCCAAGGGATAATTCTTTCAATGAGCTCTTTGAAATGTTGCGGGATCCAAGGTTCCAAATGCTTGACAAAGAATATCATTTGTCAAAAAGGTTACTATTGGTAAGACCTTGCATTATATATATATATATATATATATATATATATATATATATATATATTAATGGGAAATAAACATTTATTATTATTAGCTTTTAGAAGTTTGAATTTTCCTAGTGTTCATATTTTGCAATCACTTTGAATTTAATGTTGAACGCACAAGCCCAATATTTTTCCACCAGTTCCTTTGTTGTAAGCATGAAGGTTTTTATTATTTTTTTTTCTTTTTTTCTTTTAGGGGTGTGCTACTAGTCTACTTTCTAGAATTTAGAATTTTATTTTTCCCATTCACTTTATCCATAGAATTTTGTTTTTTACACTTTTTATTTATTTGATGAATTATATGGTTATTGTCTACACTTCCAGCGTTATGAACTTGGGTGCTTTTTGGTCAATTGATGAAATCAAAGTGACTTGAGTTCAAAGCAATTTTTTATTTTTTTTAAATATCCTTGAGTTTCCGAGCCAGCTTATGCACACTTCGACTAATCTTAAGGGGGACCCATTTGACCCTACTACATTTGGTTCCCAAGGTAACTTGTACTTGTAGGATATTAAATCATACGTAGGTGACCACCATGGTTAGAATTCATTCCTCCCTAAGCCCTTTGCTATTTACATTGGCCCTTTGGTAGAAAGCAAAATTTTAACAAAAGTTCACCATTGTCATTCCTGTAAAAGTTGCAGGATCCAATTTTTAAATTAGAGTTCCACAGGCAAATTTGCTGAAAAAACTTTTTTTTTCTTCTTCTTGTTGATGTCCGTGAGTGTCCGGGTCGGCTTACGCGCACCTCGACTAATCTCACGAGGCAACCGCCTGACCCTAAACATTTGATGCCGGGAAATACATAGGAATTACTAATTCTTAAAGTAGGTGACCATCATGAGATTTAAGCACATTCCCTCTTAATTAACCCTAATCTTTTTGGACCAATGAGCCACCCATTATGGTTTTGAAAAAACCATTATTTTAATGGAGCAAAGCACATTTTGTCTGCTAGCAATTATTAAGCTTGACAGGCTGAGGCGAATTTGTTGTGCTATCTGATTGTTTTACCCAGACCCTCTCATCTTTTCAGGAAGTCAAATTCATGAGTGCAATTCTTTTGTTTAAGAACTTAATTATGTTGAATATTTGTGTTCTTGAAAAATCTAAATGCTAGTGAATATTACTTAATTGCACTTCCTTGTTCCATTGATAGGCAGAAAATGATTTGAGATCAGCTATTGAGCTCTTGAAACATGTTGTGTCAACTCTGAAGATTCTCAAACTTGTATCTGTGGAGGAGCAATCTAATTATGTTTCCATATGGTACCAAATGGTGTTTGTTTGTTTTCATGAATTAAAACACGGTGCCTTGATTTGGAAGGAATCCGTACTGAGAAATGTTGAAAGTTACATATTATCTGAACCTCAAGGTACTGCATCAATTAACACTACAGATTACATTGCAACTGCAAATTTGCTGACAGTGCTTGCTTCCATTGTTTCAGGAAAACAGTATATCTGCGCCCTCAGTGAGATTTATAGAGTAGTTCAAGTGCTTTGGGCCACGGTTAAACTTTACAAGCCATGGATACTGTTAGGTTATGTTGATTCCAGTGGCTTGATTTCTCTTCTAAATGAGTGCTCCGCTTTTTGGTCAAGTTCAGGACTCGTTGGAGCTCTCTGCAAGATAGATGATCCTACTGATTGCAAAGCAGTGTTGGATTCTATCGATTTTATTCAAAATCTTGATGAATGGGGTCTGAGAAAGCACGTTCTCTCAGGACAACAACCTACTTGTTGTCTATCACTCATAAGTGCTGAATCAATTCCAGGTATGCACCAGCTCTATTACTTTTTGTCCCCAAGGTAGGAACTTAGACTTCCTTAGAACCAAAGTTACAAATAGAGATTGGAAAGATGAGGCACCAATCATCATCAAACCCACCATGCTCCCCCCAACCCCACAAGCCGAAAGAGCTTACAAATGCTACTCCCATGTGCTTGAATTTTTATAAGTGAACGATTACAAATGGTTTACAAGAGTGCATCAAACGAACTGCAAAAAGCCAACAAAATTCTAAATTTGGAATTCCCTGTTTCAGTTATCATTGAAGACTGTTGGGTTTCTTTCCTTCCATAACTCCCAAACAATGCCTTAAAAGCATTCATCCAGATCATTTTGGCCCATCCGACAGCTCCTGTAAGGTGACCTTCCTTTTGCACATGACACACCAGATTTTAGTAGAAGGGGACATTTCTTTTTTTTCCCCCTCCTTTACTGAATGAGCTCCGGGCTCCACTGTATTGATTATCCTCCAGGGATCAGGGACCAGATGACAAACTTTTAACTTTTTCAGGACATGTATGTTTCCACCCTGTTGCAAGTAACTTTTCTTACAAATTCTGTCTTTGGCTGTAAATGAGGAGAAGACGCTAAAGCACCTCAGAAACCACATCTTTCTATTCATTTGCTGGTTAGATTTGATATTTTATGGTGAAGTCAAGAGCTTTGTTCATTCCCAAATTTGTGCTTCCAAAAGTTATCTTCTTGATTGCAAGTCCCTAAGCCTGAAGATCTCTCTTCCATTAGTCAGCCAAGCCACTATGAACTCTTTGGACGGTTGGCACTGTGAGCCTAGGGAACTTAGAACTTAGTGGTTAGTTGCCATCCCGTGATTTGGTCGTGAAGTTCATTGTCTCATTCACCTAACTAAAGGCAATAAACTGACTGAATTGATTCCGACCATTAGTTATGAAAGCCCACTTGCATCAACTACTTTCAACATGCTGTTTCAAAGATCCTACCAATTTGATCTTTGCCATGTCTGGCTGGGAATTGCCCGTGTGGCTTATGTCATAAGAGTTCTCCATTAACAGATTGCCAGATCCATTTGGCAATCAGCACGACATTCTTTTACAAACCTCATCCTCCGTTGTGTTTGACAGGAATTACTTTCTTGAGAACTAAGGGGGCGTTTGGGCGTAGGTTTGGCATCAGTAGCCTGTTAAGCCTGGGGTTAAACTTGGGAGTGTTTGTGATGTCTGGGATTGGGAAGCTTGTGTTTGGGGATAAGAATTTGTAGCTTGGGATTGGGTAGCTTATATTTGGGGTGCATGAATATGCAACCCGGGTTTGAGTTTTATATTTTTTTATCTAGATTTTTTTGTGAACTATTCCATCCTTCTGCAATATTGTATTTCATTTTCTAAATTAAAATAATAATAATAATAATAGGAAAAAAAAAGAAAGAAAGTGGTGGGTAACCCATGGGGTTGAATAGTTGGGATTAAATTGAGGAACCCAAGGTTTTTAAGCACACACCCCAAACATGGGTTTGGCTTAAGATGCCAAACCCACCACGTTCCAACCCCTCCTCCCAAATACCCCCCAAGTGATTGTCTTGAAGGAGATTTCTGAACTTAACCCTATCTATAGTATTGACGAGGATTATTCTAGTATCGAGGTTTCAATTCTATATTTTGTATCGTGCACAGGTACAAAATTCAGTTTAACATTAGCTTTTATGGATTTGTTGGGAGTTCATAATAATCATAGCTAGAAAATCGTGGCTTACGTCACCCATAATTTTGAATATTGTAGTATTGTGCACTAACATGTCTGCCCTTAAGATATCACAATTAACCAATCAAAGATATCTCCTAACGAACAAAACAAAACAAAAGGGAGATGAGAGGAATTTTAATGTACTATTATCTCCCATTTTTGTCGATTTTTCCTCCATATTTTATAAAGTAAATTTCTGCACTTTCATTTTTCTGAGATTTCGGCTTGGTATTAGGATTGGAATTGGTGGTCTGGAATGGGGAGAACTACTTTTTGAAGCTTGCAAACTTATGGGCAAATCTAATACGTCGAGATCCCCCGTTCATTCGATACCCAAGTAGTAGGTGATAAGAGAATGAAAGCCATATTGTGTTTTGTATAACATCCTGGATGGTGTGGCTGGCTGTGGCTGTTGCTATTTTATCTGAACAAGGTTCTTCAGGTCTCGTCCCGGCTGGTCATCCGTGCCAATGTTCATTAGGAAATGCTAGATGATCTCGCATCTTGAGATGACAGTAAAAAAGGAGAATCACTTCTGGGTTTTCAAATTGATCAAATAAACCCATCTGGGGTCTCTTGGGATCCAGTTTCCAACCCATACTCCGCCATTCTTTTGAAGAGCTACAGGCGTAGCGATTCGATGATGTTTCGTATTTGTATCATATTATGCCGTCCAGAACTGGATGGATTCAGAACACCACCATACATAGAGAGAAATCATATTGGAGATCATTTTTGTTACATTATTATTTTTTTTCTTGTTAATCCATTCGGTTCTTGTTTAAATGTTATATTTCTAGTTCAGAGTCCCAGAATCAGAACAATCACTGTTATTAGTGGAACTTTGTACACTGTATATATAGCTTTTGTTTTTTCCCAGAACCATTGTGGTATTTATAGTCTGTGAAGTCCATTGTTTTAACAGTTTGTACCAAAATATATTGTGTTACTATTAGAATATGATTGATTTTTTTTTCCTTAATATCCGTCAGTGAATATGATTGAACTGAATGCGTAAAATCTTAAAATCTTTCACATTTGGGATTTCTTTCCATTATTGCACATGTTTCAAGTCTATTAATAATAGCTTGATTGATAAATAGATCATTTGTTCAGAGGTAATTTATGGATTTTTAATTGGGGCAGTTGTAAGCAAAAAAATTGAGTAAAATTAGTAAAATTGTAACCACATTTAATTTTTTCAAATATAGAACTTTTAAAGAAAAATGGAGGTTCAATTTTAAAATGACAACTTTATCCAAATTATATACATTTGTAATATATCTAACTAGTATGTATTTGATATACATCTAATATAAAGTGAAAATTTTTGCTATATTTAAAAATTTTAACAACATATGATATATTTTGAAATACATAAAAGATTTTTGTCACATCGATGCAATTTCCCTTTTTAATTCATAAGTAAGTCCTTTTTTTTGGTTAATTTTTTTGTGAACTCCTAAAATAATTAAATAAAAAATCATTTATTGTCCTATGAGATTGTTTTGCAAGATACCTGTTTCCTGTTATTTAAATAAAAACATAACTGCTGCTGGTGATTGTTTTTTGTTCTTTATTTTTTATTGAAAGAAAATAAAAATAGAAACATGTTAAGTAATAATTATTTATTTTTTGTTCTCTACCATTTTAAATTTAAAAAAAAAAAGTAAATTTTATGAATGAAAATTAGTTTTTAAATCAAATATTCAAGATTTTTATTGTTTCATTTATTCAAATGGACTGAACTGCAATGAGTCGGTTTTATGAAAAATGATAATAATAATAATTCAATTTCAACTTGGACTCTTGGAATGTTTTACCACAAAATAGTATTATAAATTTTGGAAATTGAAATTAACCCAAACTGGACCATAACATTTTTCAATTTTAAGTCATTATATGAAGAGTTTTGTTGTTTTGTTCCTTATTTTATTTTTAATACAAACAACATGTAGGGTAGAAATTTGAACATATGATTAGAAATATGTCTTAACTAGTTGAACTCAACGACTACATATTTTAGAACAGTTTTGTATGTATTACTATTTCAGTAGTATTTTCCTACATTTCAATCTACAAATCCGTTCCTAAAAAATTTACACACCAATGAAATAAAAATTTTAATCCTACCATAAAATTTCATTTGACTAGTCAACAATTGATCCATAGCCTGTACTTCTGACTTCCTACAGTTCACTACAGATAATTCCGGAACTGGCACTTGAAAATTTTTCAAAATCACTTTTGATTATTTAATCCAAGGCTATAGAAATTCAAGAGAATGCTTTCTTTTCGTAATGGAGCTATCAGGGGCCACACTCCTTGCATTACCTTCACCAATCTTAAGACCAACTCAACAAGAATTTGTCTATGTTGAAATCTCTAGTTACAAACTAAGTTACATACAAAAATTTAGCTGTATGGCATTGGCTTAATCTATTCAAGCCTATGGCACGTTCTAACTGAACAGAATCCTCTAAAAAAGAAAAGAAACAGCTTCACGCCAGTAGCTTCAACATTCAATACTGGACTCCATTAAGTAGATGTTTATTTTGGTAAAAATTAACTGAGCTTGCATTATTCCAATGGGAATGATGTTTATTCCCATGTTATTACTTCTTCTTCTTCTTCTTCTTCTTCACAGGTTTTTGGTCCTTTTATTAACACCTTCAGCTACTTTTTAGTTTAGTCCTGGTGAGAAATAAATACCTTCTGGTTGCAAGTATTAGAACCCAAGTGGTTGCAGAGATCTTCTCTTTTATCATTAAAAGTAGAGCTGAACTTAGTACAGTCTTCAAGATCTGTGCGTGTAATCCCTTGAAAAATCCTAGTATTCCTTCTTTTCTCCATATAGAATGGACAACACCTGGAACAGTTTTGCGGACTTTCCGCCGATCTTTCTTGATTTCGTCATCATTTGCAGCTTGGATCATCACCTTACACCTGTGAGCAGAAAAAGAGCCTTAATTGGTTCAGCATGCCAGTTTCAAAAGGATAATGATATGGGATTTTTAAGGAATGGAGAAAAAGTTATGCACCTGATTGCGGGATATGTCAGAATGGTGGCAATACTCTTCGAGACTGCGCCTAATACAAAAGCTGTAAATGCAGACAGTACAACTGGAGATGAACCTTGTTCTGTTTTATTCGGTTTTCCACTGAGGAGGTTCTGTTTCAGCTGATCAAAAACTGTATACTGCATTAAATTAAAGTGAATGTGTTAAATCTATGGTGCTCGAATGTTTAAAAGAAGCTAAATTAAGAGAACATCGCAATGCTTGTATTCTTTCAGTTGCACGAGTAAAATTAAACGGATGACAAGACGACCGAAAATTATTCGCCTAGTCAGGGACAAGTACCTGAATGGCAGGGTTGGAAGTCAGCAGCAAAGAAATTCCAAGACCATCAAAGGCATCGCTCCAAGTGCCCTCTGTCAGGGTCTTGAAAAGCCCTTTTGATTTTCCAAACGCACTTGTCTGCATTCTTGAGGAGGCTGTATCCAAGGGCTACACAAGGGCAAACCAAGATGGTTGGTTAAACTTCAATATTTCATCTAGTTTTGTTCTTGTCCATGCAAGATTTCACAAAGGGGCTTTGGAAGTTTATATATGATGATGTTCAAACTTCGCAGCTCGAGGTTGCACACTATATTGCACTAAAATCAAATCTCTCTATTAACAAGCGGTGCAGATTGAAACGAGAAGTTCATGAATAAAAAAGTAAATGATTCTTAGTTTCCTTCCTTTCTTTCTCCATCCGTTCATTCTAATCAAGTAGCTCACACTGAACTGACAACTGAGGACATCTGAATAAATAAGAAGCTAAAACCTTATTTTACTTCCAAGGACTGCCCAAATTCTATATCATATAAGAATAAATTTACAATAAAGTTACAATCATCATACTCACTCTTCAAGGTAACCAAAAAGAAGTCATATGTCAACTTCCAACTCATATCATATAAGAAGTGGAAATCTATTATTTTATTTTCCCTTTTTTAGCGATTTTGTCTCATTTTCAAAATCCAATCGACGAATTTACACATTTCACATATCCCAAACAAATAATAATAATAAGCTAATAACAAAAAAAATAATAATAAAGCAAAAACCGAGAATCAACCTGAGTCAAAATGGCATTGCAAGCTCCAGCAGCAGCAGCAAGTAACAGGTTCGCTTTTGTTCCAATTGATTTAGCACCAGTTCTTTCCATATATAATTTTTTGAAGTAGCTATACCCATAGAAGTACAGAAACTGAGAAACAAAAGATTGTAGATTTTTGGTCCCCAGCCCCTGGTACAGCGAAAGAACTTGATTCGATTTTATCGCCTCCCATAATACATCTGAAAGATTCCTACACAAACCAAAACCAATTGAATCAATAGAGACACAAAAATGAGAACTACACAAAACAATATAATGGCATCAAATTAGTTTCCCTATCATTGGAGCAGCACCATTTTGACAACAAAGTAGACACAAAATTAAAAGTTCAATGACCTATGAGACTTTTTTTAAGTTATGGCACCTATTATAAACACGAAACTTTAGAGACTTGTTAAACCCAATCTTGAACTTCCAGTTTTTTACTAAATTTGTAACGTAACCAATAAATTAAGTAACAAGCCATTGATTATCCAGATTTCAAGGAAACTGAAACAGCCGTAAATGATTTCATGCCAAGCTTCCCACAGCTCACCAGCCAGCCGCTTCAAATGCGCTCAAATTCCCTCGATAATCCGATAAAACCCAGAGTACAACCAATGGATTCATCAAATTACAAGCTCTGTGGGAGTCATGGGATCGCTACCGGGAAAGATTTTCAAAGATCATATGGTCAAATAAGGTGGGAAAAAAGAGCTCCAAATGCATATTAGATACCCCATTAGCAATTACTTTGAGAATATTGTAAGGATTACAGTAATGATACCCGGGATCATGATTTGAAAGTAAAACAAGTAACTAAGATGTCACGATCACAGGGGGAAAATTCAAACCCAGATCAAGAAAAACAAGAATCGACGCAAAACATGATAGTGGGCCGACCTGTATTTCTGTTGGCCATGGGCTCGAGCCTCGGCTTGGTACTTGGACTTGCAGGTGTCAAGTGGGTACAAGATGGTGGTGCTGACGAGCGAACCGATCGCACCGGAAGTCGCCTCCGACAGCGATTCCAGATCAAAACTCATGATTCTATTTCTGTGTGTGTGAAATTTCAAGGAATTTCAAAATGAATTCTCTTGTTCGGGCAGGCGAGGCTTTAAATGGAGAGATCAGAGGAAGAAAACGGGGAATTGCCGCGGAAATGAAATGAAAACGAGGGAGCGCGTGGCCGGTGACGTCTTCTAGACTCGAAAAAACGTGCGCCACCGTTCGCGTCTCGGCCGTCGGATCGGGTTAGCGGCGTCTGGATCGATGGAGAAGATCGCTCCATTTCTAGGCCCCGTTTGGTTTGTCTTGTATGAACAAAAAAAAAGGTAACTTTTTTACCATTTTCTTGTTTTCAGAAATTAAACGTCAAATTACCGCTAATAATGCTCCTTTTTACTTAATTAATTTTAATTTCGTTCTTATGATTTTGTTAAAACTCCATGAATTGTTTTAACAGTATTTTACCCCTTCCAAAAGCCACTCTTTTTCTTTCTATTTTTTACTCGAATCTAAACTCCAATACATATTATAAAACGTTGTCATACTAAACTATGCTCACTTTGATTATAATAATAATAATAATTTTTTTAGTATAATATGTTGTGGGATTCGAATTCACAACTCTCTTTGGTTGTAGGTATAGGTCAATTATCACTTAAATAGACTCGTTTGAGAATAATTATTATTATTATTTGTAATTAACGTGATCCAAGCTGGTCTTTAAAAAAAAAAATATTAACAGACCATGATCTTGTATAAACATTTGTGGCTCTTTGACATTGGTGTTCACAGCTATTCAAGTGGCCTTTCAGATTTCAGTCTTAAATTAAATTACAAATAGTCAGTTTAATTTATTTCATCGACTACATATCTAATTTTTAATATTGATTCAATGATAGTTTTATTTATTTTTTATTTTGAATTCAAACGAGGTGTTAAATGAGCAATTATTTACCTTATAGTTATTGATTGCCCTTAACCAGTTAATTTATATTTAATAAATATGGTCCATGTTAGCTATAATTTAGATTAGCTTTTTCTTATATATAATTCAATTTTAATTAAAATTAACTAATGTCATTTTATATTGTTATTTAAACATTTATGTGACATTAAAACAATAAAGCTATAATTTAGCACGAGGTTAAATAAAACAAAATAGTATATTATTATTATAAAATAAAAACAAATGAATATATTAAACTATGCCGAGGTATAAGAGAGCAAAACTTTGACGGTCAATTATAAAAAAAACAAAAAATACATGAAAAAAATATTTAAATATTTTGTATGCGTTATAAATATGATTAAAATTGATTGTAAATATGCATGACTGTTCATCTTTTATTTTAATTTTTTAATTTTATCTCTCTATCCTATCTTTCTCAGGATCTATACATCATTAAATATTTTGTACAAAAAAACAAAAATATTAAAATATATCAAAGTTACTTATTTTTCAAAATTGCCCATACGTTGATAGATAATATATTAATTCTAAAAAATTCCCAATAATAGAGTGCCCGTTAATTTCTTTAGTTATTTTAATAATTTAATCGTTATTCTTTTTCCTTTTTTTTGAATTCTAATTGCCTCCTAATTTGCTTTGTATATGATCCGGGATTTGATCTTGAAAATTGCCATTTTAATTAATTTTAGATTATTTAATTATTTATTTTTATCACATATTATTTCCTTCCAGATCTATCTAACTAAATCCCAAATTTTACATTTCCGTTAGATTAAAATACAACGATACATTTATGCTATATATTAGACAATATAAAACTCTTAAAATAAAAGAGTACTTCAAATGATATTAAAATTAAAATAAGAATAATAAACGAAACAATAAAATAATATAACCAAATGAGTATAGATAGTATTAATTGATATTTAGTATTTTTCTCTGGTTTAATCTTCCATATTTTTAAATTATTGTACTAAAAATAGTAAAAAAAAACATTTTCCATAAACCTAAAATAGGAAAAGATAATTGGGCCGAGGGAAGCCCAATATCGATCGGAAAAATAAAAACTCCGTGCACGTGCCGGTCACGTTATAGCGATTCAGAGAGTAGAGTACAATAATTTTATTTTATTTTTATTTTTTCATATTTTGAAAAATAAACCAAGAAAATAAGAGGAAGCAAGAAAGGCGAAGGAGCTTTTTGTCTCTCTGCGAACCACAGTTCTCTCTGTGTCTCTATATCTTCTTCCCGACGCATCCATAGCCGCCGCTGCCACTTCCGCCAGCAGCTCCGCCCCATCGCCGTCGCCGGTGCTGCTGACGCCTCCGCGTCTGGTGGCGCTTTTGAAGTTCCATAGCTTCAAATAGAATCGTCACAAAGGTCAGTTTCTTCGCCCTTTCTGATTCCAGGTCGATGTCCTTCCAACCACGATATCAGCCTTCATTCGTTGTTCCTTCTCTTATGCTTTCACTGATTTTTACTCTCTGGAACGCTTTACTCTGATGGTATTCTGCGTCTCTCAGTCGCCGCAATTTCATAGGATTTGTGATTTTTTCCCTCTCTTTTTGAGGTGTCGAAGAATCCGGTTTTTGTTTTGTCTGCTAATGTTCCTTTGTCTGTTTCGATGAAATTCTCTAGTCATTGAAGGTTTTTTGGATTTCGTTTATGTAGTTTTAGACTTCCAATGGCTAGAGCGCCAGCTGGAACTGCAAACTCAGGTGGCAGGACCGGGGTTCGCATAGTTATTGCTGGGGACCGTGGAACCGGAAAGTCGAGCTTGATCGTAACTGCTGCGGCGGAGAATTTTCCAGTGAATGTCCCGCCAGTATTGCCACCGACGAGGCTGCCCGAAGATTTTTACCCAGATCATGTTCCTACCACTATCATCGATACTTCATCCCGGTATTATTTTTTATGTTCTTTTTCTTTTTGGTTCCGCCTTGATGCTGTGACTATTTACGAAAGGAATGTGCTATTGGAGCTATAAATACTGCCTTTTAGTATTATGGACTTGAGATGGGTAGTTTCCAATTTTAAATCATAGGCGAATTCTGCTAACTATGGCAGGATATATGCATACCTTTTATTCACGTGGTACATACCTCTAACGTGTGCCCTTTATGAGTGAAAATTAAACAGAAAAGAGAGAGTTGGAAAATTGGTATTGTTTGTTCTACTTTCTTCTTTGCCGCTTCTACATTTAACCACGGAGACTGCTTCTGCCATCCTGTGGGAACTTGATTAGTAAGAATCTGGAAGGTTTTTGAGGAGTTAGATTGTGATATAGGAGAGCTCTGGGAGTGGATACGATTTCACCTAGCACATTTGTGATCTTTGTTATTTCCAAATTCTTCTTCCTAGTTGTGGCGATATTTTCTAATCTGCTTAGCTTTGTAGTATAGGTTAGACAAGACTGCTCCACCGTCCCATTCTTGTATTTTATATGCTTGCTTTAATGCAATTTTTATCTTAACTTCCGAAGGAAAATAAAGCTCAGGAACTTTTTCTAAAGTGTCATACTTCTTGCCTGTCATAAGGCCTTGAGTACATTTTTGAAGTCTCTAAAGTTCTGCTTTTGATTGTTTGCTTTTTTCCCAGCACTGAGGATAGTGCAAAAGTTGCTGAAGAACTTAAGCGAGCTGATGCAGTGGTGCTAACTTATGCTTGTGACCAGCCTCAGACCCTTGATCGACTGAGTACTTTTTGGCTTCCTAAACTTCGGCAATTGGAGGTTAGTTAACTTTTACTCCCTCCTTGGACCTTGGTGGATGGAAAATGACTTTATAATGAAATCCATGAGGTTGGTGCTAACCTAACAAGTTTATCTCGACTAGTCTCTTTAATATGAAAAGTTAAGTGTAGCCTTCCTGAAATCAGCTCAGTATTTTACATGTTGTTTTGGTCATTTTATTGATGTAGACTATGATGGTTTAAATGAGCAGGTGAGGGTTCCAGTTATAGTGGTTGGCTGTAAGCTGGATTTGAGAGATGAGAACCAGCAGGTTAGCTTGGAGCAGGTTATGTCCCCAATAATGCAGCAGTTTCGAGAAATTGAAACATGCATCGAGTGTTCGGCATTTAAACATATTCAGGTATATTTGTAGTTTCCTTACTCAGGATTGTATAAGGAAAAGGAAATTGTGTTGACTGTTCTATGTTATTATCTGTTTTCTTAGTTCACATTTAGCTAAAACTTGAAATTGCATCCAATTTCGTTTATTGGTCCGTGATAATTCATTGCTGAGTAGTCTTTTTGTGCTTATGTGGAAACCTTACCATCATAGCTCTTAGATGAAAATTTTTGTGTAGTTCATTCTTAAAGCGACAGAATCACGTGTTTTCAACATTTCATTTTTCAATGGCAGATTCCTGAGGTTTTTTACTATGCCCAAAAAGCTGTACTTCATCCAACAGGCCCACTTTTTGATCAAGAAACGCAAACTCTAAAGCCTAGATGTGTTCGAGCGCTGAAACGGATATTTATTCTTTGTGATCATGATAAAGACGGTGCTTTGAGTGATGCTGAGCTGAACGATTTTCAGGTATCCATTATGATAGTCTACCAAAATTTTGGCAGCCACCTCATTAACTATTTATTTTATATACTAGTTACATTGTCTGACATTTTCAAATATTTGTGCATAAAATGGCTGGCTTGTCTGTATGAAGCTCTTATTTATTTATTTTTTTGTTAATCTTGTAATCAGGTCAAATGTTTCAATGCTCCTTTACAACCTTCTGAAATTGTGGGGGTTAAAAGGGTTGTACAAGAAAAACTTCCTGAAGGAGTGAATGATCGTGGGCTCACTTTGACAGGATTCCTCTTTCTTCATGCTTTATTTATAGAGAAGGGGCGTTTGGAGACAACATGGACTGTACTTAGGAAGTTTGGGTACAACAACGATATCAAACTTGCAGATGAACTAATACCAGCTATTGGAAAGAGAGCTCCAGATCAGGTCATAAAAATTTATGTAGTGGTCCTATCGACTTCTGTAGAATAGGTTGTCTCCTGGGTCCGAGCCTTGGGGCGGGCGTGGGTGCCCCTGGATATATGGGAGCTAATCTATCTCCCAGTTATTAAAAAAAAAAAAATTATGAATAGGGTGATAACACCATACTGATAATCATGAATTGTACTATATATAACATTTCAACATTTTATACAATTTTGGATATTTATCATCCCTCCTAGATTTTTCTGGAAACAGTTATTTTCTTCACGTTTGTGGAGCAGGCTCTAAATTAAGATTGTACATGTAGCCCATATTTTTTGAGTGGAAACAATTAAGTTTTCATGGATGGATGAATGGAATTCAGATCTAGGATGTTAAATTATTTACTTTCAATTGGAGTGATTTTCTTTAATATAGTTTTAGGAAGTATTTATTGTTTTCTCATTGTTTTGTATTTTCCTTTTTGAGGAATGATATATCTTACTAAAAAAGGTTAGGATTTAGTTATTTTTCTTTCATCGGGGTCCAGTTGATATGAGGATTATCCTTGCCACCAATAGCCTTTTCTCTAGGTTAAGCTAGCACATAGTTGCATTGCCAATATATATATTTAGTAATTGTATCAATTTTATTTAACGTTTTCTAGTAGTGTCCCATATTATTATATTTCTTATTTGATGACTGTTCTTTCTGTAGAGTGTGGAGCTGACAAATGAAGCTATCGAGTTTCTAAGGGGAATATTTGAACTCTATGATGGTGATGGTGTATGTATTAGTCTGTTACTTCATATATAAATCCTTAGTTTATTTTTGTTTTCTCAACTGATGGTTTGTTTTATTCTAACTGTTTGTGCTTTGAGTCTAGCTTATAGATTATTGTTACTAGCCAAGTAGTTATTAAAAAATACCCAAAACTATTGATCACCTCCATACCTTTTTCTTTGCCCATCAGGATGGTGTCTTACGGCCTCGTGATCTTGAAGAACTATTTTCTACCGCACCCGAGAGGTATTAATACTTTGCTTCAAAGCATCTGGTAGTTTTCTTAGCATATCATTTTGGGGGATTATGATTCAAATTCTTATAAGCTAAAAAATAGCATCCTTGTGCATTGAGCAGGAAAATATCTTTGTAATTTTCTCATTCATTTTTTTTTGAAATATGTTATTTATTAATTAAGATACAGTTTTCTTTCTTTCTTTTTGTTTATTATTATATTTTTTTTTTATGAGAAACCATGCTTTATGAAAGAAGGCACGGAAGTTGGAGGAGTCAATGGTGGAAAATCTCTAAACTGAGACCTATCGTTGAAGAGTTCTAATTGGCCAAAGTGGGTGGGGGAAATAGGACTTGGTTTTTGAAAGATAAGGGGTGGATGATCAACCATACAATCACTTAGGCTGAAATTCCCGTGTTTTTGGGGTAGCAGAACCCAAAGAGTTATGTGGAAGTGATGTGCGAAGGAGAACCAATGGAACACAACTAGAAGGGATCTCAGTTACTCCTGAGTTTTGTGAATTCAGCCTTTCAGGGCATTACTTGAACTGTTAAGTAGGGTGTGCCCATGTAGAAGGAAAGATAAAACTGTTTCGTCTTTTCAGGCCTCGGGCTACCTTTTAGTAGTTTATTCACTCGTAAACTAGCAGATTCAATATCTACCATGACTAAAGGATTTCTGCAGGTAACTTGGAAAGGATGACTGCCTATTAAAGTTGAGTTCCTTTTGCTCGTCTGCTTATCATAAGGGGTTCAACACAGTGGAAAGATTTCTGCCTGAGGATAACTTGATCCAAATATTGGAACATCACATGTTAAGGACAGAGCAAAAATCCTATAGGGTGATCGCTGTTAAAGCCAACCTCTGGGTCATTTGGATAGAAAGAAACTCCATATTATTATTATTTTTTCGATAGGAAACGATGTAAGTGTATTGAGAGGAAAGAACAGCTTAAAGGCCGGGGGATGAGGAAGCCCCCACCTTAGAAAAAACTAATGAAGGACAACTTTTCAATCACTGAGCATCGTTAGACTGTAGTTATAAAAGAAAACCTTGTGGTTTAGACACCAAGTAGAGACATTAATTTGTACACAATAAATCAATAATATGGATAGAAAGAAACTCCATATTATTTTTTGTTTTTTATTTTTAGGATAGGGAACAAGTATCTCGTTTACATGAAAACTCCAGAATTTCTAATGGCAAGGAGAGGGAATTGGGAGGCATTTCTGACATAAAAAATTTACCGTTCATCTTCATGTTTAATTTTTAAATTGTTTTGTTATTGTCTCTTGTTGTAATTAATTCCAACTGGGTTATTTTTCTCTTGAACGTATTGATTTTGTGTGCATCTTTATCAAATAAGTGAAAAGTGACTCCCCTTCTACAAACTGATATAGCGTCCAAGTGTATTGTCATTATTTCTTTTTCTTTCTTTTTGTTGGAATTTTTTTTGGAGCTTTATAAATTTCGTTCTCTTCAATGTTCATGATGATAAAATAAAAAAAAATAAAACTTCAGCCCAAGACCAATGGAAGTTAAAACCCTCAAATTGTTTTTGTTCTATGGTTGAGTAGTAAAGAAGGTAAATTTTAATTGATGAATAAAATCACAAAAGAAAAAAAAGGAGGAAAGCTTTAGCCCAAGCCCAATGGAAATTACCAGTTGCTACGTAAAGAGGAATGGTGTAATTAGAGGGAGAAGATTTACACCATTAGTGAGTACCAAAAAGTAAATCCTCATAAAAAGTATCAAAATCTGAGTGCACATTCACATTCTTGAATATGCTCTTGCTAAAGAATATTGTCCTTTTTGCCTACTTCTAGTATTATAGTCTTGATCTGTTGTAAATGACCTGTCATATTTAACTTGCGGTTGATTAGATCCTGTGTCTTATCCATTCATACGAATTAGGTTTTCAATATTTTTTCCAACGTTTATTAGTTGACTATTTTGGCAACCATAATTTTCCAGCATGATTTATTTTTTCGGCATGCTAATGAGTTTACATGATTTCTTGGACTTGCAACATTCGCTTTGAAACTCCAGTCCTTGGAATGGAGCTCCATACAGAGATTCTGCGGAGAGAAATGCAATGGGAGGATTATCAATTGATGACTTTTTATCACTGGTATGTCTGTAACCTGAGTGTTTAATACAAATTTCCCTGATAACCTGATGTATTTCATATCTCTTTTACCATTTGTTACTTATGTATTATATTTTCCATTCAAGGCCCCCTCCCTCTAGGTTGTTGTTTTGAGATGGATAAATTTCTTCTAAAAGAAGCGTATTTTAGTAGTCTATTCTTCTTGAATTGCTGCAGTGGTCTCTCATGACACTCCTAGACCCAGTTTACACCATAGAGAACCTGATATACATTGGTTACTCTAGTGATCCGTCAACTGCTATTCGTGTGACAAGGAAACGGCGATTGGACCGCAAGAAGCAACAATTGGACAGAAATGTCCTTCAGTGCTTTGTGTTCGGGCCTAAGAAGGCTGGGAAATCTGCTTTATTAGATGCATTTCTTGGAAGGTACTATCAATATTGTGTACTTATCTAGTTGTTTAAGCCATTAATGCTACAGTACTTGTTATAGATCAAGTCACGTTTTTAAGAATTTGATGTAACACACAGGCCATTTTCTGAGACTTACACTCCTACTTCTGAAGAACGCTATGCTGTAAATGTTGTTGACCAACCTGGAGTAAGTGCTTATACGTCCATGTTTTGATAAGTTGATAAAATATGGATCCGTATTTCATTTTTCAAGGTTTTAATATATCATATGTTCACAAATGATAAAATTGGATGCAATTAAACCAGGAGGAGAGAGTTCATGATGATTTTCAGATGGTACATATTCAAGTTGGCAAAATATGGTGTAGCTACCGCCTACCATATTGTATTCTTATGTTTAGATACTTTCTGTAATTGATCGAGTAACTAAAGTTGTTTAAGAAATTGATGCTTTTTGAGAATATTTTTGGTTCACATTCTGTAGGTATTATCGAATTTCCTAAAGGGACTGCAGACTTCTGTTGCTCAGATGTATTACTTGTTTACCTTTATCGAAGATGCATAATTTTATGAACCATTTAAGTTGTTGCTACAAAGCAGTTTTCATTACTTTGCTTTGCATGCATAGGCTCAACCATTAATAGAATGATTGTCATTTTTTGGGGTATAAAATGAAATGATCGATATTTGTTTTTATTTTTATTTTTGTTGTTAGGGAACTATGCTGTTTGCTATTATCTGATTATAGCTTCTTTTTATGTGAATTTCTTTACTTGGTTTGAAGGGAACAAAAAGAACCCTTATTTTGAGGGAGATACCTGAAGATGGAGTGAAAAAATTGTTGTCTGGCAAAGAGTCTTTAGCTGCTTGTGACATTGCACTATTTGTGCATGACAGGTAAACTTCTTTTCTCAAACAACCCAATGAATTACGGAAACATTCATTGCGTATTTACAACTTTATGTTATATTAGGATGATAATATTATATATTTCTGAATTTGAAAATGGTATTTGTATTTGGAAAAGAGAAAAGAAGGTCCAGGTGTAGCAAATTTATTATAACCTTGTGCCCTTCTATCTTGATTTCCAATCATTTCATTTCTTCATTATAATTTCATTTTATGAGCTTGTCCTTGTCATTGATAAATGAAAAAGGAATGGGGCACTCACCCAACCTCTTACGGGAGATTTCAAAGAGCTACTCCAATTGGTGTAAATCAAAAGGAATTATAATTACAAAAGGACACGATGAGAGCTATTTAATTTAATGAAGTCCCAAGACTTTAAACGATTCTTCAAGCATCTTCCAGTTTATCTCCAACCAATTCTAGGAATGGTGTGCCCCAAGGCTTCAGTAACAAATTATTTCAAAGTTTTTTTCTTTTTCATTTTTCTTCTTGTTAATGATTGGTTATCTTGTTGCATGGACTAGTAGAAGTTCTGCTTTTGTACCTTTCAACCCCTTAAGGGTTCGGAGCTTCTACTAGCACTGCACAATACTAAAATCCTGGCAACACCCATATTTGATGGTTCGGTTAAGTATTATTTGGGTGTGTTGATGTGGTGTGACTTCAAAACGTAACTTTCGATCAAAAAAAATAAAACGTAGCTTAAAATATTTTTATTATGACTTTTCTGCAATCTTTTTATAGCATTCCTGTTTCTATTAACATAAAGACAAATCATGTATTACTATTATTAAAATCAGTTTGTTATATATTTATGGCCAAGAAACTTTCGAGTTCCAATTGCAGACTACCAACTTTGTTTTCTTTTCCAGCTCCGATGAGTCCTCCTGGAAGAAAGCAACTGATTTACTGGTTGAAGTTGCCAGTCATGGTGAGGATACTGGCTATGAGGTGCCTTGTTTAATTGTTGCTGGCAAAGATGATCTCGATTCATTTCCCTTGGCGATACAAGATTCTACAAGGGTAAATTTTTTTCTTCATGTGTCGTACCTATTTGCCGTATTGATATCTCTGATATCTCGACTGAATCAGAATAAAGGTTTCAGGTTCACCATAAACTTTTATTTTTGAGGAAAAATAATGATACTGTTTTCTTGAGTAAAAGTAATGTAGTATTACTGTTACAATTGTTTGATGCTCATATCCACTTCATCTCTCATATAGGAGAAGCGATTATTTACTTTATCCTATTAGAATCAGTTGATCAAATTCTGTATCTGTGATAACAATATTCTTGAGCAAAGTCGAGCCTTTGTTTTCATATTGTCCTTATTTATATTTTTTCATTTGATTTAATGAAACTTGGTCTTCTACTAAATTAGAAAAAAAGCAATACGATGTACTTCGAAAGTATTGAATCTTTTTACTGTTTTTCTTTGATCCACTTTTTGTTGGTCCACTTCCTAATAATTGTCTTAATTGGCCTGCCCATGACCGTTGGAATTTAGTATTCTAGTCATGACTGCTATGAAATCCTGAATCTTTAACTATCATTGTCGTCTATCATAATAATCCCAATGCAATTTGGTAGGTGAGCCAAGATATGGGTATAGAAGCTCCAATACCTATCAGCACAAAATTGGGTGATTTCAATAACGTGTTCCGAAGAATTGCATCAGCTGCAGAGCACCCTCATCTAAGCATACCCGAAACTGAGGCTGGCAGAAGTCGCAAGCAGTACCACAAGCTCATAAACCGCTCTCTTATGTTTGTTTCAGGTATTCTGATTTATTTAGTTTCGCCCTGCATTCATGATTCAACATACGAGGACCTATTTGAGAATGAATATTAACTTGCACTGCTATGGATGAAATTTTCTTCGGTGGCTGGTTGCATGGATGAGTCCATCATCCTTGGTAGCTTTTTGAAGAACAGTTTTTTGAAATTTATTGAAAACACGTTTGAATGTCTGATTTCCATCGTATGTCTTGAAACTAGACTTTGAAAAACTAGTTTTTAGAAGGTTTTTTTTTTTTTTTTTTTTTTTTGTATTTGTTCACGCATAACTTGTTTTTTAGAACTAACATGATTCTTTCTTCCTAAATAAAAGGTTTTTTAATGGTGCTTTGAAGTGTATAATTATGTTAACTTTTGCACGATTATAGCATGGTGGATAATAGAGGTAGAAAACATTTTTGGAAAAAGCTCTCAAACAACCTCCGCACTTATGATTCAAGTGTCAATGAATTAACTCTGCTATGTAGTTGTAAATTTATTAAGCTTTGACTCAATTCGTAGGCCTTTTAAGTCTATAATTTTAGCCATTTCTTGTATCCATAGTCTGGTTTTGATTTGGCTCTTTGGGCTGTCTTTTTGTATACCCTTTTGTTTTCTTTTATTTTCCATGGGGAAAGCTTGGTTTTCAATTAAAAAAATACATTGACGACTATTAACTTCATTCCGATAAACGTTTCAACTTACTTCATTTGATGATCTACCCTACCTAGATGAATTTGCATATCTGATCTTGTAATGTGCTTGACACAGTCGGAGCTGCTGTAGCGGTCGTAGGACTGGCCGCTTACCGTGTCTATGTCGCGAGGAAGAATTCTTCCAGCTAATTGATGAAAGGGCAATGACAATCGACAATGCATCATTTTTCTTTAGATATGGTTGGTATCCTAAATCTTTATACTTTTTCTCCGACTTCCTTTGGTTTCATGAGTTGGCTTATTAGATATATAATAGATAAGTTGCAATTTTCAATCAAAAGAGCGCACTTGTAGTTTTAGCTCTCTGGTTTTTCTGTATAATAATTTTAAGTTATCAGTATATTGTCAAACCCTATTATGCTATAGGGGTTTATCTCTCTTTTTGCTAGGGTTTATGGTTGTACAATCAGACCAGTCATTCAAGAAGGGAAATGAAAATTTTTGCTAAGGAAATATTAAATCTGTGCAAATTATTGTTTTTTTTTTTCATGTTTTCTTCAGTTTCTTTATTGATTTTTATTGGTCTCTATATGTACAAAAGATTTAGGTTGGGTTTGTGATTTTAGTTTTGTTCGACAATATCTGAAAATAAAGTTTTATGAATTTATGTCTTATAGGCCTAAAGGAATTAGAATGTGAGTCAACTTTGTGTTAATGTTTAGGTTTAAATATTATTTTCATTTTTTTTTATTCTTAGTTTTGGTCCTTATACTTTCAAACGTCTATTTTGGTTCTTGTATTTTTGTTTATTTTAATTATTGTGCTTTTAAAATGTTCATTTTGTAATTTATGGTACTTACCTCAATAAATTTCTTAAAATATAATCATAAATTTGTATTCAAAGATTTTTACTATATTTTAAATTTGGTTTCAAATTTTGTAAATATGAATCAAAATGATTGCTTTTAAAAAGTTTATAAATTTGGTTTCAAATTTTGTAAATATGGACCAAAATGATCGCTTTTAAAAAGTACATAGATCGAAAAAAAATATAAGGATTAAATTAAACAAACATTGTAAATACATTGATTAAAACACTATTTAAATCTAACATTTATGTTACGACATTGATATTAATTAATATTAAGTAATGTAATTTTTGTTTAGGTAATGGTAGAAAATTAATTTTCTAATGTGTTATATATAATATATTGTTTGTTTTTTTTTTGAAGTATAATGGTAAAATTCACATTCTAATTCTAGCCATTTGTTCTATATTTCCTTTAATGGTCTATTTTTATTTTTAATGAAATGCTGGCTGTTATATATTTAATATTAGATTAGTCTATTTAGCTGTTGTTAATATTGTTAACTGCATCAATTGATATTAAAAAAAACTGCATGAATTAAATAGAATAAGATGTATTGAATTTTATTTTTGAAGTTAGTTTTTGTTTTTGGTACAAAGTTCTAGTTAAATAGGTACTATGCCTATGACTAATCGATGAGATCTTTTTTTTTTTTTTTGGGTGGAGTGTAAAAACAATTAATTATATGCAAGTTTTCATAGAATTTATATAAATTTCCCAACTTTATGGCAAGTGAACTTTTTTAATTTAGAAAATAATCTAGAATAAAATAATAGAATATATAGATTCAATTAAAAATTGTGTGCCACTATATAATTTAAAATTTTGAGTTTCTAATTAATAAATACTATTCTATTATTCATTATAATAACTTGTTAGTTGTTATAACTAAGATGATTTTTAAAAATAATAGAATGAAATTATACGGTTCTTGAATATGTACATTATAATCATGAGAATGGATCAATCGAACGTATTTAAATAGATAGCATATTTATATATGAATCTCATGTCTTTAGATTCCATTTAGGATTTAGAGTGGGTGAGAATGTTGGCTATAGTAACACAAATATCGGTGAGAATCAAATGCTATGAAAACTTAATGGTTCCCTCACAAAGTTTGTCCACAAAGGGTGAGTTAGGACTTAAAATTAGGCCAAACCGCATAAGTCGATGTGAATATTTCTGTACTCCAAGAAAATGAACATATCATTTAGTTTCTCTTATTTGTAGAAAATTTTCAACTATGATACTTAGTAACAATCAAAACTCTAGCTGATTTAGAAAAGAAATATCTCCAAAATATATTTGATATGTACATTATTTTATACAACGATAAAAGTTCGAGCTCATAAAAGAAATATACCAACGCATAAAAAGACAGCCCCTATTGCTTTTCTTCTTTATTGTCACCAACCATTTGTTTCTATCGTTAGAGAGCCTCAACAAACTTCATATTAAACATTAATTAAACCTTTAGCCATTAGAATTTGACAATTGAGTTTTCTGAATCAACAATAAATATGATTGAAATCAATAAATTCAACTATTCAAGGGAGCCCCTTCCCAAGAGCTCACATCGACGGGTAGGTCTGGCACTCAATGTCCTAATATTAGTTCAGTAAGACTAGAAGATTTTAAGTTAGTAAATTTTCAACTCATGTAACCTTGGAAGGTATCTCCAAAGATTTTGGATAACAGAAAGTTGAATTCTCAGGTAAACATATTACATAATCAGCATAAGGAAAAAAGAAAAAGATGGTAGGGCCTCCAGTCTCAAACAATCATTATTGAATTATAAGATATTCAAGTTCATCAGAAAAATTTTCCATTGAATCTCTACAATCCCATCTTTTCGTCTTCCCATTGGCTCTACTTACTTTCTGGGTTTGGTTCAAAATTGAAGCTTTCAAAAGTTTCCATACAACTCCAGAGGTTGAACATAGACTAACCATGAAACTTAGAGAGAGAGAGAGAGCTTTTGATTTCAAATGGCTCTGCAAGTATAGGCTGCAATTTGAGGTAAACATTTAGTCCGAGTTTTGTTAGCTGCTCGAAGATCGGTTTGGTTTTCCCCAAGGCCTTCCTTTTCGAGCTGCAGACGGTGAGCCCTGAAGACATCTGCAGTGACATAAAGTCTGAAGTCCAAACTGAACAGAAATTCAATCTCCATTCTGTTCATTTCTGTTGTGCTCACTCCTCCTACTTTGGCATAAAAACTATTGTTATAGCACCTGCATAGCATACCCACATTAAGCTGTTTGCACAAAAAGTATATTGTAATAACATCCAAGCTAAGAAATTGGGAGAGTTTTTAGGCACGCCGAACTATGACAGTTAAGATGCATGGTATCCATTTGATTTTGCGGTGTCGAATGAACGACTCTGTGGTTTGAGCTGCATTTTGATACATTATTAGCTACTTTATTTTCTAAGATCCATTCAGTTTCTGTTGTTAATTCATGTAAATATGGCAACAAGAATCATTTTTTGAACAAAGTATATAATTTAGCCTCTAATGTTTGAGCCTTTTTTTTTATTTCGTCCCTAATGGTTTTAAATTTTAGATTTGATTTTTTATACATCAATTTTTTCTCAATCAAGTCCCTAATGTGGCTAAACTTCAAAAGAAGGATGATGATGGGGCCATGTGAGTGTCTTTGGTGACAATAAAGACTTGTTGGAAGAAAAATCAATACAATGTCGAAATTGGAACTTTTAAAAGATTACGGTAGGGACGAATTGAAAAATGACTCAAACATTAAGTTAGTCCATTATTCACTAGTAAAAATGTCAACTATTCTTGTAAATCTTGGAACTTATGGGTTCTTCCTCATATGATCTCAAGTCAATGGATTAATGGTAAGCCAGCTGAAAGAAAGTGACTGTGGTGTGAATTGAAAAAACTAAACTGCAGAATAATAGGCATGCTCAAAATCTTGTCATCTCAAGTGAATTACAGAGTTAAGTAAGCTACGTTAGAACTTACCCGGCATCCGTAAACTTTGCTGCAACCATGATGCTTGTGATCAGAAGGCGGTGTACGTTTAAAGAAGTTAGGTAAGCATCAATCTTTTGAAGATACCTTTCAATATATATGTAGGAAACAACTAAGGAAGGAGTGCCACAGCATGTGTACTTCAAGATGCGGTCGATATATCGACCAATGCTCATGGTGGGAGCTCGAGAGCCATGGAAAATTGTAATAGTGTCTTTCTTCTTGAGTTTTTTCAATAGTTTTTCATTCTTCTGAACCGACCTCTCAAGAACGGAGGAAAGAATTGACAACACTCGAGGAGAGTCCGGTGTCAGCTTCCCAGACTCACTTAGTCCAAGGAGTGAATCGGTCTCTATTTGAAAATCCATGCCATTGTCTGCCATTGTTCTCATGTTTATCTATCCACACCTGCAAAATACAAAAAACTCATTTTTCTTTAGTTCATACATAATCCTTAGTGGATGGTAAAGAAACAACTTAATCGTACCAGTGGGTCCCTTCTTAATCTGATATTAAAATATACATTATTGAAAGATATATAAATTATCCTCCTACAGATTTAGAAGCCATGTACTAATAGCCTCATTTATTTCTCAAAAACATTTTCAGAAACTTGAAGCATAGAGATAGGAAAGAAGATGAGAAATAAAAGCATGCTGTTTTAGCCATTGGATAAACAAGCAAGAGAATTTTGCAGGGCAACAAACGAGATGCCCCAGAGCACCGATTCTCGTCACCAATAACTTGAGGGGTTTAAAAGGGAAAGATTTCTTATAAAATAGAAGGGGAAAAGGCTAAATTTGGTTTCTGAATCTGATATGTGCAGACCTGCAGACAGGTTTATGTTATTAGAGATTTAAAGGATTCTAACAATATCAGATGAGAAAACTCTCTTTTTAGGTTGTGAAACTCTGAAGTAATAGCTTTTGAACTATTTATTCATTCCATCAGAAATGATCTAAGCTCATGCGGAAAAATAATCTAAAGCTTACCTAATGTTACTTGATTTAGATCGAAATCAAGTTCTCTGAGCAACTGATCGTGTACTTCGAAGAATGAAAGCGTGATGATCTTAAACAAAATCAGAGGAAAACTGCATATGAAAGTGGCTCTCAGACCCTGACGCAGGCAATTTTGGGCAAAAGTAGGAAAGAAAGAGGACATAAAATGCCCGAAATGCATCAGAAAAGGGGGCTTACGATATACAGCTTCTTCAAAAACCTTCTCAATCTTCATTGCTTGAGCAGACTTGACTTGTACAAGCAGAAAAGCAAGGCAGTTCCTCATGAGCAGATAAAGAAAAGGTTGGTTTCAATACCAGCTTGAGCATAACTTTGGCCTGTAGACAGCAGTTTCTCATGATTCTGGCTTGGTTCATTCCTTGGGAATATTAGAGAGGAATATGAATAAAGTAGCTTTAATCTATTTTTATTCTTTCCTTTCAGGCATAGTCACCAAGGACAATATTTAATTCGATTTGGGTCGGGCACAATAATTCAAGCTTTCAAATCACAATGGTAAAGTGTCAAGCATTTGTAGCATTCATCTAAGAAAAACTATTGGAAAAAGCATCAAATACACACTATGGTATATGCAACACAAAGCGAGAAAGATACAGAACATAGAGATTCCATCCAACAGAATGTTAAAAGTGAAAAGCACAGATCAATCAATGTGGATTTTCTTTGTGGGCAGAGGGTGAACAAACAACAATAATGACTTGTTTGGCAGGCCAAAAACTCCAAGAAAAGAACACATAAAAGCCATAAAGTTTTATTTTCCTTAGCATTAGAAGTTTCCAGGACTATTGCCATCTCTCACCTTTTAGGGACCCCAAATTTGAAATCGAAATGTAGGGAAAGTAAAATCATTATGCAACCGAAAGTGCGGTTGCAAAGTTCATACCTAGAAGACAAAAACATCCAGAAGAATCATCACATTGCCTCAATTTTTTGACATACTGATTACGATCGGAGAAAACCCATCTGGAATCTGGAGTTGGGCGCCAAGAACTTGCTTACTGATTGTTGGATTCTGGGCTTTTCGATCATTCAGACGAACAGAGAGCGAAACAGGAGGGGCTTCGCGCCAAAAAGTGGCGAGTCCTGGTGTTGGGTTCAATGGAAATGGAAAGAAAGGCTTTAAAGTTTCCATGGATAGATGCATTTTGTTTGCTTGCCCAGAAAAGTGGGGGGAAAGGAAAATTTTCACATGGAGATGAATCGGCTGTAATGGAAAGTTTTGGCGTCTGATGGGTTTCTCTGATTCTTTGGAGTGTACCACAAGGAATGGGTTTGAAACCAGATATATGGATCGGGTCGGTTTCGATTGCAGAGTGCATTCGTCATTCGATTTGATTGATCTTGAAAGAAGCCCATTTTTAATCGAAGATATACAACAATTGGGAGTGAGTTTTTTTAGCGGCGAAATTTCCGATATTCAATTTTTTATCGTAGGTATATATTTTAACTAATTGAATTATGTTCAAGTTGTTAAGCTCTAGTGAATATTTTATTTAAGAGGGTGAATTATTAAAGAGTGATAAAAAATAATCGATATCGATCGGTTCTAGATATAATATGTGCTTGAGTTTATGAGACGAGTCACTCACTTTAAAAAATGTGACTTGGTTTGAATAGGAACAAATTTTAATAGTAGCTCGTTTTTTAGGTGGAGTGGGAAGAAATCATATACACTTAAATCTAAAATAACAATATCATTCAATTTATATGTAAATCAAATCAAAGTGTCACAAAGATTAGCTGCCGAATTTAGATTTTAAATACTTGTCCGAATTATGGGTCTATAGGGCGTTACACATACATTCACTACTTTTGTTAGAATTTTTCCTTTTCCCAAAGCGAATATAGCTCAACTTAACATATAACTACAATCGAGAGGTTATGAGTTTGATCCTCCACCCTCATATGTTGTACTTAAAAGAAATTATATATTTATAATTGTCTTATAAATATTATAGTAATATTTATTTCGATTATGCTAAATTTACAACCAATGCGGATAAAAATTTCACACTATAAAAATGTTCTTTCTTGGCTAATAAAAATATTCACATGTAACCATTAACCTAAGATATCAATTAAATTTTTAATTGGATAAAGTTAAAATTTTATACTTAATTTTACTCACTTAGCCACCTATAAATGATCAGTTGGACACTTGGTTTAGTTAAATTGGGTAGAAGAACCGACCAACTCGAATGAGTTTGATTCAACCCAACTAAACCTACGTACATTAGCTAGTTGAGTTAGAATAGGATTCTAAAATAAAATTAAGGTAATATTCTTTTTTATTTTATTTTTTCGTACAACAAATATGTGACTCATGACTTTAATCTCTATCATCAAAAAGAGAAGTAAATGTCTTAATCGTTAAATTATACTCGACAATATTCAAAGATATTTTCTATTACTTTTTTTCAGTATAAGAGTGAGTAGGATGATTCGAACCTATAATCTCTTGATCATAGACATGTGTCAATTATCGAGCTAAGCTCATGTTGGTCATCCAATTTTTTTTTGGGTAAATTGAAAAACCGCTCCTCAACTATAGTAGTGGTTACAATTACACCCATAAACTTTCAATTGTGAAAATTAAACCCTCCCACTTTTATAAATGAAAAAATTAAACCCCTCAACTTTCAATAGTAAAAATTAAACCTTTAAATTTTTATCAGCTCTAAAATTAAAACCCTTGAAATTTTTCGTGGTAAAGTTAAGCCCTAAAATTTTTATAAACTGGATCTATATGTTTTTCTCTACCTTTCTCTCTCGGATCTTCTTTATCTCTTTATTCTTTCAGTCTTCTTCAACGTTCTTCTTCTCCACTCTCCGTAACAGCCCATAATGCCTTTCTTTAAGTCCTTCAAAACTCTAAACTAAAGCAAGAGTGAGCAATCTCTTCAACTAATTAATGTACCAAGCAAAATCAAATTTTATTTCAGACCACTCTTCATTTTTTGCATTTCCCATTTCTATTTTCACCCATATATTCCATTATCGAAGGTAACATTTTCAAAATATTTATATAAAAATAAAATAGTCCTCTCCTTCCGATCTACCGTTCCTTACAATCCACCGAATCCCAATTTCTCATCTCCAAATATTTGGATTGATCGCTAAAATAATCGTATGGGTCCTTAATTTTGTGCCATTTTGAGCAAACCCCATATTGAATCTCTCCTCCTTTTTCACATAAAATGTTACTCTGTTTCTCTCTGGCTGAGACATGGTCTGTTTCCATGACTTCTCCAGTAGGCGAAGTTCATTGGAATCTCCGAGCTTCAATGAAGATCTTTAGCAAAGTGGTGTTTAGCATGTCATCTAAATTCTAATTCTAATGATGTTTTTTCCAAAAATAATTTCTTAACCGTTACAATTATTTTTCTTGGTTTTGTTTTGTTTTTATATATAACTTTTTTTAGGCTCGTTTGAAAGTTTCCATTTTTTTTATGTAATTTAATTTAAATAACGAAAACAGATAACTTTATTTATTTTTTCTTGAAAGAATAAGGTTATAATAAGTTTACTTTAAAATGTGTTTTGACAATAAAAGTTTTAAAATTATTACGATATATTTAAAATTTTAAAATAAAAGCTAACTTTTTTATATTTGTACAATTTTGAGAACAATTCTTAAAAAGTTAAAAAAAAAAAAGAAGTAGAGAATAGTTGCAGAACTTATCTGTTTCTATGGAAAATTATAATGGAGAAACAAAGATATCACGAAATAATAATTTGAACAATGATTTTCTAAAAGTAAAGTGCGGTAAAATTAATTTCATAGCATTCATTTGGTTGATTTCTGTACTTAGAAAATTAATAATATGAATTTTTTGTCGAGCTATTAAACTCAATGTTAATCGTAGTCCTATATAAAAATAATGTATACAAAAAATTCGAATAATTAAAACTAAGTCTTGAAATAACTTTATTAGTTATTAGAGACTGGTTAGAGAAAAATAAATTCAGAGTGCATAATACATATATGGTCAAAGTATAAATTATTTACATTATAAGCTTAATTATAAACTCATTTAAGATTTAACAACCTACCGTATCCATCAATATTTTGTTAGATATATTATCTTTATTTATTTCACATTTAAAATATCAAATCTTTGTCCAAATTTAATTAAGTTTACAATCATATGACATCAAAGTAATGAATAAAATTAAATCGCAAATTTGGATATAGTTTAATCGGTAGCATATTGATTCGAGTTTCTACGTTTACATTTTGTTAGTTCAACAATATGTATAGGTGGGACTCCAACCACACATATATAATTGAACAATGTTCATATTGACAATTTAACTTAAAAAAAAAAAGAATGAAACTAAATCAATTGAAAAATTAAATAAAATGTCTTTAGCATAAATGAAATGTAGAATTCAATCATTAAAGTAGGGACGATTATAGTTGAGATTCTAAGTCTAAAATACCAAAATAAATTTTTTAAAAATATATGGACAAAAATTGGAAAATGATAAAAAAAAAATTAGAGACTACAATTATATGTAAACCAAAAATTTTAAATACGGTGACACATTAATAATTTACTGAGATTAATGAATTAAAATAAAAAGATTGTACTAAAAAATAAAAAATAGAAAATAAAAAGATAAAACTAAAACGTTTAAAATTAAATAAATAAAATTTGAAATGAACAAGTATAAAAAAATGATCATCTAACATTGAGTAATTATATAATTTAGGTATGGATTTTTTTAATCAAAATTTTATTGTCATAAAACATGAAAGTTGATAGCAAATTGATGACTTAAAAATTGGAAATGTCCTATATTTTAATTTTTTTTCTTTTTTTGAGTACAACATGGTGAGGGTGAGAGTTTGAAGTCATGACCTTTTGGTCGGAGATAGATGCTTTAATTATGTTCGATTTGACTCCTGTATTTTAATTTGATAAAATAGACCATGTCTGACTAATGGTGATTTAACCAACCCAAAATGACTATTATTTATTGAAAAAAAATTGCATTGGTTTATAGTATTTCTTTAAAATTCCCACATTATCTTAAATTTCCAATGATAGTAAAATTTTTATTGAAGAAAAATTAATCTCTAAAGAATAAATGTTAAACATTTCAGAAGATCAAAAGATTATGTACCGAAATTAAAAAGATGACATTAATGAGCAAATAATAAATTAGTAAAATTTTAAGAATTTTTTATTTTGGTTTATAATTTTTCCAAAAGAGCACTCAATTAAGTTTATTCTATTTTAGGTTGCCTACTTGTTTATTTTAGCCTTTGTCTTTATTTTTATTTTTATTTTTTTAATAAATAGATAACACAAGATAGCTAAATAATAGCAAGGATGTCAAAAATTGATTGTTTTTTTTTGTTTTTGTTTTTGAACGAAAACGACGTGAAGACCAAAAACAAAATTTTAAAAGTTTAGGACCAAAATGAAAAAATCTTAAAAGTTTAAGGACTAAAATTAAAATTTAAACCGTTGTATGATGTTAGATTAAATATAACTAATAATCCATAATATTTAGATAATTATCAATTTAGTAGTCAATCTTTTAAAATTCTCAAATTTACACGTTATATATTGAAAATTTTCAAAGATGTAAAAAAATCTGTTAACAAAAATCTGTGTCCCATTAAATTTTTGTTTAATCCATTTTTCCTTTCAACAAATTTTTGTTTAGAAACACCTACATTTTGAGAAATTTGAACACAGGAGGGTAAAATCGAGAATTGTGCTACTCGAAGGAAGTAAGCTCCACGCTCCACGCAGGCGCGTGAGAGAATTAATACAAAGCACGAAATTTCATAACAGCAACAAACAACTCCATCGTGCCGCCATGCAAATCCTCTCTTCTTCCCAACTCTATTTATTCATTCAGCGCTTCAATTTCCATGGCTTCCCTTTCTCTCTCTAAAACCCCCCTCTCTCTCCTCTCTCTCCTCTCTCTCCATGGCCTTCAATAAAACTCCGTACACTTCAAAGCAATGGAAGTTCTCCTCTCAATATTCCTTCATAATCCTCTTCCTAATTCTCTTCTCCTTCCTCTGTTTTACTCTCCTCTTGATCTCCTCCCGCTCCCAAAAAGAACTCCACAAATACACCGTCGTCCAGTACTCCTCATCCGCCGACGTGGAGAACGAATTATTCCGACGAAATCACCGGAGGATTATCAGGAGAATCAAAATCGGATTAATCAACGTCAGAAACGAAGAAATCGATGAAACTCTGCAGCTTCTAGGTTTATCGGAGGAATCGCGGCGGAGGACGGAGGCGGTGACGGTAAATTTCGATCGCGTAAACAATTCCGATTGGGAAGCTCTGTTTCCGGAGTGGATTGACGAGGACGAGAAATGGAGGTCGCCGAAATGTCCAGAAATTCCGATGCCGAGGACGGAGCTCTACGGCGATCTCGACGTCGTCGTTTTGCGGAATCCGCCGTGCGGAGCCAGAGACGCGGCGCGGCTGCAGGCGAATCTGGCGGCGGCGAGCGTGGCGGTGGCGAGCGGGTGGGTGGAGCAGGACGTTCATCGGACGGTGCACGTCTCGTTCGTGGGGGCGTGTGGGCCCATGCGGGAGATATTCCGGTGCGACGATCTTGTGGCGATGGGGGGAAATGATCGGACGGCGGAGGGGGTTTGGGTGTATAAACCGGAGATGAGGAGATTGAAACAGAAAATTCTCATGCCTGTGGGATCATGCCAGCTGGCGCCCGTTTATGCACGGACAGGTTGGTTTCTTTTTCCTCTCTTTGGGAAAATATTGATTCAAATTGAATTATTGTTTTTTTGCAGTTTTGGAAATGTATGTTCCTAATTTCTTCTTAATTCGGAACTAATTGCTTTTGGTTATTATGCTAAGTATGCTCATCTTGGGTATTTGTGCTGATTAATATTTGGAGATGCTTCAATTCAAACGTTGAATTATTTTTAAGGATTTTTTAAAATAGTTTTTATTATTATTATCTTTTAACGAGGATCCAACAGGGGTTCATTCTTATTAAATATTAATTAATTTAGTTTTTTATTTGTTAAATTATTATGTAAAATAATTTTTAGTGATGGTTAGGTAGGGTGAGAATTAATGTCATATTTGATAATTTTTTTGTTATTTCTAATATTTATGAATTTTAAAGGTAGGTTTATTTTAGGAATTACCTTGACAATTAAAAAGAGTCAAATAAAGTTTGTCCGGACACTTGCGAATATTAAAAGAAAAAGTTATTTTATTGGATTATTTGTTTTGTTTTTACAATACCTTTAAAATCTTAATGAAATTTGAAAGAAAAAATTTTCGTGGAATTAGGGATGTTTCATGATTTGAAAGATATATTTTTGTTTAAAATCATATCATGCTTAGCTTCTTGAATTTTTATACTAATATTTGAACCTCAAATATATATAATATTTTTAAAATGGTTGGAGAAATTTCCCTGGGTTAAAATTGGTCCAGACATTATTTATTCTTGGGTCGAAAATTTGAATCTTCATCTCAATAAACTAAAAAATAAAGTAATAATAAGAAATAAAAATTAAAAAGGTGAAAACTTAAATAATACCTAATATATTTTTAACCCATTATTCCTCTAAAACCAAGCGCAGTGGCTATGCGTTTGAAAGTGGAAAAAAATCTTCGTTACATTTTTGTATTTTCTGAAATGTGCAGATTTTGGTAGTATTATTAATGTATTTTCTGCTAACTTTGGTAAGTTAATTATTGTTCATGGGAACCACAGATATGATAATTATGTACATGTACACTGATCCTTATCTAGAGAATGGGCAAAGTTTACTCTCTGTTTTAACTAATTTTTCATTTCTATTGCCCTATCCTTATTATATTAAATAGAAATATGTCTGGTTATCTAATACATGTACACTGATACTTCTCGAATTATGCTCAGCTCATATTGAATTATTTATCTACCTTTGTACCTTTAGCTAATTTGCGACAGTTTTCTTTTAAGAATTTAAATTTTAATTAAAAGCTTAGTAGATGCATTTCTCTCCGTAGAAATCCTAATATGGCAAGTTGTATATATATGTGTCTCTTCTTATTCTTTTTAAGCTAAACAACAACTTTTTTTTAGTACATCAAACTTCAACGTTAGGGAATATACATATAGACTAGCTGATGAGTTCACATGAGGTAACAATTTAGAAATGGAACAATATTTAGGTGTTGACTGGTGACACGCTATCTCGTATACCATATTGAAAAGATAACTTCTTATTTTTAAAAAAATTATCAATTTTTGTATTTCTCTCTTTATTGATAAAGAATTTAATAGTAGTCAGTTCACCAGCCAGCACCTAAATATTTCCTTTAGAAATTCCTATCTATCTATATTTTTTAAGTACTATTCTTAACATGTATTAACCATATAAAGGCATAGCTCCGTGATTGAAGCATTTAGCTTCCATACATCACTCTTGTTTTGGTTTTGCAGGGAGAGAAATATGGAGGAAGTTCATGATACAAAAAGCACCAAACAAGAACAATAAAGACTCAACCCAACCGCTACGCAGAAGCAAGCCAAAAGAGGCCTACGTTACAATCCTCCACTCCTCAGAAGCCTACGTCTGCGGCGCCATCGCTCTAGCTCAAAGCATCCTCCAAACCAACACAAGCAAACAGCTCCTCCTCCTCGCCGATGACTCCATAACTCCGAAATCCATTGACGCCCTCCGTGCCGCTGGCTGGACGACCGAGCGCATCCACCGCATCCGCAGCCCCCGCGCGGAGAAAGGCTCCTACAACGAGTGGAACTACAGCAAGCTCCGCATATGGCAGCTCGCCATCTACGACAAGATCATTTTCATCGACGCCGACCTTCTCGTCCTCAAGAATATCGACCACTTATTCGCGCTACCACAGCTCTCCGCCGCCGCAAACAACAAGATGAGGTTCAACTCCGGGCTAATGGTTGTGGAGCCGTCGGCTTGCTTGTTTGAGGACATGATGGCCAAGAGCTTCGAGTTGGAGTCGTATAATGGTGGTGATCAGGGATTCTTGAATGAGGTCTTCACCTGGTGGCATAGGCTTCCTTCAAAAATCAACCATCTCAAAATGTTTGAGAAAGACAACAATGAGAGTTCAGGTAATTAATTAATGACTTATATGCTTTAATTTGCTTAAATTACATTATTTCATCCCTATAATTTATTGTCTGTATTATTAGTTGATTATATTAGAGTTTAGCAACTGTTAAACATGATTAATTAATTTATTAGGATATCTAAAAATAAAAGGAAATAGATGGGTCTTTCAGGTGGATAAAAATATAGATGATTTGTAAGGCTTTACTAAACTATTGGGAACAAATTCAAACTTGAAACTAGATTCATTCGTTAAAATTTTTAGGACCATAAGGATCAAATTGGAAAGGATGTTTACATCATAGGAACCAAATTTGTAACTATATTTAACTATTATTTTTAGTCTTCATAGTTTGAGTTTTTATATTTAAATTTAGTTCCCGTGGTTAGTTAAATCTCTCGATATTGTTCATAATTGTTATTATACCATAGAAAAAAATGAGGAAAATACTTTACTCCTCAACGATAAAGATCAAATCTTGTACTCTGCTAAGGAGTCATGTATTTTGCAAAGATAAAAGGTCAAATTCATGTGTATATACGAAGGTAAAATTGGCTAAATCATATATTATGATTTGAGTTTTGAGAAAAAAGAGGAAATTAAACAAATAGAAAGCAAGGGTAGGGTTTAGTTTTTTCTTGGGTATAATGTTATATATATTATATTGTTTGAACGCATGCAGATGATGCATATGCAATACATTATCTGGGATTGAAGCCATGGATGTGTTACAAAGACTACGACTGCAACTGGGACATGGCGGACCACCATGCTTTTGCGAGTGACTCAGCTCACGCCAAATGGTGGAAAGTGTACGAAGCCATGCCCACTGAGTTGCAGCAATTCTGTGGCCTCACCAAGAAGATGGATTCCAGAATTAGAAAGTGGAGAAGGATTGCCAAGAACAACGCCACTAATTTTCCTGACGCCCATTGGAAAATCAAGATCACTGATCCAAGACGCCACCGTTTTATGGGTATTGCTCAGTAGAGATATATCAGAAACCAAATTAAAGCTAGCACATGCATATTGTGGATGTGGCCAACAAATTTTTGTAAGGTCGTCCCTCTTCTCTCTCCTTCATTCTCGGTTTCAGATTTTAGAGCTTCTTTTGATGATCTGTTGACATGGTTTTAATTCACAGCTAGAGATGGATAATGAGGTTGTATAGAAATTAAAGATAATACAAAGAATTGGGACTTGGAAATTGTGTTCACTGAGTTTTAGTTTTGGAAAGGTTAATAAATATTTAACCTTTTTCCATTTGACTTGTTAGAGCAAAATAAAGGGGTCAACTATAGGGCTCAACAAAAGATTGAACTTAGTTAATTAGACATGGTTGTTCAGAGGTTTAATTTTTTTCCGAGTACGATACGTGGGTCGTAACTTTAATATATACTTGAACTTTGTTGTAGTTATAAACGTGTACATTTTTTTTTCTTTTTCGATAAAATCGCGAGAATCCAGTAAGCTCATGGTTTGTTTTTGGTTTTTATACTTCTAAAGTGTGCATAAAAATCTATTTTAGTTTTTACTACCAAAATTCTGTATTGTATTCAGAAGAAACTGTGGCACGTGAATTTATATATGTACAAAGCTGCATGAATTAACGAATTTAAGTATCAAGATTTTAAAATAGGTGGAACAATATGTTTTTTTTTTAACATTTAAAGTCAACTCGAAAATTTTCAAAAACTTTTTTTACTTTTTTTAGTACAATAATTGGGAATATGGAAAATAAAATTTTCAAAACTTAGAGATTATGTATAATTTTTTCTAAAAAATATAATGCACCAAAGAAAACAAAAAAACAAATTTGTTAGGCCTTAGCCCATCCAAAAAAAGGAATTAAAGAAACTTGACCCAACAATAATGTAATAAAGAACTTTTGACCACTTGACTACCAAGCAAAACTGCAAAAAGGACGAAAAATAATTTGTATGTACGAATGCCACAGAGAATATTATAACTATTGTGAATTATATAAGACTTAATAATATAATGATCTAGGATGAAAATTTTAGACTCTAAATGTACATAGAATTTAATCTCAAAATTAATTGATAATGAAAAAAACAGTCTATATCTATTATTTTTATTAGGTTTTTTTTATCTTTTAGCATGGGATATTGATCGAAGACTATTGGCAACCAATCATCAAAATTAACACATATGCAACTGTTCGAGTAAATCATAACGAAGTATAATTGCATCGAGTTTTAGAAAGGATAAATGAGAGATTATGCTTACTTTACCAAGATTTTTTTAATATATTATTGACGTTATGTACCAGAAGCTTTGGTAGTGAAGAAAGAAGCTTGGCTTTCGTGATGTGGTGGTTAGAATGGACTCCACTTGGATTGCCAAATATGTTGATAGAGAAGGCAGAGAGGAAGAAGTTGGGATGATAATCCAAGAAGCTATTGAGACGAAATATTGAGGACGATGATTTTGTGCGTTAGAAAATTCAAGAATTTTTGTAGTGATGACTTTGCAACGAATCCAAAAGGTATGGATGGATGTGAGGGTGAAATGCATTAGTGGGATGTGAGTTTTTTTATTTTATTTTTTTACAACATATTGGGGAAGGGATTCGAACTCATAACTTCTTGGTTGGAGGTATATGTCAATTACCGTTGAACTATGCTCGCTTTGGAGGGCGGGATGTGAGTTGGAAGGTAAGGATTTGGAAGCTTATATAGTTAATGTAACATAACGTACTTGTTTGTGATTTTTTCATGCTTATTCCTTTGTGTTTTATATTTGTACTAAAGACCACTAAAGAAGACCTATTCTTCTATGTCCTTGATATTCCATTCCATGATACCAAATTCCATAAGTGTTTTGAATTAATATTGTGTATGCATTTAATTTAATCACGAGATTTCTTTACTTCAGATTCGATGCATTGTCATTTTATATAACATGAAATGAATTAATTCTTAAGATAAGTGTACATCATGAAGTTTGAACTCAATTTATAATCTAACTATTTTTTTAAATGAAATTTTGAACTCAAAGGATTAACCATTACGTTTTTAAAATATAAAAATCATATTGTTACCCATAAAAGTAGAAGACCAAGATATTATGTTAAAAAATACAATAGCTGATAGTTTATTTCAGGAAAATTCAAATGAGTAACATCATTTTCTAAAACCAAGTCCAAATGTAACATATTTTGTTTAAAGAAATTTGAATAAATAACTTTTTTTTTCTTGCAAAGGCAATAAAAACTTATTAGGTACCAGCATGTTTTCTCTCATATAATAAGAATAATATTAATTAATTAATCAACTAATCAACTATTATCCCAACAACATTCTAATTTTTGTTTTTGATTTTTCGTTTCCAATTTTTTAAGAAACATAAACCTAATTTAGTAACTATTTTTGTTTTTTATTTGTGATTTAAAAAAAACATTTCCAAAATTACGTAGAAATTTTGAATATAATACAACCAATTTTCTATATCATTCCCATTTCTAGATTTTCAAAACATAAATAAAATTATTATTTTATCATCTTTCATTTCTAAAATGCATATAAATATTAAAAAGTAAGTACAAATATATTTTTTAAATACTTATTTTAAGAAAATTAAATTTCATATAACAAAAATTTACTTTTTAATTTAAAATTTTAGAGAACAAAAACAACAAATAGTTATGTTTATAAAAAAATCATGAAATGCAAAACTATTTTTATTTATTACAAATAGAAAAAAAATAAAAAACAAAAACATTACCCACTAATTAACTAATACATTATTACTTAAAATTTTCTACATTTACAATTAATTTTTTTAATGCTTTATTCGGAAGTTACTCTTGTATATTTAATTTAACCAATTTAAATCACGGAATCTTGAGAAGAGAAAAGAAAAAAGAAAAAAAAAATATATATATATATATATATTTTCGCACCTTCTCAGTTCTCCCCACCGGAGCGGGGAGTTGATTCCTGCTTCAAAATTAAAAACTGCACTGTCGGCTTTGATTCACTTTTTTATTTTTATTTTAAATAATAATAATTAATTTTCTTTTTTCGAAAAATTAGTCTCCACTTTCTTTTCCCTCCTCTCTCTCTCTCTCTAGATTCTGATTTTGTTGCCGACCGCCATTAATCGAACTCTCCTTTTTCTCTCTCCATCAGTTACAAATTCACTCTCTTCTTCGCACAGCCATTGCCTCAGTCTCCGCCAATCCCCAAATGCAAGATATCTTCGCTTCAGTTCGCCGATCATTGGTTTTCCGCGCTCCTCTCGACAATGAGGATTCGCATACTCCTCCAGTTGGAGTTGGCGTGGGAGCCCTAGTTGACAAGATCAACTCCGGCATTCGAAAATCCAGAGTCTTCTCCAGGCACTCCCCTTCCTCTGCTCTGCCTCCGATCCCCAAGGAGAACGAGCCGCCGATTCGATGGCGCAAGGGCGAGTTGATTGGCTGCGGCGCCTTTGGCCGTGTGTATATGGGCATGAATCTTGATTCTGGAGAGCTTCTCGCTGTCAAACAGGTACTTCGATTGCGGTTTTACTCATCGGTATTGCTGAATTGTGCTTTTCATGCTTGGCGAGAGATGTTTCGTTTGAATTCTGATTTGATTTCTGCTTAGTGTAGTGTAGTGTAGTGTAGGATCTCCGTTTGAACATTTCTCCATCGTTCTTTTTTCAGGTTTTGATAGCTGCGAATGGCGCTTCGAAGGAGAAAGCGCAGGTCTGCTTTTACTGTGCGCTTCGGCAGCTGATTCTAAGATGTCTTTGTTGCTCTCTTTTTACCATGTCTGAATTTTAGAATATTGATTCTCGTGTATGGTTTTTCTGTTTGGTTGAATTGATTAATTGTTCCCTCATTTTACCTGAAATTCCTGGATTATACTTCAACTGTTCATAGAGGTGCACACATTAGTTGGTATTCCTAGATCACATACTTGGTACGATACATACGTGCCACTATATTCCTGATTTACTCGCTAGCAATTTTCTGGACTTATTCGTTAGTTCAATTTAAAAATATATATATTTTACTTGATTTGAGTTGGACACTTCAAAGTTACAATCTTCATTTGTATTCGCTTGATATTTATCGCACATCTCTTTCATGGCAATTTTGTTGTTTTTGAACTGTAAGCCTAATCAAATATGTCGAAGTGTAACACCAAAGAGTTGCTTCGCTAGTAGCAACCGAAGTGCCAAGGCCTCTCACTCTCTCTCTCTCTCTCTTTTTTTTGGTTATTTATTTATTATAATACCAAGTAAGAACAATGTTGGAATGCCTACACTAAAATCGATTTCTCAAACAAAGCCTTATTGTGTTTATTTATTTATTTTTATATCTTACGCTCCATAATATTTAAAATTTTTATTTGTTTTATATATATTATATGGTTCGCCTCACTGAAACCGTTGGTTTTTTATTCTCGACCGCTTAATCTCCGAAGTCTAAATGGCTATTTCCCCTGTGCATTTCTTGCTTTATGAGGTATTACGGAAGTTTTAAAAAATAATTGAAAAGGAGAAAGTAGAAAGATTAAGAAAATTTACTCAATATTTCAAATAAACTGGTGTTCGTACATATAATTATAATTGTCAATTTTGAGTCATATTTTTGTTGCAACCAGGCTCACATTAAGGAACTTGAGGAAGAAGTGAAGTTACTCAAGGATCTTTCTCATCCAAACATTGTTGTGAGTATGGCCTTCTGCTTCTCATTCATATAAAGAAGCCCGTTACTCTCTTGACTGAATATTGTGATGTTTCTTAGAGATATTTGGGCACAGTTAGGGAGGATGATTCTTTAAATATATTATTGGAATTTGTCCCTGGTGGATCGATATCATCACTTTTGGGGAAATTTGAAGCCTTCCCTGAAGCAGTAAGTTATTCTACTCTCAACATGCTAGTGTCAGATGCAATGAGTGCTTAATCATTTATGCCGACTGTATGTAGGTTATAAGAACATATACAAAACAGTTATTATTGGGACTGGAATATTTGCACAAGAACGGTATCATGCACAGGGACATTAAGGTCGGTTTCTTAATGAATCTACAATCATTATTATTTGCAGACAAATTTCTTCTCCTCCTTCGTCAGTTATATTAACAGGTCTTATATCTTTTATTCTATTGCAGGGGGCAAATATTCTTGTAGATAACAAGGGATGCATTAAGCTTGCAGATTTTGGTGCATCAAAACAGGTTGCCGAGCTGGTAAAGTGAATGATCCTCGACTTTTACTTAGTTTGAAAGCTATCTGCCATCTGATCAAGATTTCTTTGTTGTAGGCTACAGTTTCTGGTGCGAAGTCCATGAAGGGTACTCCATATTGGATGGCTCCTGAAGTCATTCTGCAGACTGGGCATAGTTTGTAAGAACAGACTGACGTCAAACTCAGATTTTACAGTCTCTTCTGGATGTTTGAATATTGATTATTAACTGTTAAATGCCAAGTTCAAATTTTGTTGATGAAATTGATTTTTAAGCAAACTTTTTTTGGTTGATAAAGCAGGGCTGCTAATTAGGACAGAATTTCGAATTAGAAGTGGTGCTTTGATCATTGAGGATTTTGATTAAAATGAATTAGCCAAAATTTGCTTTTGATAGTCTTTTAAAAAACCAAATATGTAATAAACAAATAATTGGTCTTAGTAGATTTTGACTTTGACTAAATATTAGAGATGGGTAATGATAAGTATGTGATAATTATTCCTAGCTCTGCTGATATATGGAGTGTTGGATGCACTGTTATTGAGATGGCTACAGGAAAGCCTCCTTGGAGCGATCAGTATCCAGAGGTATCTAATAACTTAAGATGATTGAGGGGTGGGTATATTAAATTAGTTTCGTAAAATGAACTAACAATATATTTCTTTTAGGTTGCTGCTCTTTTTCATATAGGTACAACAAAGTCTCATCCTCCAATCCCTGAGCAACTTTCTATTGAAGCTCAAGATTTTCTGTTGAAATGTTTGCAGAAGTATGTTTTATTTCTTCTTGGCCTTTCTAACCGATCATAGCTTAACAAAATTTCCGACATCGAGATTAGTTTGAAATTGTTTTTCTTTTGCTTCTCTTTGCCACTATTTCTCATGGAAAGTCAAATCAATGTGGGTCAAATTGCAGGGAACCAAACTTAAGACCAGTTGCATCTGAACTGCTGAAGGTGATTTTTTATTTGATTGGTATTTTTGTTGTATTCAATAAGATCAAATTACTGGCTGCAGAGGCTGTAGTAAAATCTTTCCTCCTTTATTCTAGCAATGACGTGTAATACACTGACAGAAATAGTGAGAAGTAGACAAAGGAGTGATTGTTTTAACTACCACCTAAACTTCCAGCTTTCTTGCGTGCAGCATCCTTTTGTTACTGGGGAGGAAGCAAAATCTCAACTTGCATCGAATAATGCATGCATGGTTAGTGGATTAAAGAACCAGAATATTTTATTCATGATTATTCTTTTTCCTGTTTATGACATTGAATTTGCCATCATCAGGAGCCTTTGGAAATCCATTCACCTCTATATACTGCAAACCTTGAGATGAGGTGAATGCAAAAATTCATTTACTAGAAGATTGTGCATTACCTGCTACAATTATTAAGGTTTTTGACAATTTTTTTTCTCTGACAGTAAAACTTCAACTCATCTTGGATCAAGTGATATTTGTAACTTGGATAGTCTGAGCTGCTCAAAAGTATACACTGGTAACGAACAAGAAAATGATATTTGGGGAACAAACAACAGTGATGATGAAATGTGTCAGATTGATGACAAGGACGATTTTATGTTAGATGAAGTAAAACTCAGGTCTTCTATTATACCCGAAAATTTGAAGGTGAGGAAAACTGTTTTCTTAATTGTCTGGATTCCACTTGAGTTCTCAGTCCAAATAGCTCTGAAAATAAACTCTTATTATTATTATTATTTGTGGGTGATAGAGTTATAACCCAATTTGTGAGCCCTCCGATGATGAGGATTGCAAATTTGATAAAGGTCCAGTAGTAGACCAAGGAAGCAATTTAGATGAGAAAGCTCTTGCGCCTGGAAGCTGTTCTGGAGTTTTTGATGAGGACCAAAACTTCTCCTTTCCTTGTGGGCGATCACTTTCTGAAGATGAGGATGAGGTTACTGAATCAAAAATTAAAGCTTTCTTGGATGAAAAGGTTTGGATTTGCAGTTTGAGTCTTTGAGATAACGGACTATTTTGTCTTTTTAATCGGCCTTGTCTGCCCTTATGTAAAATGCATTTATTGGCTCTTACTTGTTCTGCTTGATTTGCGATGCTTTAGGCTTTTGAATTGAAGAAAATGCAGACACCCTTATATGAAGAGTTCTACAATAGTTTGAATACATCCTGCTCTCCCGTTTTTATTGAGAGTAAACCAGATGAAAGTACTCCTAAATACTTGAAATTACCCCCAAAAAGCCGGTCTCCAAGTCGAAGTCCAGGTAACCAATCGACAGTAATGGATGCTTTTGGTACTGGGAGCCCAGGGAGCGGTAGCAGGAGTAATGGAAATGATCAGAGATCACAACTCAATGATTGGAAAGGACTTCTAGCTGATGGTCAGTCAGAAGCTGGTAGCCCAAGGTTCGAATTTTGGATGTTCTTTTGGCAACCTTGGTATCATTTACCTCTGCTGTATTCTTGATGTGGTCTGATGTGTGTTATCTACCAGGAAGCATTATTCTGAAATACAGAGGAAGTGGAAAGAAGAGCTTGATCAAGAGCTTGAGAGAAAACGAGGTAGATAATTGTTCTGTATAGCCTCTAAAGTAAGAAGATAAACAATCATGTGGTATATTATGGATTCGTGAGCATAAAAATCATTTGATTATGGGAAATTGTTGACAGAGATGATGCGTCAAGCTGGTGGGGGAAGTAAAACTTCATCTCCAAAGGATAAAGCCATTGGTAGGCAGAGAGAGCGGACAAGATTTGCATCTCCATTACGGTAGACGTCTAAATTTCTTTTGCCTTCATGACATATTCTATTATTGCAATGCATGATTGTGAAAAATCATTGCAGGGATGATGCGTCGGGCACTGGGAAGGAGAACAGGGAAAACATCATCTCCTAATCAAGTGATGAAAGTTCAGCATCTCCAAACTTCAGCCGAGTTTATCTTGCTCGTTTGTCCTCCCCTCTCCAGTTCTTTTGGAGTGTGTATCTGAAGAACAAAGAGGACACATGGAGGGAGGAACTATTATAATATGCTAATTTTTTTCGTTCTTTTTTCTCTCTTTCAAGGATACATATTTTTCAATTTTGTATCCCAGGTGAATAGAAAATGTATCTTTAGTGTACAATATTATTTTGGTTTGATGATATAAAAAAAGATGGCACATGTTTTTTTCCTCTTGTAATCCAAACAATACAAACAAAATGTTGACCAAAAAAGTTACTTTATTGACGATTCTCACAATCTGATTCAATAAATTTGATGGAATAAATTCAATTAATTACAGAAGCTTGTACAACAGAAGAAACACTATGGACATTGAGAAAATATCAAGCAAAGAATTATTTTGTGCAACTTCTCAAATTCTCATTTGTGTTGTTGGCCTCTGTTTCAACCCACTCAGATTAATTTGCCCACCATGCTTGTGTACACTTTTTCTGCTTTTCAGGGGAGACACCAATCTTGCTGCAAGTCGTGATGGTGAGAATGATTGCCTCAGCTTGGAAGCTGTCAGCCTGGACGGTGAGAATGACCGACGCAGCTTGGAGGAGGTAGCAGGTTTCTTTGGAGACTGCTGCTTACTCAAGCTTACCAGGGGTCTCGTTGGTGATCGCGTGATCACCACCGGTGGGCTTTTGATCTTCACCTGAAACTTTGAAGCTGAGGCTGGAGACTTGATCAAGAACTTATGTGGAGTTTGTTGTCTGTTTCTTGTGATCACTGGAGACTTTGTTCTGCAAAACTTTGGTGGTTGGGAATTATCTGATGGTAGGAATAAAGCATTTGGAAAAAGTACTGCCTTTTTCGACCATGGCCTGTTCCAAGGTGATGACGACACTCGATTTGCTAGATACTGTGCATTCTCTTTATCAACAACATCTCTTTTGGTCGGAGGCGACACAACCTTGAAGTTGATTCGGGACCGAACTCGTTGAAGCGAAGGAGAATGCGATTCAGTTCGTTTTGATTGGAATTTTTCTTGCTTCTCTCTCTTCCTTCTTGCTCTTAGTTCTGAGTCTTCAAGGTTCGGTCTGCGGTTTCTTTGTCGTGTCAATGGCGTTTTCGGGTCATCCATTGTTGTGTTTTTGGTGGTGTTATTAGTAACTGCTTCAACCATCTCTCTTGCAAATTTGCTTGCTTGCAGTATTTCTCCAATGGTCTCATCCACAAGCATTGCTGGTAAAGACATCCTCTGCCACTCCCCTGTAAAAATTCCAAAAGTAAAAACATATTTAGATATCTATTTTTAAAAATTCATTCTCAATTAAATTCTCACCAATGACTTTTTTTTTTTTTTTTTATAAATTTTTTGAAACAATTCTCACAAATGACTTATTTGGACTAAATTAAGTTATTCTTTCTAAAACTACAAACCCGTAAATAGTATTTTCTTTTAAAAGCTAGTCCGATCACAATTCTCAAAAACAATTCCTAACCGGATGTTCCAAACTTGACTTATGATCCCTTGGATATTAGGTTATCTGAATTGTTAAAGTGACTTAACCCATGAACTTAATCTTTTAGGTTGAGCACTAATCTTACACGAGGATGATTTTTTTCATATAACTTTGCAACTGACCCAAAAGAAGATGCAGCAAGAAATTTCAGAAAGTATAAACACAAAATTCAATTCAATTCAATCCAATGAGTTCAGAAAAAAGAAACCTCCTCCTCCTTCATTTGCCGGAAACTTCCCCACTGGAGATTTCCTGCCTCCACCATTTTTGATCCTTCAAAAGTTGAAAACAGAGAATAACCCATTTGAGTAATAAAAAAAGAGCTCAAACTTCACACAAAACCAAGTAAAATTTGAAAGCAAAAATTGTACCTTACAGATTCCTGTTTACATCTGAGGCTTGTTCTAAGATAGCCTCTGGTGCTGCGTGGGCTTAGGCTCACCCCAGAAATCACCTTGTTCCCTCCTGTTACTGTGAATTGCAGTTCTTGTAGCCTACTCATGCACATCTCCACCTACAGAGAGAGAAGAAAGTGTTAATGCATCTATAAATATTTCTCCACCTACAGAGAGAGAAGAAAGTGTTAATGCATCTATAAATATTTATCGTAACCGATAAGTCTAAGCTTTTGGAATTGTTGATGATTTAATATGGTATCAGAGAATGAGGTCTGTGTTCGAATCGCTGTAATGTCATTTCTTTCCTACTGATGGCCACTTGTAACAGTTACTGTAGTCCATCAGCTTACACGGTGATTTAATGGAGTGAAGGGAAATTAATCCAGAAATGTATTAAATAAGAAGCTAAAAGTTTGTTTTGATCTTGGACCTTAATGGGACCTGAGTTTAATCCTCCTTTTATGCTTCTTCAAGTAATGAAGACATATTTTTCTGTTTGTTTCCCGAGAAAAGAATGGAAAGTTTCATCGTTTGAGCTGAAAAAATCTACTGAAGATGGGGAAGCCCAGATTGGATCTGCAGTTTCTCTCCAAGATTTGCAAATACAATGGAAAGTGGAGAACCTCCGTTTTCCTTATCAAAGAAACGTTCATGGCTTTTTGAAACTGTTTTACCCAAAAAAAGAAAAAGGAAGATGCCAAATGATTCAAAATCCAACCTTTGTTTGTTTTCCGGGAAAATGAACAGAAAATTTTCAACATTTGAGCTGAAAAAATACAGTGAAGGTGAAGAACCCAGATGGGATCTTCAGTTTCTCTCCATAAAAACAGAAAAAAATAAATGAAGGACAGAACCAGAAGCACTTGTGCAAATCAACCAAAACAAAAAGGACTGTTTTTTCAAAATTCCCCCATGTGGGAAACCAAAGCATGAGCTAGCTTTTTTACCTTGTTTAGTGTTTCTCTCACTAGAACTGGGTTGAGAGTGGCTGCTGCTTCCATTTTCTTTTGTTTTGGTGGGGTTTTTGCTACCATTTTGATGGAATTCAACAAACTCACCAACTGCCTCTTCAGCACAAATCTCTCTCTCTCTCTCTCTCTCTCTAAATACCCATGAAGTTGTGAGGGTCAAAATGACTTTTTTATCAGATTTTCTCTCTCTCTCTCTCTAAAAACTGAAGAGGGTTTTTTGAAATTCTTGTTGCCTCACCCTTTTTGTCTCAGAAGTGGAGAAGTCAAAGGAGAGGGCTTTAGAGATAGTGTGTAACGTATCTTTGTTGTTCCAACGGTCGATTTCGAAAGCGAAAGGGCTAACGGCTACTTTTCTTAATATTTGATGGGCCTTCCATGCAATCTCAATTCGGCCCACTAAGATGGGTTTTTGTGGGCCTCTTACCTTCAAATCATTCAACCAAAAGCAATAAATGGCAATTTTTTAAGCTACGGTTTCCTCCTTTATTTAAGGTTGTCCATAAAGGTGTAAAAAAAATATATTTTTTTGAAGCATGAATACTTGTTAATTGATGATTATTATGATTATCTCAATTAACATTCAAGTCAATTATTAATTTGGTAAATCAATGATAATTACAAAGTTAGATTATAAATTTGAGAGTCGATCTGAGCATAGCTTAGTGGATAAAGACACATTGTTATCCCAAAAATTGATAGTTGAAATTGTGAAACAAAAAAATAATAAATTTGAGAGTTATTTTATTGTGTGGGACCTTTCATTTCATTTATTTTAGCTGGAGCGAGTATACAGTATTATAAATTTAGTTAATTGAACTTTGAGTAATGCTTAAGGGAATAGATGTCATTTACTCATAAACTATGTTCATATTGATTGTGTGATATGTAGTTGGAGAACCTTTCAACTTTATTGACGTTTGCTTGACCTTTAAGCAAAATCTATCTAGTCTATTCACTTGCCAACATCATATCAATACAACTAAAATTCTTTTTATAATATATATATATATAACTAAAATCTGTTTAATAGACATCTTACATCATTATTTTGTTATAGAATTTGAGAATAAATGTTCAAAATAACTAGTGGGGGATTCTAAAGAAATTATTATATATTTGTCAAGAAAACAAAAAAAGAAATCATTAGAAAAAGTGAGCTACCGTTCAAGTAACAAAATTTGTTTTTTTTTAATGTTTCATAGCATTAAATTTCTTATATTTTTTATTTAATTATTATTATTATTATTATTTTTGTAAATGTAAGTATAACAAAAAAAAATCTCATAGCCTAATATCGATGCACAAAAGTATATATAAAAAAACCGATAAAACAAAACAACCCAATTATAAAAATAAATTTCGAACAACCTCCAACAAATTTCATCACCTAAACTGAAGGCTATCTGCCAAGTTGTAGCAGGAGAAAATTTCTTATATTGTTAACCAAGCCACATTAACAAGTTCTTTCTCCACAAGAATATCATTACTTAGTCGATTGAAGGACCTTTTTGTAGCTTCATATTTATTATGCTCTCCTCATTCTAATAAATAATTTCACTATTTCAGGAGTTCTTTCAGTAGCTCGCAGCATTGGCCAAAAAGATACAAAAATAAAATTCTCATTTCCAAACTCACAAGAATAAGAGTAAAATCTAGATTTGACTGATTTGTTTTTAAGACCTCACATTTGGTAAGCCAGAAGCATACATTTTAGCTGTAACATCCAACAGAAAGAATTATTACGAGAATCAAAAGAAAAATACACAGATTAGATGGTGTAGAGAGGGAATAGGGTGAAGACGACGTTGTCATTGTAACCCAATGGAAGATTGATACGGTATTAAAGACGACCTCGTGCAAGTTTCCAGCACACATCTTGAGAGGACTCCACACCAATGGCTTTCTTGTGAAATGGTTGTTTGTCAGAGAGAATGAGGTTAGAGAAGTACAAATTGAAGATGGTATCGTCTTCAATGGAAGTCGGTGGAAGGTCGAGACGGTATCAAAGATGGCCTCCTGAAGTTTTTCAGCCCTCTCAACTTGAGAGGACTCCATACTACTGGTTTTCTTTGTAAGGCAATAACTTTGCCATTTCTTGAACCACCTTGAGTTGGAGGGCTCCCCATGAACTTGCTACTGCTTCTCATGGCAGCCATTGGTGTTGCCTCTACTGCTGCTGTTTGAAACTCTGGTAATGGAGAGAACAACTTTGAGTATCTTGCTTTTCTAGTATCCCTTGCAGCAAATAATTGTGGCCCCATTGCTGCACCACTTCCATTGAAGGCAGAAGAGGTGCGGAGTGGTGTTGTCACGTGGGAGTACTCCGGACGAAGTGTTGCAATGGAGACCCGTCTCTTGGGCTGAAAAACTTGTGTCACTGTTGTCATTGTTGTTGGGGTTGGCCTTACAGCTATCGAACTCCGTCTTGGTATTAGAAGGCTTCTTGTGTTTGCTGCTGCAGTTGTCATCATTTTAGGGCCATTTTCTTTGCCTTCTGTTGGAGGAGCTGGGTAAGTGAATGAAGAGACACGCCTTTTCTTGGATGGCACGGGGGACGGTGGTGGCACGAAATTCGTTATCTTTCTTAGGGGTAGCCTTACTTTTGAAGGACCTAATGGTGGCTTCTTTTCTGCTACATTTCTTGGAGCTGCCAGTTTTGAAAAAGATGGCATTGCTGAGGACTGAGAGGCAGAAGAAACGGTTGCAAGAGCTCTACTTTCCTGTTTTAGTCTGGCTTTCCTTTCATCCGCTAGTTGATTCTCGAGATCTCGAACCTGTTATTACACAAATGAAAATCTTTTCTTAACTTCATAATAAAAATTGTGCAATAATGTATAACTAAACCAAGGAAAAAAAGAACTTCAAAATTTTGAGGATCAGCAAGAACTTGGATCAGATTATATCAATTACCTTTTCTTGAAGATTCCTGCAAATATGTTCCCTAGCAGTGAGTCTTAACTGCAACGATTGCACATTGTCTTGTAATTTCTTCATTTCCTTTTCGTCATGCTTGGACTTTTCTGCCTGTATATTTCAAAAATTTGCTCAAAACAGGGTCAAAACACCGAAATAAGAAGAATCTTGAAAAAGTGCAATCTGAACTTTCCGGTGTCTGCATACCATTTGCTTGAACTTAAACAGGTCTGTGAGATCCGACTGTTTGCGAGCAGGGGCATTCTCGATCCCTCTAACGCGGCTAGCAAAATTCAATGAGCAGAGTGTCTCTCCAACATCAGCTGCACTTGGACTAATCTGTACAAACATCAGGGTTTTGCAATCTCCCCCTGCACGTAAGAATTTCAATTACTGTTAACTAAAAATATATAACCATATACAGAGATCTCTTAGCTAAAGTCCGAACCGAGACTTCACAGAAAAAATTAAGAAGCAAGATAGGCAATAAAGCTCACCTAGAGAGCTTTGTAGCAAATGGGTTAGTTTTGAGTTCCTGTTGCAAGAAAAATAATAAAACTCAATCACCAAGAAAATTTGGCAGGGAAAACAGGAGAACGAGGGTGGATGGAGAAATGCCTGTAAGGAACGTGGGCTGTTTTGGAAGCCAGGGCAGAGATGACATCACCAAGAGCGGAAAGTGATTTATTAATGAATTGAGATTCCTTTAATCTTTCACCTTCAACATCAATCCTCCCCACGCGTTCACTACCTGCCAAATCTACCAGCCAAAGATGACTCTTTGTCCTCTGTCCATTCATAAGATTCTCTCCCTTGACAGTGACTCGCAACAAGCTGCATAATGCAAATGATGATTGGCTCGCATAAGTATATTTATCTGTGGCATCATCTTGTAAGAACAAAATTTACTTTGACATATTGTTTAAGAAGTAACTGGCGTAATAAAAGTGTAAAAAATTTGGTGTAAAAGATGTTAGAGGATATCTTTCACATGTTTTTAAAGATGATTCAGCACGTGGTGATTGGAAAAAGAACATTACCAGTGGGAGCGGCTGCTTAGCTCATTAGCACTGGTGGATCCAACAGATCTTGCTCGGCTTCCTGACTTAACTAGCTCCCACACTTCTTCAGTTCCACAAACTTGAGCTTCAACCAATCCGGGGACTTCTTGTGTTCCTTCTGCTGCTTGCTTAATCTCCAACCTTAAACCATACCTCATATTAATAATCTCTTCCAATATATCTCAAACTAGCAATAAAACTGATGATAAATATCTTAGCACACTGATGCAAGCATTAGCTTCAGATGATTATTAAATTTCTTTGAACCAAAAGCATTCTATCCTACAGTATTACAGACATCACCATCCTCAGATATCCTGTGTAATGATATACATGAGGAAAATGCTTCAAAATTTCATTTAAAATCCTCAATTATTTAACCTGAAAATTTGAACATACAAGCACTCATCCATGAAAGATTATCAGACAAAAAAACTCACTTCTTCAGATGTGGGTTGGAGTTGTCTGCCAAGAGATCCCTTATTTTCTCATTGTAAACCTCCAACATGCTGACGTACAATTCATATTTCATAACACCATCTCTCTCTTCAGAAATCTTAAACAGCTCTTTCAAAGTCCGGTAGTTGACTCCTCTGTTTTCGGGTGTTCCCTCCATGGTAAATGTCTTCCCCGTCCCAGTTTGCCCGTAAGCAAATATGCAGACATTATACCCATCCATCACTGAAGCTACAATAGGCTTAGCTTGACCGAAAACAGTTTCTGCACATTTTCAAACCGTCATAAATATACGGATTAAGAAATTACAGGCTACAGCAACCAAACTTAGAAACTAATTCTCTCATATACCTTGGTTGTCCTCAGTCTTAAACACGTGATCAAATTTAAATTGTTTCTTTGAAGAATCAGAAGAAAGAACTTGAATCTCATTTTCCTGAGATGAATCAAATTCAATCACAGAGGTAGACCCATTTGTCATTTCGCTTTCATTTAATGGTCTACATCTGCAGAAAACTCTAATATTCCCTTTGAGTTCAATCACTTCATTGTAAAGTCGCTTTCGCTCAGAGGACTCTTCAAGGTATTTCTTCTTCAAAAGTTCATGTTCAATACCTGAAAAGCAAAAAAAGAAGCAGCCAAGGATCAATTGGTAATTAATCATATTATTTTTAAAATGGAAATGATGGAAATTGGCTAGCTAGCAGAAGAAAGCTACCGAGGAGTTGAAGGGATTTCACAACTTCATGGCCTGGAAAAGAATCTGAGTTTATGTTCAGTTTGACTTGCTTTGTTAGGAGCATATGCTCGTTCTTCAAATTCTGAAACCAGAATTTACAAGGTATTAAGTGCATATTTTCAACTGAGAAAAAATTTTAAGTAAAATTTTACCTAGTCATGCTCACAATATAGAGTACAAATAATGAAATGTAATTACTGCATACCAAGAATTTCTCAGTAGCCATTTGAAATATTAAAAAAGAAGCTTTCCGTTACTTCATACCTCTACATTTTTGCCCAAGTGGATGACCTTTTGCAGAATTGGAAGTGTATGTGCTCCATCTGGTGATGCTAATTGGGCGTCATTGGACAATTCGCTCTCCATATTCTTATCAGCAAATTCTAAAGATTTTCCCAAAGCAATATCTGGACCACTCAGAAAATTAGTGAAAGTAGTACCAGAGACGAGTAACGGAAAAGATAATCACAGACATTCAGGTCGTGAAGAAAGCCAATCCACGCAATTATATGTTGCCAAACCGAAATCAAGACAAATAAGAAAGATGAAAATAGCCGGAAGAAGCATACAACAGGAGGAAATCCTAGGGCTCGAACTGAAAATAAACAGATAAACTTGATTGCTCTTTCAAAGTACAACAGTAAAAGAACGACAACAGAGTCAGTCATAGCTTCCGGGTTTCGATGCTTTAATCTGGAACGGATCCATGAAAACAAATTTTCTTGTCACATAGTAACCAAGAAAGAATCATAGACAAATGAAAGAATTAACGAACCAGAACCGGAAATTGAAGGCAACGGCCTCGAATCACAACTAGGAACAACCGGAGTACGTAATTCCGGCACGACTTCCACCGCTGCATCTGAAATTAAAACAACACTTCCCAAATTATTAAATCAATCAACAAAACAAACCATCTCGATGGGCTCCTTTCCCCACAAAAGCCCACCCCAAAGAGAGAGAGAGAGAGAGTACCATCCATGGCTTCAAAGAGAGAACAAGGACGTGAATTTCGAGGGAAATTTCAAGATTTTGACGAAGAAGAAGAAGAAGAAATGACAGAGCTGAGTGGAGGAGAGAGAGAGAGCAACGGTCGCGTAGGGTTTCAATTTTCAATTGAATTCGAAGATTTGAAATGACGAGCGGCTGTTGAGAAGCTGTTTTCCAAACGGCTATAAAATAACATTTCTGGAGCTCCGACTTTTCAAATCCGATCCAACGGAGCCCCGACTCATTTGAATTATTATTATTTTTTGCAAAGGTATTTATTATTATTTTTCTCCAAAAAATTCTCAACATTAAAATATTTTATCTTACCAAATAAATAATATATTTGCTTAAGAAAAATGACTTTTTTTTTAAGTAAGAATATCACATTGCAAACTATGGCAGGAGATCTAAATCTACAAACTGGAAACCAAAAAATAAAAATGTCTAACATGAGTTTTAGTCTTTTTAAATCACAAGTTTAGTCCCGAAATTTTAGATTTGTGTTTAATAGACCCCTAAACTTAAAAAGTGTTTAATAATCCGTGAATTTAAAAGTGTCTGATAAGTTCATAAACTTTCGATCTTATGTCTAGTAATCTCTGAAATTTTTAACATCTTTTAAATTAATGGATCTATTGGACATAATCCTCTATGTCTCTTTAACTTTTAATTTTATGCCTATGTTATCAGAGCAATGTTAGCCATGTCAGTAGAATCCTCGAATACCGAATAAGAATAAAGAAGTGGTGACCTCAGAAGATGCAGTTATAGTGTAGATCCATGGTTGGACTCTATCAAAGAAGCAACCTCTTGGTCTGGATAAGAGTTAGACAAATAAATGACCATATTTAACGATGCTTTGTTACAAATGTATAAATGAGAAAAATTTGTACGAAATATTTTTGGTGAGAAATAATTGGTATGAAATATTTTAGGTCAACCAAGCGCAGACATATTAGCATGCGACATATTTTCCTATCAAACCTCTTTTATTTTCTCGCTGTTGTTCATGTTTTTTTTTTTTATTTTTACAATTACTTATCTATTACATTATCCCAAATGAGTTAGCTTTCAGATACGTCACGTCATTGTTAACAGAGCTAAATAGAACCTTGAAATTATGGTAAGAGTTGAGACAAACCCATCAAGTTTGATGACAGAATTAGAAGATTAGCAGCGCCAGCACCACAAAATTTGCAGCAACTTTTGAGTGAAATTCCATTCCATGGTGACAAATTGGAGCAGAAATAGCGAGCTCGTTCATGGCTTCCTCATTCCCAAATCCTTCCTTCGGCCATTGCTCCTTTTCACTATCCAATTCCAATTCAACCTCAGCCACACACTTCCCCTTATCTTTTCCTCGCATTTCCTTCAATGGGTCATCCCCAATTTCATCCACCAAAAATGGGTCTGCTCCAAAAATTCGAGCTAAGTTCGAAAAATTTCATGGCGACATTCCCCAGGAAGATATCCAAGAACCCAATCCATCATCTTCGTTGCTAGAACAACAACAGTCTTCTGTAAATCAAGAAGATGAAGAAGATGACAGGTTTCTTCTTCTCTTCCTCCTCAATATTTGCTTTCCCTATGGCTAATCTGTGTTCCTCAGCATTGGGTATGAAAATTAATAGTTGATTGATAAGAAAATGTGAATCTTGACTCTACTATACTATATGGTTAACATTGTTGGAGAAAATTTCTCAAAACTAAAGGTTAAATCCTATTTTGGCTCTGTAACTTTATACTTATGGTCTAAACTTAGTTGCTTGACCTTTAAATCCATGTGAAAACCCGACGTCTAACCTACAACATATGGCTTTAGGATGGTCACATAAGGTCGATAGGTCGGTATGGAGGAAACAAAGGAACTTGGGGTCATAGATACGAATATTGTTGGGGATCATGTCATCCTCTTTTAACAAGTAGGACATTGAGACCTTCGCGATATTTTTTGCGCTGTTTTCTCTCTTCATTGTCATCTCTGCTTGTTCAGTCGGGATTTGAAGCTCACATGTTTTTACAAGCTGATAATAAGACAAGGGAAAACAAATAGGTGTTATGACTTGTTCATAATACTGTTCATAAGAAGCATACTTTCACTGCCACAAAATAAAAGAGAAAACAGTATTGGCCATGTTTTTGCTACATTCGATTGTTGAAAGCAAGGATTCTCAAAGTTTTTGCTCTTACTTTTTTTCAGTTGCTTGCCTTCAGACTTGGAGGGAGCAGTGAGGCAATCTGGTGAAGCTGCTGCTTTGTTTGTGTCTTCCGGAGGATTCAGAGCAATAGTATGACACTCTTTATGCTACTTTTTGTTAAGAAATCTTGTACCACTACTATATTAACATGCACCAAGGAGAACCCGAAACTCTTGATATGAGTATCAAATGCCTCACCACCACTAATCTCTGAGAAGACCTGGTCGCCCTAATGCCAGTTTCGAGAGATTTCAAGGAGGAGTTAATTCTCTTGATCTCTAGCACGTGCGCTTCAAACCCGGATTCGTCTTATTTGTCTTTCTTCTCCTCTCTTACCTCTTGCATAATCTTTTCAGGTTGAGCTCCTCATCCCCCAACTACAGTTTCTGGATGATGAAGGTGCTCAGGCTGAACTCTGGGAACTGTCGAGAGTATTCTTGGATTCACTTATTGAGGAAACAAAATGTCAGGTAAGTAGAAAAAGATCTCTTCATGGCCCTGTTTACAATTCGAAGGGAAATTTGACTTAGTTACCAATATTAAAAATGATAATTAAATTAAATCTGATGTGGGATCCACAACTGAAGTAAGTAACCCAAAGAAAAAAAGAGTAAAATATCGAAGTTCTTTATGATGTTTTATTCACAAGTTTAATTAATGTAACATCAATATCTAAGTAATGCAAATTTAATTTCTAGAGAATTAAAGCTGTGTTTCCAGATGCTGGGGCCGCTGCACTTCTAGAATATCGATGGAAAGATGCTTCCTTCAAAATTTCCAGGTAAGTTAGTTCCATGGCACAACACTATCACTGACATTTCTATAAGCTTTCATTAAAAATAATTGAAAGTACTATCACCAGCACCGTTGATATAGACATTTTGATCCGACGAGGAATCAAGACTAGGGAAAAATATATCTATCACGCACTGGATATAATTTTTACCTAACATTCTTGGTTTAAGCCACCATTTGAAGTTGAAATGTTCCAGTTAGATTGTGTATTCCAAAATCTTGAACTTGAAGTGGTTTTACACAATCTGAATCTATGGTTGTCCTTCTGCCTGCAGCTTAAGCGACCGAAAACCTGTAGATAGTGCAGATGAGATAGTTGTTATGGTTGTTCCTGATTATCAAATGTTGGAAAATGTAGAGAAAATTGCAGCTGCCCTCTCAGATGATCCAGTAAGAATCTGAATCATTCCATTTTGCTGTTGAAATGGTTGCTTCCAAACTTTTCTCCTATCATTGATACTCATGGCTGAAATTGGCTATCTGCAATCACGATGAAACCACATATGTTCAAACTAACATGTGATCGAATCAAGTGAATATATGCTAACAAAAGTAGAAAAGGAGCAATGAAATCTTCTTTCTGGAAGTGCTGTACATCATTAGATCATTTACATACATTTGGACCTTGACGCTTATTCACACTAAATGAAATGGACTGTTTCCTTACTCCTGTTTATTTTTCAACATTAATGGCAGCCAAGGCCTCTTATCATGTGGAATCCCCGTCTCATCAGTGAAGATGTAGGGGTCGGATTTAACGTTCGGAAGTTGAGAAGATACTTTTTAAGGTAAATTTCAAAACCATCACTATATCTGGATCTGAATAGCTTACAACATTAGCATTATGAAAAATACTACTCCAGGTTGTGTTACTTAGGAAACAGTTGCTTAGAATACTTGTCATGTCATCACAGCTTAATCAAATGTTCTAATAAGAAGTAAATTTCTAACCTTTACATAACTGTTGCAAGAAGAAAAAGTTCCATTTACAACAGGTTCAAACTTTGTATCTGGTCATCTAAGTTTAGGGAAGAAAGGATTAGAAGTGCAACTCACCCTCTATTTTGTTTTTTTGGTGCAGCACATTTACAACCGTCTACTCCATGAGACCTCTGCCATCTGGTGCTGTATTTAGAGCTTATCCAGGGTAAGAAGACATTGACATTTTATCAGTTTCTTAAAAATCAGCTCACTTCGCTCAAGTTGATTGTTTCATTTCCATCATTGACTATCTAGTTCGCTTTCACCTTCTCATGGCTCTAGAGAATGCAGAAAACCCTGTTCCAGTTAAATAGGAACAACCCAGATTGGTCCAGCCTACTGTTTAGTTGTATTATCTGAATAAATTTAAGAATATAATCAAGTACTATGATATATCTTACATGAAACTAATGGAACCATTGATGTGAAAGAATAATCAAACTCACGCCCCAGGCCACTAAATGTAGCATCTTCCTGCAAATTCCCCTGGTTAAAGTTTCTCCAGCCACTTTCTTCTTTTTTCTTTGAAGACGTGATTGACATCTTTGCAATCATTGACCAGGTTGTGGAAAGTGTTCTATGATGATAAGGATAGGCCAGGCAGATATTTGCTTGCCAAGGAATTAATAAGCCGTCCTGATGCTGGAGACCTCGAGGTCAGTTACCTAAGAAAAAACATCTGAGAAATTAGCATTCATTATATGATACTAATGCGTCTTCTACTATACATCACAATATATGATCAGGAATAAATATAGAGTTTTTTAGATAAATTGAATTATTTGTGGAGCTTGTACAATTTGAATCTTAGAGTGGTTCCTAAATCTAGAAGAGTTCGTTTAATCTATAACATTTAAGGATCTTGTGCACAGATAATATTTGGAGATGTAGCAGAGTCGGAGCAAGACCCATCCTTTTTTGACAAAGCAGCTGGAGTTCTCTCCTCAGTAACCCGATTCATGAAGGCAATTTCAAGATAAGCAGAGCACGTTTTATTGATATTTTACAATTCATGGGTCCTTGTAAATTATAAACTCCAAATACGTTCTTCCTGTCTTTAATGAGTTATCTTTACTCAATTGCTAGTTTCAGAGACCAAAGAAGAGACAGTTTTCTTGATAAATCTGTTCTTACCAATCTTGTAGTTAACTAGATAATCAAGCCACAAGCATAGACTTTGGGTTTACTCCCACAGCTATCTCAACTAATTTTTCTCATATAAAAGCCAGGATAAGTGAATCTTATGCAGATGAGAATCACAAACCAAATTCGAACTTGGAGAGAAATATTTTGAAAGAAATAGCATTGCAATAATCTTAACTTGGTAATAAATATTATAATGAATAACTAGAGACAAATTTATAATAGTTGCACCTATAGAAATCAACATTTTCACCTATAATGTTGCCTAACATTTTTCTCACATTAACTTTGATGCTCAAGATAATATATACCAACACCAAAATATTGAGGATATTTATGATTTTTACACCTGCAGAGGCAAACCACGTTGTTGATGTATTTCGTTAACTGCATTGGGTTCTTCTTGATTCAACCTAACATGAGACTGTAAAGTCAGAGTCAATACCAATCCACTTGTCCTGTTGAAGCCTTTGGCTCCTTCTTTGGCTTCTTGTATCGGTTATTCTCGAATTTTGATTTTACTATAAGAGAATACAGTAAATCTGCCTCTACGGAATTATCATAAGGCACATTCAAGGCACTACACGAACAAAAATAAACCACAGTTACAAAAAAAAAAAAATATAAAATGTGCAGTGCAACCAAAAAATCTGATTCGGTGTTTCTAGGGCTTGAGATTCTTCGTCTCAAATTACATTTGTATGAATAACAAAAGTTTTCCAACGTGAATTTACTTATATTTTCCATGGTTTCAACAGCTATGTAAATGGGATATTTTTTTTACCTGTCAAGTAGCTCTTCCAGAATGATTCTTTGCAAAGGTGTTACATAATGTATACAGCTTCTGGGGCATTGACCAGCTGCAATAAGAACCTGATAATCTTCACCATGTCCTAATTATGGAACATAAATCAAGAAATTATCATTAGAATGATACACATGCCGTAACTATTTATGTGATGCAGTCAAAATATCGAAATTATAATTGCATCATCACTCAAAGGAACCTTGAGAAGTGGCCCGGGCTGTCCCGGTGGAAGAAGCAAAAGTGAAAACATGGGGAGCTGTATCTACACAAGAATATGGGCAGCCTGCGTATTATATAACAAAACACGCAGACAAAGGGGAATAAGTGGGAAGGACGTGATTATTGTATTATAACAAAGAACTTAAATGGTAGTATTCGTAAGTCGGAGTAAAGATTGTACCTTTTCCAACGCAAAGAAACTCATTAACAAAGACATCAAATGCTTGACATTCTGGGTTTTCAAAAGGATCTAAGCATTCCCTGAGTTCATATCTTTAATTGTGAGAGTTCCATTAGAAAAATGAATAATAGATATATCACAACATAGAATGATAAAAATGAATAATTGATCACCAAATAGACTGATAAAAGTGAACAAAAAACTGAAACTTGAAATCATGAAATCACACTGAATTCAAATTATCAACAATGGACATTTAATCAAGTGAGATATATTATATAGCATCTTTTATTTAAAAATAAAATTTCTCCTAAACTTTCCAAGAGTATGCACGTGACATGATTTATTGTACGATGAATGTTGCAAGAAATTAAGCAGATCTATACACCCTGAGATCCATACCGAAAGCACTACATTACCTCTCAATGAACTCCGTTCGACTGTAGCTGGATAACATCTGCATGTTTTACAAAGCATAGTAATTGTTGAGTTACATTATTAACTATTGCACAGATCATACAACAAGTTTGTCAACAAAAAACAAATACTCCCAGCCTTATGATAGAAATCTAAGTTAAAAGAAAGAGAACGATGCAAAAGCAAAACAAGTACTTTCGGCTTAAATACTTCGTCGTTAATCTTCAATGACCCACTTTTATTCCCCTGATTATTCTATACCCACATTCTCTCTTACAAACTTTCTTTCACTATCTTCTCTCCACACACTCTAAACCAAATCATTCAAGCATATCGATAAGAACCCAGAAGTTTGTTGATCAACTCTCTCCTTATATACTCAAACATCACCTAATGAGTCTTTAAGCAGGCTAAACTGCGTTGCATATTAGCTCAGATACAATCATTAAAAAAAGAAAAATAATTAAATTCTACAAGAAAACGCCTCTGAAGATAATAATTATATTAGGATGAACACGTACCTCGGAAAAAAAAGATTAAGATGAACACAAATGAAGATTACCGTGATGTTTATCCATACTAAATAAACAACATTAAGCATTGAGACTAAAAACACAACTTTCTTCTTGCTTCTAGAAATGCAAAGCTACCTCGTACGCCTGAATTACACGACGAATCATAGAATCAGAAGCGTTCCCATTTCCATTCACGTCCGGATGGAATTGCTTCACCTGTATAACCACAAATCCGAAGCCGAATGAAAATCGATACAGAAAATTAAAATTCTACGATCAACAGAAGCAGCCAATCATCGGAAAACTGAAAATGTATGTTTTACAAGAAACCTAGATAGTGGAATTCAATTTTCTCGGCAACAGAAGGGACAAACAAAGTGGCAGAGAAATCAAAGCGGCAAGGGGAAGAAGGAAACAGAACTTTGGCTCGAAAAGCGGCCTTGAGCTCGGATTGGGAGCAGGTCGGGTCGACGCCGAGCACTCTGTAAGCGGCTAAAGCAGTGGAGAGAGGCGCGTCTTCTCCTTCGCTTCTTTGTCTGCAAATCGTGGCGAACCGAGAGGCTGAGGATGAGGATGAAGGGAAGAGAATCGAGGGTTTCGATTTGGAGGGAAAATTGGAACTGTCATTCGGAGACCCAACGGTTTTTCGAAATGGAAGAATCGTAGGGGTTGAAGCGTAGAAACACAGCGCCGCCATTATTGGCCTTCGCGGGTCTTGATTGATTTTGTTCCTAAACAAACGACTTAATTATAATTTATATATAAGTATTTTCCATTTTTTTTTTCGATTCAAAATAATTTTTTGAATCAATACCATTGATAAATTTGATGAAAATATAAAGTGATATTCACAAGTTGATTGAGATGCAGAATATTTTATCCTATTCTAATTTTGAATGAAAATATGTTATCTTTGATCTCACATTGTATTTTTTTTTCTCATCTCTTTTGCGAATTACAGTAAAAATGTACGTATATAATTTCTTTTGATCACCCTCTCTTATTAAGTCTTAATGATATTTTTTTGTGAAAGGAATCGTTTGAGAGCTTTTTTCTTTATAGAGTTATAGCTATGTTCGGAGGAGTTATTGTGAAATGTTGGTTGTACATCGACTTTGCTTATGAATCCTACCAATTTCTAAACATTTCCGTATATATCTCAATTTTGTCCAAAGACAAACAATTTTCTACTTGCCTTTAACTACTTTTAAGTATTATAAGTTATACTTATGGTATGTCTGGAACCATTATCTCATAATTTTCAGAAGAACAACTTCAGTTATTTTAAAAAGTGAATGACTATAATAGTAAACTCAAAATTTTTTAAAAAATGGCTATACAAATATGCTTTAACACTGAACTTCTAAAGAACATAAAACTATTTTTCAAAACAACTCTCAAACAACCTCGGATTTTATGGAACTTTGATGGTTAGGACGACTGTCACGGGCCGGATCCCTCTTGCCATCAGAATCCAAGTAGTAGAGGATGAACTTCTTATCAGGCACATATCCTTCATCTACCATGAATACAAAAAGCTCCATCAAAACTCCATAAATGGTCTCAGCTTGTGGATGCATTTTGTCCCAAACAGTAAAACTATGGACTTTCTTGTCAATCTCAATCCAACTGATGCCAGTTTCTTTGGCCACGCCCACCTCCTTCATCTTCCTAATTGTCCTTGCTCTCTCCTTCCAATTCCCTTCAGAAGAATATATATTGGCTAACAGAACATATGGGACCGGGCTATGTGGAGACTCCGAAAACAGATGCTCGGCTGCGTATTTCCCTGTTTCAGAATCGCCATAGAGGCTGCAGGCGCCGAGCAATGCCTGCCACACGAGTAAACCTGGCCTTTCAGGTAGTTCCTCAATAAATTTTCTAGCTTCTGAGACCAGTCCTGCCCTCCCCAACATGTCAACAACACAAGCATAGTGTTCGGTCCTTGGATTCATCCCGTGATCTTTTGTCATAGATTCAAGGAACTCCATTCCTTTTCTGACTAAGCCAACATGGCTACACGCATGGAGTAACGATAGAAATGTGACGTCGGTTGGCTTTGCACCTTCCAGTTTCATATTCTCGTAAAGACATAGAGCTTTCGAGCCATCTCCATGCCGGGCAAACGCTGCAATCATGGAGTTCCACGTGACCGAGTTCCTTTCTCGCATCCTATCGAAGACCTTGACCGACTCGTCCAATGCTCCACACTTGGAGTACATGTTTATAAGCCCATTGCCAACAAAAGGATTGCAGCTAAAGTTCCTTTTGACAACAAATGAGTGAACTTGCTGACCCAGCCTCAAAGATGTATCAGCACCAAACACCCCAAGAGCGGCCGAAACAACATTCTCATCGATCAAGATCCCCACCTTCAACATTTTCAGAAAGATCCTAATGGCTTCATCCTCACACCCATTCTGAGTGAACCCTGCAAGTATAACAGTCAATGAAACCATATCAAGTTCCTCAGCCGACTCAAAAATCTTCCAAGCATATCCAATGCTTCCAGATTTCGAGTACATATCCATCAGAGCACTCTCAATGCACAAATCTGACTGAATTCCCAACTTCAAAATAAGACCATGAATTTGACGCCCTTCCTCTAGTGCCTCCAAACCAGAACAAGCAGTAAGTAAACTCAAATAAGTTAAAGAATTTGGCTCCACAGAGCCGCAACTCATCATCTCCTTAAAAAGCTTCAGGCTGTGCTCATGGTGCCCATTATGAGCCAGGCCAGAGATCACTGCTGTCCAAGTAATGACATTTCTCTCCTCCATCTCATCAAAAACTTGCCTCCCAAAACCAACACATCCACATTTAAAATACGAACTAATCAGAGCATTTCCCACAGTAATTTCTTGCACAAAACCACTCAGAAACGCCAAACCGTGAATCATTTTGATTACATAACAGAGCTCAAAGCCATCACAAGCAGATAAAATCGTCGTCAAAGTTGCTTTGTCAAATTCACAATCACCAACTAAACACATGGCTTTAAAGTAGCTAAAACCAACACAAGACTCCCCATTTCTCATAAACCCAGCGATCAATGCGTTCCATGATACAGTATCTCTCCTAGACATTTCATCAAACACCTTGACTGCATCGGCCAATTTACCGCACCTCTGGTACATGGAGATGAGAGAATTCGCAATGACGACCCCATTTTCATGGTTGGCGAGCTGGAAGCTCTTGATGATGGAGGCATGGAGGGAGGAGCCCAAATGGAGGAGATTTTCTCTTCCACAAATGGATAAGAAGAGGCTTGTGTCTATATGATTGAGGACGAATCTTGAGGAGGATTCTGCAAATTGGGTTTGAAGGAATCGGTTTCTGAAAGGGGAGGTTAGAGAGGAAGCCCAAGAGGGAAGACGGGAACTCAGATTTTGGAATACCCATTTGAGTTTCATCCATGAAATTAGATTAGGAGACGGCGACTGGTTTTTGTTAGAGAATGAGCCACCGCCGTCGAACTTGCTCCGTTTGGGAGCAGAGTACCCTCGCCGTAGGTCAACTGTCAAATATGGTTTCCGAACTTTTAATAACAGTATCATTTATGATGAAATTGGATAAGGTATATATATTTTTAATTAGTATAAAGTATACTTATTTCATTATTCATTCTTTAAAATTAAAACACATTTGTGTTATTACTTGTTCGTCTAACTTTAAAATAAAAACAAAATTTTAATTATAGTTCTAAAATTTGCCTTAGATTTTTTAAAATAGATAATAAAATAAACAAACATAGGACTGGGAACGTTATCATTTCTAATTTTCTTAAGAAATTTAAGCATTTTACAATTAATTATATTTATTGTTTCTCATTTTCTGAAACAGATCCTCAAACTTATAAAAATTTTGGAAACAACCCAAACAAGTTTTTCTTTTTTGTTCTCATTTCCAATTTGTTCCAAGACATAAATAAAGAGATTGTTTTATCATACTTGAGTTCTTAGATATTGGAACCATGCAATTCATTTTTTATCATTAAAAATAAAGAAACAGAAACCAGAAACAATAATGTTACTAAACGAGCACATAGCGTTTTAATGTTTCTAGGCTTAAATCCTACTAACTATTGGTATTGAATTCTCATAGCTAAGAGAACCAAGGGAATTGGATCTAGTGAGTGCAAAAGGACCAGTACAAGGACAGAAAAAAGTTTCGACAGTCTCATTCAACGGTCACTAAGAATGACCATAAAATTATAAACATTAGATTTGCATGGTGCCAGCGATTGAAAGCAGTTTCACTTTATACCTCATCTCGACTTTGTGAGGTTGGAATCTAGATGAAGTCTCAAAAGTATGATTCATCTATCATGTGGTATGAGACATGCTATGTGAAGGTTGTTTTCCAGCAACTTTATAGGCTTATGCTTTTAGCTTAAAAATACTTATTTTTGTCCATTTACTTTCACTATTTTTCATTTTGATCTTACGAACTCAAAATGTACATTTTAAAGGCTGCTGTTCTGTTCACTTTTTACCATCACAACAACAATTCACTCACTATTGTACTATTTTAATAGCTTCTAATTGAAGATTTTTTTCTTTTTTTTGTGTAACTTATGTTAAAATTTCGCCAACAAAAATCAATGTGACTAAAAAAAATATATAAGAACCTATTTTTTGAAGTTACAACTGTTTTAACTTTAATCAAACTGTTTTAAACTAAAGCTATCATATTCATATTCATGTCACTAGTTGGAAAACAACCTAATTCAAATTTACATCTTAAACGATGTTAACTTAAAAACTAATCGCCCAAAAAAAAAAAAAAAAAGAACCAAGCCCCTAATAAGAGGAAGAACAGTTGATAACCATCAAAATCCTTCACAAACAAGCAGCATCAAATTCAAATGAATGAAGAGAAGAGAACTAAGACCTCTTAAATACAAATCTAATCCATTTCTTATAGCAGTAAATTTCCAAGTGAAGTTCAAACCCATTTCAGCATCATCACAGTAGAGTACAATGGGGGATCATTTTGCTATTTATCTACACATTTGATTCAGGAGGCACAGATTGCAACAGTGCGTCAAATATAACCAAGAGAATAAAAAAGGACGAAAATTCACGATTTCACGATCGGCCGAGTGTTGTTCCATAGCCATTGGCGAGCAGAAGCTTCAAGCAATGGAGAAACCTGTACAACCATGAGTAAAAAATCTGGAGAATTAAGTAAAGACATTCCACAAACAACATCTCATAATATGCAGAAGTTTGAAGTTTCCTCCTGTCTCTCTCTCATTGTCTCCAAACTCAATCCCCGGGGTGGGGATTAAAACATCTGTTTGCTTTCAAGGGATTATTCTGAAAGCTGTTCTCAAAAATAGTTCTACGATTTTCAGAATAAAAATTGGATGATTATATTATAGTAAAAGTTAGCTTTCTCCTATTTTCATTAAGTTTCTTTTTACAAATAAACCTAAGTTTCCATGGTTTTGTGTTTAGATTCTATTCAAAATGACTCGTACCAATAAAAAATATATTCCTTAATCCTAAACTCACGATCTTTCCTACTCCTGATTAACATGGAACTTTAATTGCAGCGCCTAACTTCTTTTTTTTCTTTTTTTTTTAGATAAGAAACTTGTATATTCCAAAAGGAAGACAAAAGGAACAACCTGATTGCAACCCCTAACTTCAGATCTTCCAGTAAAAATTATAAGTTAATTGATGCGAAAATAGAAGCAGGATGATTATTGTAGTATGAATGGCAAACCTTTTCCCAGACTAGTGAATGGTAATCATTAAGCCAATTGACCTCCGCTGCAGAGAGCAAAGAGACATCCACCAATTTAGCCTGCATAAGAAAACCAGCAAAAAGTGTTCAAAATAGGGCGTAATACAAACATAGCCACATGACGTGGATTTCTCTCTCAAGGGAACAAACTAAAAAGTTCTAATCAACAGACAAGAGGCAGGCAGGCCACATAAAACGCTTCAAACATTATAAATTACACGATACGAGTGGTTTTCCGTTAGAAAGAAAACTGTATTGATAAATCGAGACTCAAAACTTTCTTTGGTCAGTTTGCTCGCTCGGTCTGGTATTGCGAGTTCATATGACTCAAAAGCTCTCTCTGAGAGTTGCTTCTTTTTATTTTTTTGCCAAGTCTAAGAATTACTTTTTCAGTTAACAATAAACATGGGGAATACATTATGAGTGCTACTGCTACCTGATACATCCTAGTTAGAGGCAAAACAATGGCATAAATCAAGATGGGCTAGCTCACACAGTCCACGTTCTTACGTATACACTACACGATAAGTGTTATTGCTTCCTCTTAAATGCTTTATATCTTGCAGGCCACGCATAGATGCTAGTATGTTGATTTCTACAACAGCATGGTCACATTTTCTAATTGTTTTTCTCTTCTATTACTCATATGTAAAATTTTTCATAATTTATGGATAACTTATTTACCTGAATGGGAACAAACGTGAGTTTTTCAAATCCTAAATATCCAATGCCTCCAAAGCGATTTGGAGTGTCGACCTCCTTCACGATAAGGAGATTCTGCATGAGAAGACCACCAAAATCAATGCTAGAACAATGAGCGAACAGAAAGCTACAAGAGACATAATCATATTTACATTTGTGTAAAATGAGAGAGGGAGAGTAAATTTAAGCATTCTGTTGACTGTTTCTCTAATAGCAGAAGTTGAAGCTGCAAGGACAGTACAAATCACAGACTCTATGAAGAAAAGGTTCAGCTATTCCACATTTACACTATAGAGGTCTGAGAAATTTTATGTGCTGAACCCTAAACCCTAAAAAATAGTAATGATACACATTCGTCCTTTGTTCAGTCTATGCATCAATTCCAATTAACTAGTCTACAGCTACGCGGCTAATTTTTATTTTTTACTTTTTAAATGAGAAACCAAGCTTTCGAGAAAAGAATGGAAGAGAACAAAATAACAAGCTAAGGGTCTACAAAAAAACCAACCCATGACCGGGAGAGCTCCACAACTAACTATACAAAAAAAAGGCTCCAACCCAAAATAATAAGACCTAACGGATAAACATTCTGACTTCATTAGTTTTACCTCAATCCTGATACCAAAAGAGTGGTCTTCATAATAGCCCGGCTCATTGCTAACGATCATGCCGGTTTGTAAGCCAGTCATATTCCCAAATCGGAAGCTTATACTTTGGGGTCCCTCATGAACATTCAATGCAGCCCCTACCCCATGCCCAGTCCCTAAAAGACAAGGGGGAGGAAGAAAAGCAAAAAACTAATCAGTATATTTCAATCAAGTCATACTATATGTATGTGTTTGGGAAGATCGTTAGTCAACAGAAAGAAGAAATACCATGCCGATAATCAAGCCCAATCTTCCAGAGAGAAGAACGAGCAAATGCATCTAATACAAAACCAGGGGTATTCTGAGGGAACACTGCTTGATCTAAAGCTATATGGCCCTGCAATTATTTGATATTGTCATGGATATACATTCAGTTACTCCAGTTCCAGAATTGCGCAGCAACAATTAATTACAGATGCCAATGAGTGCAAAGAAAAAATACTAGACTCTATACATGCACGTCCGACAATTTTATCCCTGCTTAATATTGCAGTGCAGAAATCTATAGCACTAGGTTGATTAGTAGTAAGAATATAGAGTGAAGTGCATCATCAGCAAAAGGCCTTCCCCTATATGATCCAATAAATGCAGTTGAAATTTGTATTTTGTTTCACTATGGTAGAAAAGATAAATCATGGAAACGATCCATCGCCTCCATAATGAACAAAGATGCAACTATGAAGTATAACATGAGAATAAAATATATTGGATACTTCATCTATTGTAGTTTATCTTTTTAATAAGTTATCCATTTTGGAAACAAGTAAGAAATGCCACTGATATCACACACTAAAATGAAGCAAGAGAGGTAGGATGGGAGGTAAACAGTAAAGGAACTAAGATAGTTTTATACGCTTTGAACTGCAGATATGAAGAACACTTTTGAGGTTACCGAAGTAAACGAATAAATGTTTTTCCACATCCAACTGAGATCTTTCAGAAAATAAATAGCAATAATTATAGTCCTCCTCAGAACTCAATTAGGTGCGGATGCAATTTGGTATATATTACAGAAAAATTAGGAAAATTGAGATTTCATACTTGTAGGACTCTCGTAAAGCACTCTTTTTGATGTGTGGTTGGTTCTCCAAAATGTACTGTACGAGTAATATCGGTTGTTCCATCTACATATTGCGCTCCACTGTCCAATAGAAAGAGTTTATTTGCATCCACAACAGAACAATCATCAGGTTCCGGTTTATAGTGGATGATCGCACCATTTGCACCAGAGGCTGAAAAATCATTCCAATAATAGTTCATGAAGTTGAAGAAACTGAAAATACGAACATTTAATTAAATAACAGATTTACACAAAAAGAATTGCATAAGGCATTTTATATACCACTAATAGTATCAAAACTTGTGTCAACAAAACCATCTTGCTTCTTACGAAATTCCAAAAGTTTGTCTGCAACTTCTACCTCCGTTAGTTTGACACCATTAAGAATTTTCTCTTCCAACCAGAACCAGAATTGAGCAAGAGCAGCTCCATCTCTACATGGAAAATATGGTACCACTATTCACTAAACAAAATAACTAGTTTAAACTATATTACGATCAGATACACCATCTGGTACTGAAAACAAGAATGATTAGCAAGTAATGCATATCCAAAATGGATAAGTTGTAGCCCGCAGCTGGTCATCAGTTACCATATCAAAATTTAATTTCAAGGGCACGGCATACTTACTGCAGTATTAAACAATCTAAAAGCAAAGCAATGTTGATGATAGAAAACAGTATTACCTCAAATGAGAACTCCGCATCCCTTCTAACTCGGCATGGTTTTTTATGGCCTTTGCTATTGAAATTGGAGATAACTTATAGACTCCCGTAGGTCCAACCTGACTATTGGAGGTCTCATAAGTCTTACCCTTGCCTTTTCTTTTATTCCCAAGGCGTATATAGTATCTATCACCTGCAGTCCTATAAGCATTTGCAATTGCAGCATTAACTGATGATGTGTCAAGCCAAAGATTAGCCCCCTTTTCTGCCAATCTGAAAAAGAATACCACCATCATTGAGATAAAGGAATGTCCATATACATGAGTCGTAGGAAGCATTCTGGTCGCTGCAACATTAAAAATCACACAAACATGGAAAGTATACCATACTTCATTTTTGTATTCTTTTTCTAATAACCCTAAGCATACCATGATCATGCAAGTTTCTCTATCTTTCACATTCAAATGTAAGCTCTGATTGGTCCATGTCTAGTTTTTGGCAGATACATCTTCCATATAGAAAATAAACCGGAAAGCTCAAAATTATTAAAATAATATAGAAAACAATGCCAATCCTGAAACATACTCAGAGGAAAAGGTTTCAATAAACTAAACTTACTTTTCAATTTCAGAAATAATAGAATCATATGGTCTTAACTCGATTCCTGCACTTTTCAAGTGATCCATCACCTCTGGTGTGACTTTAGAATCATCTACAAACAGTTTTGCTCCATCAATTTCAACTATTAAGTATGCATACATAACAGGTGAGTTTGGAACATCATTTCCTCTCTGCAAAGGAATATAAAAGTTATATATAGAATGTTATATTGAATTACATTCATTGTAAGTAGCAACAGGAAAAAATGGAACATGTTCTTCTAGTTCTAGCACAAAACTTAGAAGCTCAAAGAAAATAATGAAAACAATGAGGATAATATTGTAGTTTGTTTCATAATTGTAAATTAAGATATAACAGCTGAAGTTTGAAAAACCATAAAAACCTGACCTTGAATTATAAAAAAGAATCCATCAAATAACAAGGCTAGAAACAGATAGCACTTTACCAAGTTCAACAGCCAGGCAATTTCATCGAGCATAGATATAATGATTGCAGATGAACCAGCTTCTCCAAGCTCAGACCTCAAAGAAGCCAACTTTGATGCAACATCTAAGCCAGCATATCTAAGATCATGCACTCTTATTGGGCCTTTAGGTGGCTTTGGCCTTGATTCTTTCCATATTTCATCCACAAGATTGTAATCATATATGTAAACCAACTTGTGATTCTTCCTAGAAATGGTCTCTTTCAAATCTTCTGCAGCATCGGCAGAAAACAGAAACTGCTCCCTTCATGAAATCAATAGGTGGCATTAGATAGAGGAAGGAGCAGACAAAACAGAAAAATTCTATGTCATAGAATAGGGGAACAAAATCTGAAAGCAAGAAATTGGGAAAAAAGGATGAGGGGAGAAAATCACAAAACAATGCAAAAGGGAAAAAAAAATTTCTAGAAGTCAATGGAAGACATCTAACAGTCTGCAGCAGCAGTGAAGAAGTCCTTAATATGTCGAGCATCAATGACGAAAAGTGAAGAAATATTCCCATAACTTACATAAACATCAGTTTATGAAGTCCATTCAAACCAAGACCAACAGAAATAGCCATCTCCAAAAGATTAAGCATTACTCACAGGATCAATTCCAACAACACCGCCAGGAGCTAGAGTATCAGCAAGCCATTCACCAGGGGTGGGCACTTCCTGATTTCCTGATCGCATGAGAATCCAACTGGAGCTTAGCTGCTTCTCGGCCTGATAATATCAATAATTGAGAAGTTATTTGTACCAAAGGGAAATTGATTTGATTCAAGACTTGGCTGTAGCTTGGTCCACAAATATACACAAAAAGATTCGGAAAAAGAACAAGAAAAATATGCAAATTTTATTCTTCAACCTGAAGAAAATACCGTCCATCAGTCCAAAGTGCTGCTTCATCCTTTGTGACAACAGCAGTGCCAGCACTGCCGGTAAATCCAGATATATAGGCCCTCCTCATGTAACATTCTGCGATGAATTCACTCTGAAAAGAGCAACAAAAGAGAACGTTGATAAGAATTCAGCAGATAGCATAAAGTCTTAATTTACTCAAATTTTTCCTACTCCAAAAACAAAGGGAAAATAATCCATTTTTACCCTAAACCAACCTTGTATAGGTTAGAGCTGATTTTTTTTTTTTTTTTAATTTGTAAGTTTGGGCGGAGTTGTTTAATGGTGTATATTAATTAAATTTAATAATATGCACGGTTTGATGTTCACTAAATTAGTGTTTCTTTTTTTTTTTTCAAGTTTTTTACATTTTTCAGGTTAAAATTAGCGGGTGAATTAGCAAAAGTTGAATAGGGTGTAAAAATGGCCACACTTATCTAGTTTCAGCGTTTCATTCGATGATTGAATTAAAAGTTTAGAATGTAAATTAAAACAACTTTCCAAAGTTCTCCGAGCAAAAAATTAACTTTTTCCGAAAGAAAGAATCCTTCAGTCACCTGAAAACTGGCAAAACCTTCAACTAATTACCAGAACAAGTGATGCACAATTGAGCTATACATCCAAAAGAACTAATGCCTAACACAACATACTAACAAAATTACGAACCCGACCTGGTGAGCGTCCTGCGAGGGGATTACATAGGCGTCGATACCGATGCTGGGCTTGGAGAACAAGTCCCGGAGAAGCAGAAGCTTGCCATCGGTCTCGGACTTAGGGTAGACCTTTTTGAGCTCCGAGGAGGGCTTGGCGGTGATGGAGGAGCAGCTTCTGATGGGGGAACGTCGGAGCCGGCGGGAAATGGCGGCGAAAACTGTGGATTGGGAATTGAAAAAGGGGGAAATTGGGAAGGTAGAAGAGATGAAACGGAGGTAGCGAAAGCGTGAAGAAGAAGAAGAAGACGAAGAAAGTGAAAGAGGACGAATCGCTTGCGACGGTAGCGAATGCATCGTCCGAGAGAGAAGATAAGGTCCCGCCGGTCCGGCCACCACCTTTTATTTATCTCTGTTTTTTCTTTTTCTCTCTTTTCCCCAAAAATGTAAATAATTTTGGGTTGTTTCATATTATATTAATAATTGATAGAGATATTTGAAAAAAAGTAATAAATTTTGCAAACCTAAGACATAAAAGAACTTTAATATTAACCCTTTTTGTTCTATCTTGGAATATAAATTTTGTAGTACACAAGAAAAAAATTTCTCCACATTTGTAGGAAACAAAATTTTTTTCCCTTTTACTAATTATATATATCATCTATATCGTAGGTTTAAATCTTCGTCATATATATTGTTGAACTGGAAAAGGGTCCTAAAATAAGAGTTGGAAACATATATTTATGTAAGAACCAAAAGCGGAATATTTGTATTAGCATAAAGGATGTGAGAGAAGAAATGAGCACTTTTCAAGCTGATTTCCTAAACGAAGGCATCTATGTGACTCGTGTGCTTTAAAGGAGGTGCATTCTCGAGTATATTTGTAAAATTTGCCATAATTATAATTCCAAATTGAACTTTTAAAAGTATAGGTAGTAATTTGAAATTAACTTTTTCAAATATTTTTTGGAAGTTAATTGTTTCAAATATTTCAAATTTGATTTCTCGTATCGTATTATTTGTTTTTTTAGTACTATATGGAAGTGAGATTCGAATTCATAACCTCCAATTATAAATATATGTCAATTACCTATAAGTTATTCATGTTGGCTTTTTAAATATAAAGTTAATATCTTATTCATATTTAAACATGCAGGCATGTCACTTAAAAAAATGATTTTATATAATAAGCTCCTTGAATTTTGCAGTTGAATATGGGTGGAGATGATATAAAATAAATATGTGTTTATAAAATTATGGTTACTTTTTATTTTCTTTTCCCTCTTAATGCACAATGGTTGGTCTCACATGATTGTCTAAATTTGTAATTTATGCTATTCTGTAATATTTTAAATCCATTGCTATATATAAATATATATTATCTTTTGTGCTATTTTTATAATTATCTCTAAACCGGTGTCAAGTAACATTCAAGTGATATAATCAATATTCATGTGTGTCTAAATATGTTAATAAAAAAATAATTTAATGACATATCAACGGTTTCAAAAAACAATTTTTCTTTTAGAAAATCTAATTGATAATTTTTAAAACATTAATGATAAAATCAAGAATTTTAAAAGATTAACGACCAAATTGAAAGTTACCATAAGATTAGAGATCATATGGTATATTTAACTTTTAGTTCATTCTAGTGTTGAATAGACCATTATAATCTCAACTTTAGGAATAATTTGAAGGAAAAATTTAGGCGTTTATAAATAGATAGATAATTGCTAACTTACTGGTTAATAAAATATTTGATAAGTATTTATTTATTTTATTTCATTTCATTTCTCGCATTAATCTCCCTATTTAGTTATCAAATTTTTTAATAGAAGGGAGTGGAAGGTATTTATTTGCCGGCAAGCACCTCATCTTTATCCTATTTTCAAAAGCTACCCCATTATTATATCGTAATTTTCAAATAAAACCCAACTAATAACCAACCATCGTTTCTCTCTCTCTCCAGAAATGGGATGCTGTTGCGATCAAGACGACGACGTTGAGATCTTGAGGCACCTCAATCCCGCGATCGCCGTTCACTCTCCGGCCACCTTACCTCCGGAGGCGGATTCCTCCACCGCCGTATTATCTCCGATGAACTCCCACTTCTTCGCCCTATCGTGCCGCGACATCCTACGCCTCATCTTCGAGAAGCTTTCGATTCCCGACTTGGCTCGTTCCAGCTGCGTCTGCCGTCTCTGGCAGTCGGTTGCTTCCGATCATGAGATCGTCGCCGGAGCTTTCAAAGCTCCTTGGAAACTAAAAGACGTGATAGGGAAGCCCAGCTCCGGTAGCTTCTGGAGAGACAATTGTCTCGGAAAGTTTGCGATCTCCCATCGGATTCTCCGCGGCGATAGCTTGGCAAGTCTAGCCGTCAAGTATTCGGTTCAGGTATGGGCTTCGGAAAATGTTGTTGTCTAATTCATGAGGAAGTGACTGGAAATTAGGAAAGGAATGAGTAGAATTTCTGTGAATTTATTCAGTTTTGAAGAGTTGCGATCATCAATTTTCCTTCCTCAGGAAAAGTGACGATCGTATGATCGTTTTTCATTGAAGAACGCTATTTTCTTCTTTATTTATTGAATGTGAAATTGGACAGGCTGAAAGTAAGGGAACTTGGGTACAGTGAATATTTTGATCTTTCAGTATTCCTTTTGTACCTAAATGGTTTGTTGCAGCAATGTAGTTATAAGTACTCATTTTCTTAAACATTGATTTGGAAGAATCACTGGAACTTGTAACATAAATTCAAGTTTATATATCTTTTACAACATTGCATGTGCTACAAGAATTGAAGAGTGGATTTGTTCTTGATACTTTGTAGTATGTGTGCCCAACTCCCAAGTCCTCGTAAAATATCAATTAGGAAGGAGGGTCGAGTCCAATTGTTGATCTGAACTCTTTTTGATGGCTATGGACTTTGATGTATTGTTGAAATCACTAGCGGGGCATTTAGGGCATGGGTGAGGCTTGATGTGGGTTTGGCATCCTAGGCTCAAGCCAAATTTGGGGGCAAAGTTGTCAAACTCGAGTTTAATTGAAGAAAAATCGTGAGGCTTGAGGTGGGTTTGGCTTCCTAAGCTCAAGCCACATTTGGGGAAGAAGTTTTTAAACTCGAGTTTAATGGGAGAAATAAACAGGCTCGAACCGTAGTCCACTATTCAAGCCTTCACACATAGTTTTCCTAAACCCGATCTTTCATAACGTACTCCCCAAATACAGTTTGCTTAAACCCTCCACTTAAATGCACACGCTGAAGATGCCAAATTGGCATCCTAGTCGCCCATAGTAGTAACTTTATTTAAAACTTGTATATCTTTCAATGCACAAAAATGAAGAGTGCATTTGTTGTTGTACTTCAGTAGTTTGTTTTCTCAACTCCCAAATCCTTGTAAATCGTTAAATGTCAATTTGTAAGGGTCAAGTTCAACTGTTGAGATCAACACTTTTGGAGGCTGTGGACTTTGGTGTATTGTTGAAACCACTAGTAAGGGTCGAGTCAATTGTTGGGATCAATATTTTTTTATGGCTTTGAACTTGGGTGGGTTGATTTTGTAAATATGTTCTTGTAGGTTATGGACATAAAACGTCTAAACAACATGATGAGCGACCATGGCATATACTCGAGAGAAAGATTGTTAATCCCCATTGGAAATCCCAATATACTTATTAACAGTATATGCTACATCGAGATGGATGCGATCGCGAAACGGGAAGTTGCAGTGTTGTATTTGGATGGCATCCCGACAACCCATCATCTGTATGGTAAGGTGACATGTGAACAGGGTATGTCCTCTGTTCAAGTGAATAAGCAGGTACTTCATTCTTTGAGTCGGAGCATGATGGTGGATGATGAAACCGCTCGATATTACTTGTCCATTTCCCATGGAGATCCTCGAGCTGCTCTCACAGAATTCGCCGAGGACATTAGGTGGGAGAGGCATATGAGCATTGCCTAATTTCAGAAAGGCAGATTGTTGCTAGGAGTAAAACATGGTGTGTTCGAGTTTGAGGTTGGTAAGGCTTGAAATACAGTTGCTGTCTATTGGAATCTGTTGATCTTCTCCATCTCCACAAAGAATGATCAGATTAAGAATTCATATCCAACACCATTTCACTCCTTGGCTGATTGGTATGTACATTCTTCCTGTCGTTTGAGTGACGCATATGGTTGTGTTGTTCGATGTCATATATATGATGTATTTTCATATTGCTTAAGGATGATGATGCTAGAATCATTGTAACTGTAAATAGAATGTGCTCGGAAATTATAATCATGTCTGTTTCGTCATAAATAGAATGTGCTCGGAAATTATAATCATGTCTGTTTAGTCACAAAAATTGTAGATGAACTTTCTTCCGCTGGGAATTTATGTGCATTGCCATATAATTGAATCACACCAGTTCGGGGTGCAAGCGAGTCGGTTTTGTATTGGGTTTTTACTAAATTTGATGTTAGACTGACATGTTGTTCCAAGGGGAAAAGTCTACTTAGAAGCAGGCTTGTAAAAATTCGAACCAACCAGTCAAAGGATCAGATTGAAACATGCTTAATCAACTAAAGAATTGAACTGAACTAACTATAATCGAACTGATCGATTTTCTTTCAACCAAATTGATCGAACCGCTTGGTTCGGTTGAATTGATTGATTTTTTTTTCCAGTTCTGATTTCCACCCTCGAAAGGAGTGGTGCCTAGGTTGACTGATTATGATTAGAAGTTTAGACTACATTTAAATTGGATTAATTCGAGTGTTATTGTGCAATCACCTAAATTTTGCTCCGCTAATTTGAACTTAGACAATACACCTGTTACCATCTTAAAGAGATAGTTCGATCCTCCACCCATGAAGATTAAATTTGAAGTAAAATTAGAATCAAAGTAGTGGGAAATTCACATATAACTCGAAAAAGTAAGATTACAAAAGTTTTAAAATTACTTTTGGTTAGGTATCTAAACATCATAAGTAACTTTGAAAAGTGATTTTACTTGTTTAAAAACACTTTTCATTATTTTAAAAGTTGTGTCAAAGTTTCAAACTGATTTAATTTAATGGAGTATCATTGGTTGTGACAAAAAAAAAAAAAAATTGCTCTAGGTGTTTTTTTTTTCATAATTTTAAAATTGAATATAAATTTTAAAAACAAGTATGTAATAAAAATAAATAAATAGAAGAAGAAAAGAACAACTATTAAATATTAAAGTTGATTAGTAATAGATAAATATCCCTTTTAGAATATGTTCCCTATTTTCTCCTTAAAAGCATCTCATCTTTAATGGGACAAGAATAGGATGACTATATACCTTTTCGCTTCTTAATTGAAAAATAGTAAATAAGAAATAGAATATTACCAAACCGACGTTTAGTTTATGACTAAAATTAAAAATTGCATTCAAAACTTCTCTTACATTTATTTTTTTTTCCCCAACAATTTCAATGACGAGAAATCAAATCACCAGATAATAGGTGTCTTATCCACTTAAATTATGTTTAGATTGACCCTCACTTTAAAATTTAATTATTGCTTATATGCCCAAATAAAAACTCACTATTTAATATATATATATATATATATATATATATATATATATATAAAAGATCATATAATTACTAAAATACATATAGGCTAAATATATCATTCAACCTCTAATGTTTTTACCAAATTTCTTTTCTATTCTTTTAGAAGGTTCAATCAAGATTTATTGTCATAAAATGTGAAGATTTGTCAACATAATAATGATATAATGTCAAATTACATTTTATTCATTAAGTTGGAAATACTTCATACGTTTTATTTGATAAAATAGATGTAACCTCATACAATCCTTAATTTAATAAAAGTACAGGGATCAAATGTGTTTTTTTAACCCATTGAAAATTATCGACCTCATATGACTTGACTTATATTAATTTACCTTACTTGGAATAGTAAACTATGACAGAAAAATTATCTATTAAAAAAATGCTATTATACTAACAAATTTTAAAAAAATTCCTTTTAAATATACACATTGTCCTTGTTTCAATATTTAGTTCGAAGAACTTGAAAGAAAAAAAATTCATCAATGCATAAAAACGAAATTAAAAATTAAAATCCACTAAAAGAAAAGTCTATTACTTTTTTTTTTGACGGAAAAAAATCTATTACCTATTGTTACCTATTGTTTAAAGATTTTTAATTACTGTTTTTTATGTTTTAGTCGATAATTATTTTATTAGTTGGGTTGTATTATTGAAATTTAAACCGATAAGATTTTAGTCTTTATTTTATGTTATAGAATTAAGGGGAAATTACAAAAATAGTATAAAAGGGAATATATATTTATATATATAGCATTAGGTTTAAGATTTTACAAAAATGACATAAATTTCAAACTTATACAATTAAATTAGATGAACCATGAACCAAAAACCACTTAAAAGTAATGATATTTTTATAAATACGTATTATTTTATGCCTTTTAGTATAAAACTTTCCAAATACTATTATTGAAGTTTACAACTTCCAATTTGTCATTAATATTTTTCTTTGTGGGTTTAAATAGCATAAAATAAATATGTAATTTTTCAATATAACATAAAAGATCAAAATTAAAAAAAAAGGCATAATCTAAATCGAGGTCTTAACCCAAATATGACGTAAAATACATTAAGAAAAATCAACGTATGCTATATTTTAATATTTAGAATAATTTGAGCTTAAAATATTTAATATCCATATACATCAAATAAAATGTCCAGCAATCTAAAACAAAAAAGTTGCCAATAATACCCATAACTATTTATTGTTTTTTTTTTATAATTAATTGCACCCATGACAAAATTTAGTTGCTTTTAATTTCACATTTTTCTTTTCACCTAATTAATGATCTATTTATTAGAAGTATACTTTCTTTAATCAAATTTGTGTCACCAATATCCCTCTTGAAAACGTCACATTAAATTGAATTTCTACTAGTGTATCGGGTAAATTAAGATGTCTGACACATGGTCTAAAATATCAAACATATTTAAAAAATTTTGTGAAAATCAACTAATGTGTAAAATTTATTTGAATTAGTAAATAAAAATTTTATACTCTTTATATTATTTAGTACAACATGTGGGGGAGGGGTTCGAACTCACAACTTTTTAGTTGAAGATATATGTTAATTGAGCTATGCTCGCTTTGGTAAGATTTTTTGGTCCTATATATGAATATTAAACCTTTTAATTTATAAAGAATTGAATGAAATACTGACACGATTGTTATTTTAGATTTTAACTTTTATGTGTTTAAGAGATGTTTTACTCTCTCTTTTATTTTTTTTTTTCAAAATCATATTATATTTTTTCATTTAGCTAACTATGTTTGCTGACGTATGATAGGTTTGTTAATTCTATGAGCTACATAAATCATGTTATATAGATTCAGTCTTCTGAAACTTATTTTTTTACGTTATGTCATGTCAACCTTTACGTTTACCTCTCATAACAACTCATGTTTTGTACCATTTTTCTTTGAGTGCAATGCACATAAAATGTACTTGAAAAAACGAAGTACAAAATTTGCAAAGCTAAAAGCTAAAAATTTTCGTTGGGAGCGACGAAATCTTACCTTCTAATTTTTTATATGCATAACTATTCTAAAAATTTAGGAGATAAATTAGAAAAAAAAATTCATATAATTTTTTTTAATATAGGACAATTAAGAGGGATACAATGACCATTATGAATGGTTCATTGGTCCAAAATGACTAGAATAAATCGGGAGGGAATTAGTTCAAATTCATGATGACCACCTATTTTATAAATCAATTCTCCGTTAATTGTATAGCCATAACGGTATAGGACGATATTGATGAGCAAGTGGGATAAAATTGACTTTGAAATCAAAACAAGTTAGGCCAACAAATTTATCTCCAACAAAAACATGTCGTCTTCCAATTGATTAAAACTTTACTTCTAATGGACTCAACCACAACATATAGGTTACTTGTTTGGCTTGTGCATGTCTTATTTTGGAAACATTTCTCATGCCTCCTTTGTTATTATACATGTTTTCTATATTATTTTGTGGCTACCCATCAAAAAAAATTTTGTTGGTTAAATTATATTTTTAGTTGATTTTTTAATTATTAATTTCAACTTAAATCTCTATGTTTCCCAAGTTCTAGGGTCGATAACTGTTTTTTCTTTTTTTCAAAAAAAAAAAAACAGAAAACTAAACATGGTAACCATTTTTAGTTTTCTGTTTTTAAAAAGTTAGAAAATTGAAAATATATATTAAAAGAGAAAATTCTATGTGGGGGCGGGAGTGAGGATGTCATCTCCCATTTTAGTTCCCTGTTTCCACCTCGTTCTTCGATTCGGGAATTGAGATCCAAGTTGAAAAATCCTTATTTTGGGACGATGATATTCATGGGAAAAATTACGGGTTTATAATTAATTTTAATTATTTTTAGAATTTAAAAAATACAAAAGTGTAATAAATATATATTATAAATAATTAGTTTTAAAAAATATTTAATATTTTATTCACAATTTAGTAAATATGTCAATATAATATACATTAATTATTTAAAAAATAGAATCGGGGATCAGGTTGGACATGCATTTCCTATTCTTAGAGGGGACTTGACTCTTGTGGAAATTTTCGTCATTCCTAAGGTAGAGACATGAAAATACAAATTTAGAGGGATGGAAATCAACTTTTGAAAGAGAAATTTTATAGAGATTTAGAAAAAAAAAATTGTGAAAGAAAAGTTAGACAAAAAGAGAGAATTTTTAAAGAAAAAGAGTAAAGTTTAGAGGAAAATAGACGTTAAAGAAAAAGAAAGAAATTAGAAAGAAAAATAATAGTGAGAAAAATTTAGAGATAAAAACAAGATTCAAAATATACTTGTTAGGGAAAATAAATAAATACAAAGAGAAATAAAAGTTACTTTGAAAAAAAAAACTGAACGAAGAAAATAGATGAGAAGAGAAAGAAGAAAAGTTTGGGAAAATATTAAATTTTTGAGTGAGAGAAATAAAAGTGATCTAAAAATAATAATAAAAATAGATAGAAATAAAAAATTTGGAGAGAGAAAAATAATGATAAATTTTATAGAGAGATATTTATGAAAAAAAATTTTGGGTAGGAAAAAAATTGTTAGAGATAATTTTGAAAAACAAAAATATATTTTTAAAAACTAGTTTTAAAAAGAAAAAAAACAGAAAATTGAATTGATTATCAAAACCATATTATTCAACAATCAAAAACCAAAAACAGAAAACGAAATGGTCATTCATTATATTTGTTTCTAATTTTGCAGACATCCTTGTCATTAATAAAAATTATTTTGGACATTTTACTTTCAACTTTGGTCATTGTTTTTTCAACTTTTGTTTATGTCAATCTCCGTACT